TCAAATGACTCGTGGGCCCGGAATACATTTGACTTGATTGTTTGTGTATTGCGATACGAATTTGTTGGTGGTATTTTTTTCTTCTTTTTTCTTCGTCCGGCTTGTTTACACGAATGTGTAGTAATTATCTTCCATTTAAATCTACAGTGCGCGCTTGACAGGGTTGTAAAGTATCCCCCTACAAAGAGCAGAAGCAGTATAAGCAAAAACAAAAAGTAAAATAACATTTTTTTTTTCGTATTTTAGGATTCATGTATACATATAGCTGTCAAAGGGCTACCTGTGCAAACACAATGTATATAAATGTGGCCCCAAAACATAACATGTCGGTTTAGTGACAGGCTCTCGTGGTGAGTAATCTGTAACGTAGCAGTGACTAATCTGTTGAGCATTTAAAGTAATGCAATGCGTGTTTTTGTGTATGTGTTGTTATTTGATGTAAAATGGCGATACGAGTCATATGTCTTTGTATATCCCGAAATATTAAGTGTGCGGTGCTTGTGGGAGGTACCAGACCACAAATAACAACCATGCGCTCCATTTTTTTTTTTTTTTTTTTTTTTTTTTTTGCGCGCGCGTTTTAAGCGTTTAAATTGCGTGGCATCTAAATCCGTAGAAACATTAAATAAAGGTGTGTCGAAATGATAGCCTCGAAATAAACAGAAGTTTTGTTGCATTATGGAACACACAACTAGATACCAAACGTCACCATATACACATGAAACTCCCAGCAAGCGTCGGGTAGGCTCCCGCATACGTGGCTAGGAAGTAGTCGCACCGCAAGTTGCAAAATATAAGCATCTGGAAAGACGATACCTCCGTCGCCGCCGAACCGCAGCTAGCAGACGACGCACAACGCAAACGGCAATGCAAAACGTAGGCCGTGAAGCGTGTAGCGAAAACCCGAATCAAGCCCCAAACAAAAGTCAGGTTCTGCCCTTCACGGCGTTCGCCTTGTCGAATCGTCCGAGGCAACGCCGGTCAGGAGCGAGCAAACCGGGTCGCCATGACGACAATATTCCCAAAACCAGGAGGGTTGTTGTAGAAACCTTCCTTTTTTCCTCGGCAAAATCCGGGAATCGCACTCACCCTTCTCGATGCAGACGACTTCAGAATAGCAGACGACTTCGAAGTTGCTGCGAGGAAGGCTGTTTTTTTGTTTTGTTTTTTTCCCGCTCGAAAACTAAAGCGTCTGGCGATGAAGGACGACCGTGAGGTACACCGTCGCGTCGCCCTTTTTTGTTGTCCACGTCGTGCGAAGCGTTGCGTTGGTCGAGGCAGAGGGTGTGCTGGCGGCGCGGCTTTGTTGGCGGGCTGCGATTGCTCCGCGAGCGTCCGATCGATCGCCGCAGCGCGCTCATTGGACGAGCGCCACACCCCCGGAAGTTGGGGAACTCGGCGTCATTTCCGCCGACGCGTTGTGACGTCACGGACGGCCCGGATGACCTTCCAACCGGGCAAGCCGCAGTCTGAGCTCTGCGGGTCTCGACTCGGAGCGAGTCGTGGCTCGGGGGTTTTTCTTGTCGCGCCACGCCGACTAATTTTGGCCGAGTATCCTGGAGAGGGCAAAGGTGCGGTTGTGTTGTGGTTCACTGTAAAGGGGTTCCTCCTTTCCGCTGAGTACGGTTTATGGGTTTATAAAGTATTTGGGTTTATTATATCGCGTTATTTTGGGGGAGGAGGGCTAAGTATATTGGAAGCACGCCGAGAGGCGCTTTTCCGACAGAACTTGCACGCTGGGAGGATGGTTCTTATGCCAACTATTTTGGGTAGGACTTTGAACTTTAGCGTGCCCGCCGTAAAGATCAGAAATCCCCCTGTGTTGCCCCCCCCCCCCCCCTCCCCCCCCCCCCCCCCTTCCCCCTTCTTGCGACTCCAGCGAAATCGACGGCGCTTCAACCAGGGGGTCGGGGACTCTCTTAAACACTAAAGGCAACGGATATTTTTTTTATTACAAACGGTACACCAGTTATATTTTTCTTTCAGCATACACCAGTTATTTCTCTTTCAGCATACACCAGTTATTTCTCTTTGAGTCACGCCGATCTCGAAGACGAGCGAATATCAGCTGTCTTCCTGGCGAGCATTTTGTTTGCCTTCGGGTACTAAAACATACAGATGCACCCTGTCTGAGAAGGCCTAATGGCTGATTTTGCTCCTGCACGCCTATCGGTTATAGTCCCAATGGATTGAAGTTAGTCCCCACCTTTTGCGAACTGTACCTAGCACGACCAGACGGTCTCTTCGGGGAGCAAATGGGAGCTGAGAGGATCAAATGCTGCTGCTAATCCTTTAATTATTTTTCTTAGAGTGCAGCGTATAATAGTTTTGGAATTGGGCGACAGGAGCGCGAAACCTGATTTATTAGTATCTCGAAGCTCGATGGCACTTTTAAAATCGTTCTAATTGGTTTGGTCTATAATCATAATTGCCATGAATAATTCAATGGTTACAACATGAGAGTCCTTTATTGTCAAGAGCAACAGTGACACTTTCGCATAGTCAAAAGTTCTTGAACGATAGAGAAGAGGTTTAGTGTGAAAGCCTGAAAATGGCATAAGCTGTGCGTATTCGTGAAACGGCGAACACAGGACAAGCACAGAAAATAATTTTCGAAGTTCGATTGATAACTAGTACACATTTGGTGGGAAATCATTTCGCGAAAGAAATGGCTGACCTGAAACAAAACAAAAAAAATGCGGAGACACAAGAGGCAGCCGATTTCTAAAGGTGTGAAACGGTGGTCCCGCTCGAAAAGTGCTGGCGTATCATTCAGTTTACAAGGGAAGGTCGCTAGGAATGACTCTGCATATTCGATTCGAAGCAATATTCGTACACTCCTAGTTCATGAGCAAGAGCAGCGCCTACACCTTTGGTTGCAAACACGCTTGCCCATGACCGGTCAGTGAAGGCGTGCAAAATAAATGCGTCATGTATAAATGGTTTGAATCAACAGTGTTACTTTCTGCCGGTCATATTAAATGTTTTACGAAGAGCATGCATTTTACTGCGCTTATTTGCATTAACAACGCGCCTGCAGCGCCAAATTCTCGCCTAGCGGTGGGGACAGCCGGCGTTCGAGACAGCAGCGAGATACCGGATTTGCCAATACAGCAGAGACGGCTGTCTCCACTGTCGAGAAGGCTCTCCACGACGATAGATGGCGGCTGCCACCCCTCCCAATTAAAAGGGGGACAACCCCAAGACTCTGCAAAGACTGCGCTCATCTAGCCGTTTTAACTATGCAAAAGCTGCCAGCTCCACAGGTATTGGATTTTCGCAGAGTAAGATGCACGCTCTAGCAAAGTATTTGGTCGAATCGTCTTTTCCTTTTATATCAAAGAGGATACTCAAGCCTCGACACATGCACTCACTTTCAAATTTTCCCGCCGTGTGGGTTGGCGCCCCCTGATTACAGGACCGCAACTACTTTGATTTCTCTTTGAGCCTGAGCTCATTGAACGGGCGTGCGAATCTGCCGTCGGTTGTGCGGGCGGCCGTAGATAACGCCGAGCTGCCGCGATGAGCCACTTCTTCAAGACCACGGCTCACGCAGCCATTTACGCTAAGTTCAGACCCGTCGCACCTTCGGCGCTGATCGACAGAATTGTCAAGTTCGTCACGGAAAAGGTGAGGCGTTTCGAGGTCGAATAGGCGAACGCTGCTCCACGAGGAAAGCCTAGCGAAATGACGGCTATCCACAGTGTCTAGGTGTAAGAGAGGGAGCGACTCAAACCATGTAAAGCGTTCACAATTGAATGGCGGACGCCTTCTGCGCAGATTGTTCGCGAGTACTCATGCGTTGCGTTGTCGCGTAGCAATAAGAAAAGCGGGCGGAGAGCTAGAGACGCTCGCAGACGATCGTTCGTAACCTTCTTGCAGCTCGCGTTGCAAACGCAACCCGTATCGTGCAGTTGGAACCACTCTAATATCTAGGCTCACTAGTGACGGTCGTCGACACTGATGACACCTGGTAGGAGCAGACGAAAACGTGCACTGTGATGACGCTACGGTTACGTCACGCGCGTGCGCGCGTGGTCGACGCGGTCTTTTCGAACCCGATTGGGCGTTGGCGGTTAGTGAATACTCCGTTTCACCTTGCGATGGAGCGCTGCGTACGCTACGAGCGCCATCAGCCGATTCAGCGCTGTGAACGAGTCATGAACCAAAAGTAACTACATAGTAATTGCATCACTATACTTCTTGCTCTTACGCTACCAGTCATCTAGTCTTCTCTTGATGCATTCTGCTGCTGCTGTCTGGGGGGTCTCAGGGGGTCTCGGACCCACCACTGATTTGAACGGACGGTCTGAGACACTCCTCCACAGACCCAGCATTAGTGAAATCAAAATTGTATCTTGCAAAAAACTTCCTTGTTTTCAGGAATGTGACATTTGGGGATTAGCAATTTGAGGGTTGCAGGTACAGCGTGGGCAGTCAGCAGTGCGGTTTATTTTATGTGCATCTAATACATCTCGTTAGGACCCCCCCCCCCCCCCCCCCCCCCACCTTACAGCCTCTTGTAGGGACCCCCCGTCAACTTACAGGAGACTTTAAGCACTGGCTGCTGCTGATGTGATGATGATGAATGGATGCTAACGGCTGTACCTTTTATAACGGGCGGTAGCTTGCGTCACCAAGCCTGGAAAATAAGAACCAAGAGTATTTTTTTTTTCTTCGCGAATTTGCTTACCCTCTGAAATTTCGTAAATATCACCAGGCAGTGTCGGATAAGATAACCTGTAATAGATCGGGCCAAAAAAAAAAAAAAATATATATATATATATATATATATATATATATTTTTTTTTTTTTCTTTCTGGCGAGGGAGGCACCAATTTTCCTCTGATCAAACCTAGTCAGCCTTACCCCGGTGCCGGGCCCACTGGAGGACAGGATGGAGTCTTTGGGCCTGAGCCACGCGGGAGGGAGTCCCAATTCTCCTCTGTCCCGCCTGTCCCCCAGCTGTGTCAATTAGTTGTACGTCATTCAATTATTCGTAGATAATTTCCACCAGTCTTTAGATCTCCTCTTTGCAGGCACGTAGCTAGGATTTTGTTTCGGGGCGGCTGGGCCCTATGCCCCCCCCCCCCCCCCCCCCCCCCTGGCTACGTGCCTGCCTCTTTGTTATTAAAATACACTTGTCATTCATTCTTCCATTTTCGTCTGCAAACCCCAGCACTCTGGCTAAATTCGTCGCCCCCTTCGGGAAGGCGGGAGCAAGCCCTGTGCACTTCAACACCACACATTCTATTGCCTTGTCTTTTTCTTTGCGTATACGGCACAGCGCGTATCAATTTCCTCTTACTTTGTCCTATATGTCCCAGTCCTCAATATTCCTGTTCTAGCCTCGAAGGACAACGAGCTCCCCCGTGAATTATCATACCAACATTCCTTCGTTATTTCCTGTTTTCGTCCTCTATACATAGTTGAAGCTGATTTTCCCTGCTTTCCTCCACATCTGTCTCTCAGCTTCTTTTACTTCCTGGTGATGATGAGGGGGATAGCAGTGATGATGATGACGACGACCTTGATGGTGCCTATGTGGCAAAGACTACCTCTTTTGCAGACTTCGAACGTTCGTTCCTTCGATATAGCACGCAGCAGTGCCATAACGAGGACGACGGCGTTGCGCAGGCAAGCCCACAGTTGGCCGTCGACGTCGGCTGTGGCCCCGGAACGAGCTCCGGTGTGCTGGCTCCGCACTTCCAACGGGTGCACGCGTACGACGTGTCTGAAGCACAGATCGAAGAAGCCAAGGCCAACAACCGAATCGCCAACCTCACCTACGGGTACGCTTTTTGGAATTCCTCAAGAGTAAGCGAACAGACGACCAACACTGTTGGCGGATAAGCGCGCCCTAAAGCCATTGGGTGCGTTCACTCGCAGGCGACGCGCTGGAGATTGCTTGGCACGGCAAGAAAAACTGTTCTTGTCTTGTCGCCGAGTGGTGATTGTTTGTTGGTTTGTTTGCTTACTGGACTAGGCAGTTGCATTTAGACTATAATTTGTTGCAGGTTTAGAATATATTACGTCTAGCTTCTCGTGCAAGGCCCACCAGTCTTTGCTCTTTAGCAGACTGGACGCTGGAGGGTATAGGCGAGGGGAAAAGAAAAAAAACACCAATCATTGTGAGCAGAAAGCTTGGTGGGAGAGCTTCGTCTTGTTGCTCTAAACCTGCAGCTGGAGGCAAAGAGGAAATTGGCACTGTTCGCAAGCAGGCTAGATATGATTTGTCACTTTCATCAACGTTTCTGGAGCGTAGACGGAATCAACCGGACACTCCAGAACGTCTTGGTGGCGAAGCGGTATTCGCTTTTCTACATCGGTTGTACGTGATCAATAAGTTTTGCCTCCAGGCTGTAATTTTTTTTAAATTCAGTAATGGAATTGAATGACGTTACATTCAAATGAAAGTTTGGAATCTCCTCTTTCCCAGGAGCTCATAACTTTTCAAAATAGCTCCTACCGGCGGCGATTCACTTCCGATAATTCCGGTGCACTACTTTCCGCGTGCCGTCGCAAATGATTGAGGGCTGCTGTTGACGAGACCAACGCCGCGGTGGAGGCGCTGCAGTTGCAAGATGCTTTGTCTCATCCACCTTACAGCTCGGACCTCGCACCATCAGACTTATGCCTATTTTCCAAGATAAAGGAACATCTGGAGGTGGCACGTTTTGCGTCCGACGACGACGTTACCGATGCCGTTAGTGTTGTTATTAGCAGCACTAGTCAATCATCTACCATGGCATGCGGAGAGTAGTGCGCCGGTAGCGCAAGTGCGTCGGCGCCATTGGGGACTATACTAGAAAGTTATGTGCTCCTGGGAAAGAGGAAATTCCAAACTTTCATTCGAATGTAACATATATTTCAATTGCATCACTGAATAAAAGGATTACATCCTAGGACGCAAAACGTTTTGATCACCCCTCGTAAGTTGCTCAATTAAGACCGATTCGTTTCACTTCACGCGCGAGCGAAACCGAAGCTACACGCGCGACCACAATGCTCTGAGCTGTGGTATTTGGAGTGCGTCTCTGACTGGTGTGAGTTTGCCGGGTCCCTCTAACGTGGTTCATCGATTTACACCTGATGGCGTCATAGGAGTTCCACTTACTGATACTGACACTCGCCGTGATACTGAAGATGGTGCACGGCAACGAAAGTGTAACACTGCAGACGCCAGTTCTGCCGTGGGATCGCTCTGCATGTCAGACGGTTCATGGAAGCGTCAACAGCCAGGGGTTTGGACGCTGGGACGACGAAGGCGACTCCCGCCTCCGCTCGCCTTTCTTGGCAGCATTTCTAGAACCAACCACCAGGATCGCTACATCCGACAGCACGCACACCACACGGGTTCCTGTGACGTCATTTCTTGCCACTTCGTTGGAACTATTTTCGATGCGCGGCCGGTCAACGAACCTATGGCACACGGGTTCCAGCCTCCAGGTGCACCTTACCTGAACGAAACCCGGAGCGATCGCTCTTGTAGCTTTTGTTACGTTTGCACTTAAAGTGAAATGGAGTTAGATCACTACATTGGACAGCTCCAAAAAACGCAGAGCATGACCAGTCACCGAACATCTTATAAGCGCTCGAGAACCAATCATGTTGGCATTAGCCGGTAATATTGCCAAAGAACCAATCACGACGCAAGAAGTATACACACAAGTCACGCCCCGTGTTTCTTTAGCTCTCCGTGACCCTTAGTGCCGTTTCTTTTGGCAATGAGATGGGGGGGGGGGGGGGGGGGGACATTCATCCCACCATTCCGTCTTTTGCCATCTTCCGCGATGCCAGTGTGGCAGACGCGGAAGCCATTCCAGAGGCCAGCGGGTCTGCGCAGCTGATCACGGCGAGCCAGTGTGCCCACTGGTTCGACCTGGACAAGTTCTACGCCGAGGCGGAGCGGGTACTCTCGCCGGGGGGTGTCCTCGCCCTCTACGGCTACCTCATCCCAGTGCCCGTGAGCAAAGACCAGGCCAAGATGGACAAGCTCATTCATGACGTGAGTCCCGAAATGTATTTTATATACTACCGGCGGCGTAGCCAATGCCTTTTTGGTCCATGAATGTGAAGTCGGAGAGTGAAACTAAACGAGAAAACCCCTTCAAAGACATTGCTAAGTTTTCTTCTTCTTTTTTTTTTTATACACCGAATTATTTTTAAGACGCTTTACTCTGAAGGTTGTTTGAAAATTGGGTCAACTTTTGCACCTATGGAAGCTTCACTATACTCCTTTCATCCTTAAGCTGATCGAGACTAGATCTGCCCTTGCTAACACAAGTGTGAACTCGCTGGCACGCGCAACCGAAGCACTGCGGACGACAGCAAGGTCGCCCTGAAGGCAGAACTTCTATAGTCTCAGCTTAAGGATGAACGGCGTGATGCTTTGGATGCAACTTTAGATGCAACTGGGTGCCTTCATACACGCGCGAATTCACAAGCGCAGACTGTGGGTTCAATCTCCACCCCTGCCCATTTCGATCTGGATGAGCATCGTATACCGGCGTGCCGTGTATCACTACTGCGTGATGCGCGTTAAAGACCCCAGGCGAACAGTCGTACTGCACTGACAAAATGTCTCCGCACCTCAAAGGCAGAGCGACCTTATACGCTATCTAAGCATGAACGTAAAATTTGTTTTAGCGCCGACTAATCCATCGACTTTCTTGCAGGAGCTTTACATGGGCTGTTTGGAAAAGCACTGGACGAAGCAGAGGGAGGTGATAGACAATATGTACAGGGACCTTCGCCTGCCCTTCGACGACAGTGTCCGGTAATAAGGCCTCGACATGTTTTCCCGGCGAGTCTTGTGGCGGTGGGCTCTGATGGGGAAATGGAAGACCGGAACGGTGATGACCGCTCCTTTCGGTCCGTACAATACAAAGATCATACACACCCCAAGGCGAAACAGACACAAAACACACCCGAAGCAAATCACGCAGAATTTGGGGCAGAGAGATCGTGTCTCGGGTTTTTCACCGGTTCTTCTCTGGTTTCAGCGACGAGTCCTTTGAGGACAGGAAGGTCCAGTCGGTGGCCGACTACCTGAACTACGCCTGCACCTGGTCGGCCTACCAGGCCCACCTCAAGGAGAACCCGGAGGAAGCGAAAGGCCTCATAGCCAGGCTGACGTCCGCGTGAGTAATGGCGTCAGGTCTGCGAACGGTCCTCAAAGAGGTGACGGTTGTGCTTACAGACGACTTGTTGCGTGAGTTCTTATTCCCGCGCTGAAACGCGGCGATTTGTTTCGTTAAAAATAGTCTGCGTGACAAATCATTTCTCATTCTCACGTTCGGAGTTCTAAACCCTTGTCTGGTCATACGTCACACCGGGTGGGAAACGCACGGAGCACCTGTCTGACAATTGTGGGTGCGACATAGCAAGGCTTGGCTGCCCAGAGGCTGTACCTCTAAACGTGTTTAGTTTACTGACAAAGCGAGTTGACTTCGAAATGGAGTGATAGCAACTTGACTAACTCAAACATTGCGGAAAATGATCAGCGTTACATTTGTGTCTGTTGACATTCCAGACTTTTTTTGCGGAAATATATGAACTCGACTGACGCACAAGAAATGTCTTATCTTAAAACGCGGTCAACAACTCACCAAGTCGCACGTAGTAGCGGAAAGTCCACATCAGAAGCAGCCATTTAGTTGGACCCAGCCGTTCAAACAATCGGCAATCTACTATACATAATGGCTGTTTTTTTTTTGTTTTTTTTTTTTTTTTGCTTTTTTTATTACCATATTTTGCTTTGTCAAAGTGGAAAATGTGGAAAGCTGTATGGGACGAGCTTGTCTTGCATTTTTTGACCTTTAAGAGGCGGTATTTACTGGACGCCATATTTGAGCGATGCTTAGAGCCATCGCCTCCTCTACACTGACAAAGCCTGTCAGATCGCCACGAGACGCGACCGCCGAAAGGGAAAGGGTAGACATCATGGTGTAAGGCGCAAAAAACAGCGGACAGAAGAGAGAAATCAGACATACAGGCGCCTTACACCATGACAGTGTTGTACGGAACGGCGTTCCCGGAACGCGTTCCTGGAAAGCCTCCTTTTAGGAGGAACGAAGGAACGCCGCCTTTCCATCTTGCATCGGTGATACTGGAACGGGAACTTGTTTCATTTTTACTGGAACGGAAAAAAGATTGGAGTTCCTTGTAATGTTTATTTTGTTTCTAAGTAAATTCTACAAGTATGAATACAATATCTTAAGAGCAGAATCTCGTTAACTTTTTGCTTGCTTATACTATAGGATTTATTTTGTGTGGTCCTCGCTTGTTAAACGTCGGGTGCAGGAGAGCTAATGGATCTCGATTATTTTTTTCAGTGCCCAAGAGTGTGGTAGAAAAAGCAAAACTTTTAGTCGAAGAAAAGACACAGAAAGAGGGACGTTTCCAGCTCAGCTACTTTCTTTGCGTTCACGAATCCTCATACAGCCAGATATTTAAGGCCGACTTCAGCCATCACTAAACTTCCACAAAAACACTTACAGTTACAACAAAATAACGTTTCCAGACATCGAACGCACCCTTGTATGCCGAACATTGGTCGCTTAAAAGATGCACAAAAATTAACCTTTATTCCTTCTCCCATTGTCGCCTACCTTCAAACTGAAAAACGAATCCAACCTTTACGAAGAAAGACTTGAACTTTTCAAGACTGACCTTCCAAAAGCCGTAGTCTGTCCTTCACTTGCTCGTCTTGCGGACAGCAACATCGAGAAACAACTGTTGTTAACTACGAACAAGGGACTTCGTTATATTGAAACTATGGTGCCTGGAACGCGTCTCCGACTGGTGTGTTTATCGCGGCCAAAAAAGTGGTCCCTCGATTTCCGCCTGATGACGTCGTAAAAGTGTCATGCTGTCGCCGGTCGCGACCCTGGCGGCGTCCCAACAGTTGTGGTAAGAAGGGCAGACGCCCGTTCTGCTGCAGGTCGCTTTTCATTGTGACAGTTCACGGAAGCTAGGAAAGCCGGAAGTTGGGACGCCTAAAGCGACGCCGTGACGACAGCGACACTCGCGTCCGCTCGTGCTTTTCGCCAGCATTTCTACGGTCAACCGCCAGGATCGCGACAGGCAACAGCATGATAAAGTCCCTCTATACTTACAGCATGACACTCGCGTCATTTGTTGCCACATTGAGACCACTTTTGATGTATGGGCGGGATAGGGCGCTAAACACACCAGTCGAAGACGCAATCGAGGCACCATAATTGAAACGTGTGAAGTTGGTGTAAAACGCTCGCGCAATGTGGGTTAGCAGTACATTTGGCTCGTCGGAATCGCCCACCACAAACATGAATATGGTTAAAGGCTGCGATTTTTAAAGGTGAATATATCAACAAATGAAACTGCTTCCTCTTGTTTTCTTCTCCTGGTGCCCTTCCATCACGGCATTCAAATTCGTATGGTGCCATTTAATGGAATAGATAAAAAAAAACAAAAAAACTTTGCTCGATATAATTCGGTAATCAGCAAAATACAAATGTAACGTAGTGTAACGATGAGTTCTATCTTTTAACTGTAACGGGAAAGAGTTCCAATTTCACGTATGCAACTTGTAACGGGAACGCGTTCCAAAAATTAGAAGGAACGATCTATCGTTCCTTTTCTTGAGGAACGTGTACAACACTGCACCATGATTCTCTCTTGGGTCCGTTGTGCTTTTTTTGTTGTTTTTTTGCGTTTTACACCATGATTTTTCACGTTCACCAACTAGCCCAACTACAAGTTCTTCTATAGTGAAAAGGTAGTGCGGCAGGCAACGGATAAAAGGAGAGTCATGTAATGGGCGCCCCGCTGCGGCGAGACGCCAAAACACACTTCTCCCGAGCGATGGAATGTCCGCTCGTGCTTCTCGCGTTCTTCGCGCTACCGCCTGTTTTCTCGTCGGGTTTAAAGACCATGTTTCGGGTATTCGCCGCTGCAAAAGCTGTGCGCTGACGACCAGGTTCCCCGATAAATGCTCTGTGCTACCAGATCCTCGCGCTCCGAATCTGCAACCGGGCGCTCTGTCACTCCGTCGACGAACTGCCAGGCTTTGGGAGTATAGAGGAGACAATGTCAGAGCGTATGCTCAGAACGTGCTCGCATTAATAGACTGCTAAGACCTGCAATATTGATGGTGTGAAATGCACGTTGCAAAAGAACTGTGGAAGCTCGCCGTCAGCACGCGCGCAGCCATCGGACACGAAGATATATGGCCGCCAGTGAATAATTAGACGATTGTAAGCAGGGGGTTTGGCTGTCGCTATGTCTCTGCTTGGGCGGGCAAGTACGTGCAATTGCAAGCTTGCCAAAGCTACGTCCACACGCACACTGCACATGCTTGCAGGCATGGGGCACCAGTGAGGCGCCATGCTTGCAATTGCCTATTGGCGACGTGAGCGATCGAAAGTGTCGCTGTGGTCGGCACACCACAATTGGCCGAATGCTGACTATGACGTCAGCAAAGGATATCAAATCGACGTAAATAAGAAGCACGTAAGAACTTCAATTTGGACGGTCTGGGCAGTGCTACTTCGAGAGCGCTATGATTTCAGGCTTTCACCATGCTCGTTACAAACACCATTGAACTTGTTCTTCACAAGGTAATGACGTCACGAAAGGTAACCAAATGGGGGCGCCACCGAAACATCTCGCCGCCAATAACTGCCAAAGAAATACAAAAACAAAATGTTTGCACTTATTTTTTTTTTTTTTTTTTAGATGAGGTAAATGTTGTGTCGGCAGCCCTGCAGAAATACTTGCCTAGACTATTGTTTCTGGGCTGCCCGCGGGGAAGTCAAGAAAACTAATTTTAAAACGAATGAACATGGATTTCACCATTGTTTCAAACTTTCACCAAAACGACAGCAGCAACCTGGTCACTGGCATAACCGTGACTAGTGATTGTTTCACGAAACTATACTTCTTGCATCGCTTGAAACACTGTGTACTGTAAGCGGTTGCCCTGGTGAATTGTCTGTTTCGGTCGTTTTGAACAGAACCGACGCAACTGAGTGTTGGAGAACATAATAGCGCTTCACGACAGGGACGAAGAGTAGGAACGAGACAACACAATGCGCTAACTTCAACTGGTTTAATCGTCAGAAAATCAAAGGTATAAATACTCTGCATCATCGCGCCATTCAACCAATCCCAAGCCACGCCACTGATCGCAAGAACTGTGTTTCTGCGATCAGTGGCGTGGCTTGGGATTGGTTGAATGGCGCGATGATGCAGAGTATTTATACCTTTGATTTTCTGACGATTAAACCAGTTGAAGTTAGCGCATTGTGTTGTCTCGTTCCTACTCTTCGTCCCTGTCGTGAAGCGGTATTATGTTCTCCAAGTTTCAGTACCAACTCGCCCAAGAATCCGCATTACGCAACTGAGTCGTTTTGAACGCAATTCATGCAACGTAACCAGCACCTCCTCTTTTTTTTTTTTTTTTTTTTTCCTAGGTTAATGGACATATATGGCGACGGCACAAGTACGCCGGCGACCACCAGCATGGAAGTCAAGATACAGTACTTCCTGGTTATGGGCCGCAAACCAGCGACCGGTGTCGCGCATTGACCCAACTTCTCACGTGTCGTCATTCTGACCTTCAATCATGAAACATTCTCAAAGACTCGCCTGCGAGTAAACGAGAGAACATCGGTTTCAGCGCCGAGGCTGAGCGAGCCTTTGTTATGTTTTCATTGGGACGCGTCTTAGGTACGCGAGAAATATATTTAAGATTCAATATCCTGTATGTTGTCGATATCTTGTATACAGAACTTGCGTTCCCGTCTTCTGGATTAGTACGTATTGCAGTTTCAGTGGCGTAACAGTGTGAACTGCACAGGTGGCGCTGGGGCACGTTTTGGCAGGAACGTGTTCCTCTTCGAAAAGTCACCGTGTATTGCGGGCATAGCTGATCTGCGTATTAAAGGGACCATGAAATGATTTTAAAATCGAGTTTCATCCACCGCACGTCGTAAAAGGTGTGAAAAGAAACACAAAAACACAAAAATAGGGAGCCAAAAAAAATTATTTGCTATAGAACTTTTAAAAGAAAACTGGACTCTTTTGCGCCTTCCTTCCTTCGCCTGTTCACTACGATGCATCCGCGGAAATGGAGCACGTCAGCCAAATCCAGGTCGCCTATTGGGTAAGAGCCTACCTTACCAGCACCGCGATCGTAAACAATAAATAGCCGGCGAATGTTTCCTAAAATTTTGTTAAATAATATTCAGATCCACATTTTGTAGCATAATTAGAGATGTGTGGCGAAAATTGCCAAATTTGATAATGCTGAGAGCCAAGCGCCATCTATCGTGTGGTAAACGAAGCAACTACTGCGCGTGCGCAGTTGGGCAGGGCCGACAGTTACTTGGGTGACGGCGACCGACGAACATTTATTTTCTTTGTTTTCCTTCCTCTCAAAACTCTGACTGACTGAACGTTTATTTTTCTACGTGTTCTTCCCGCGCGTGCCGACTTCAAGCAGCAAGAAAACAGTACTTAAAACAGACCACGACGAACAAGAACGCTGGATCCACCGACTCCGACGAAGCGTATAGGCCTAGCAGGCATTTCGACTCGGCGCTGCGTTGCTTCGTCGCAAGACCGTCTGCCTACGATCGGCTGGCGTGCTAAATGGAATATGCCCGCGCGACCCTTGTGGACCCTTCCCGTATTATAGTTTGATCACTGACCTTAATTCTAGATTAAGAGGTGAGGTCAATCTCTTCCCCTTGTTTTCCGAGGCAGTGTTGACGAACACTCGTCGATTCTATCTTCTTGTTTTGTGTGATATAGAGCTGAAATAAACGCCGTATGGATTACCTTCGTAACACGGTATGTACACTTTGTTATTGGTATGCCATTTTTATTCTGACAGACTGCACGTCACTGTCGAGCTATAACAGTTCGTGGGAGGTATACGTACAACCCCGGTCCAACCTTTCTTTGCCGAGTGTCGCGTCAGTATCGAGTTGCAATCGTAAAAGAACGGTCCCGAAGCGCTTACAAACAGCGCGAATACAGCACTTCCATCAAGCGCGCGCGTCCGCTCCGAGTGTAAACAGGTATTTACGTGGCTCTTGCTGACACTCGTAGTTCAAACGTATCTTTTTTAACGTCGGCTCGCTCCTGCATCTCCGAGGCCGCGAAAAACGCCATCTACGTCGCTTTGCAAACGACTGACACGGGCCGGCCCTTCTGCCAACAATGACAGTTGGGTTGACTTCTGGAGTCTTCACCGGAAGACTCGCTGCACTTCCCAACAGGCATACCGGCATATGGGACTAGTCCCATGCTGTCGCTGTAGCGCAACATATCTCATTGAATTTCGCTCAGCTGCGATGCGGCGATGAGAGGCGCCGATTCAGGAAATACGTCGGTGACATCAGCGCAGTAAAACCGGCGCACCCCAACTCGTTGCCGCTAACACTCCCATTCTCCTACTGCCAAGAGAACTTCCGGTTCCAGAAACGGCCTACGTCACGGCTTGTTTTGCGGTCAGTTGGAGAGAATGAAAAAGTCGATATTTCAATAATTTTTTGTGTAGAAGTTAATAAACCGAGACGAAAACGGATGCCTGTTCGGCATTCAGTGAACATTGACGGTTTAATGTAAAAGTTATCTGGAAAAAGTAAAAAGGTCATTTCATGGTCCCTTTAATGTGCGGACCAGCTGATGTAAGCTACACGGTGTATTTGTTTAAGTCCTCAGTCTCACGCGTGTGATGAATTCCGCAAATGTGGATGCCGTGTTTCTAGACACGTGGCAGCATGCACATAACGGTGAGAGGACCCCTGGAACACAGGGTGCACGTACCAGGCATGCCAGAAAACGAACCTATACGTGGCGGCGTGCTCCTCCAGAACTCTTCTGATAGGGGGGCACCATTTCGTTTCAGTACATTCATAAGATGGGGAGGGAGGGTGGAGCGTTGAAAAGGAACGGGAGACGAGGGTAACGAGACCTGTGCGCTCCGTTTTAACCATCCTGATAGGTGGCAAGGCAGACAGGAAACTCCGAAAGATAAGGCTGGGTGGTACGGTGGTTGGCCTCACCGGTAACAAGAGTTTTAGCAGATCATCCCGATGACTCCGAAAACGATACCCTATATACACGCCGTCACCGCGTTTGCGCACGCTTGGCATCGTTATCGGGTATCGTTATCGGGAATATGTTGCAACGATCTACCGAAACTCCCTAATAATGGGGAGTTTTCGTAAACCGCGTTTCCCCCTCCGCTATGCCCTCCGCAACGAAGAAGCCGCTACTGCGTCTGCGCGTTGATGGCCTCGACTGTAGAGTTCCAGGTATCGTAGCGGGTAGCGGAGAGCGTTTCGGGACAGCGGAAACGATCTACGAAAACTCCCTAAGGAGATACAAAACTTGAAAGTATAAAACAGAGAGGACGAGGACCGGAACAGATGTCCTGTTCCCGTCCTCGACCTCTCTGTTTTATACTTTCAAGTTTTGTATCTATTAACCAACACGCGCGTTTTCAATTGTCCCTAAGGAGGATATAACCGAAGTTCGAATCCCGCTCTGCCAATTTTTGTCTTTTGGCGGCTTCATTCCCATTCGATCAGTAGGGTTCATTCATACGCATTTCTCGACCGTTTCCTCCTTGGAGACCTTGGACCTTAGAGACCACGAAAAGACGATAAAAACGATTCGCGTCTACGCGTATCTAGTTTCAACCACGAGTAAGTACAGTTTAGTGGACTCGTTTCCCTTCCAGGCGCGTAACTTTTTCTGTACACCCCCTTCCAGGCGCTTAAGTTTTTCTGTACACCCCGTTTCACTTCGAGTTCAACGGAAATCGACGCTGCGATATACGACCGAGGCAAATCGAGCGGCGCCAAAAATTGCATCGTCCCGGTGCTCCATGTGTTTGCGGGTTTCCTATCGCCGGCTAAACCAATCTCGCACAGAAAAAAAAAAAAAAAAAAAAAAAAAGCATTGGGTATGCGTGATAGGTCTAGCCGGCGATACAGGCAACCTATAATGGATGGATGGATGGATGGATGGATGAATACGGCTGAGCCCTTTGGATCGGGCGGTAGCTTACGCCACCTAGCCATTTTGTTTTACCATTTAAGCTTCGAATATTTAAATGTGAAATCTATATTCACTCCGCAGTGCAAAGAAGGTGAGGCTATGAAACCCCCTTGCCATCAGTGGATAAGAAAATACCTAGTTTTCTCTCGATTTCTGCCACCATTCACTTAATCTTTGCTTGGTAATCTCTACAGTCTTGAAATCCACTCTCCCTTCGCTGTCTCTAAAACCCAATGACTTTATTAAGTCTATGTTGTCTTCGGTAGGCATAGGGTGAAGCCCTTTACAGTAGAGTATCAAGTGCTCAGCCGTCTCGTCCTCCTGCTGTAATGCTGTTTGGTTTAGCGCCATCTAGCGACTGAAGCAGGAAGCATTGGGTATGCCTAGGAGTGTCGGCTGCGTTGTTCAAACGTGAACTATTACTCTGGTGGCGCCGCTTAGCCTAGTGTCGGAAGCATGAAATACTGGGTAGGCCAGGAAGCCTAACATGCCAGTACGGCGGAAGGTTTACGGCCCTCGCGGGCGAATCGGAACGTGACTACGGATCACCGGAGCGGGCTTTTACAGCGAAAGAGTATCACGCTTTTCGCTGCGTCGTGCTTCAATTATTAGGGTGCCTTCGTGTCCCGCTAGGCACTCTACCTATTATGTGTGCGTTGTGCTCGTATATATAGCGGATATCGAAGCCGTCGGCACGCAATGTGGGGCCTATCGTTCATATTTTGCCAAGTTACACCGAGGCAGGGCGTAACCTTGGGCTCACTGTAATGGCGCCGCCTGGCTGTTACCGTCAGCCAGGCGGTAACAGCCAGGGAAAAAAGAAATATTCACGCTGAAAAATCGGAGTAACCGTCCTCGCACAAACGCTAGGGGCCCATATATAGGGCGAGGGTAATTCTGAACAATCACAAAACCAAAATCTATTATCTATTAAGGGTTTAACAGATTTGTGCTACAGAACAAGACGCCGAAGGAAAGATAGTCTTATTGTTGCTAGGCCGCTTTACCTTGCAGTGTGGTCCAAAGGCAGCTGAGGCATATCCTTGGGGCGATGAGAAGTCGTCAGTCCGAACTCGTCGTTCCGTCACTCGGAGAAATGACATCACGCACAAACACGCAAACCACACGCCGAACGTGGAAACGAACTTGAATACCCTTGTGCCTGTGCGTAGTGAGGATATGCAGGCTCTTCGGAGTTTCTGATGTGCCGTGCAACGAAAAGATTTAATTAATAACGAATTGCATCGGATGCCACCTCGAAATGCAAAGCAGAAAGCAAGACGGACTCATCGCATTCGTGAGCGACCATCGAGACAGGCGTCTCGATGGAGGGAAATTTCACGAAGTGAGAGAACCTTCGCCAATAATAGGAAAATTTTAGGCGTCCAATGAAAAATGGAGAAACATGAAACGCCCATCACCCCTGCGCTACAGGCAGTCGCCCTCTGTCCAGATGTCCTATTCCCAAACGTCTATCGTCTCCTCAAGATCCTAGCGACTCTGCGCGAAACAACGGCGGAAGCTGGGGGCTTGTTCTCTTCGCTATACGACGGTTGAAAACATACCTGAGAGCGTTCACTTCGAATGAGCGACTGCTCGGTCTAGTGCTTTTGAATGTTCACCACGACATTGAAGTTCAAGCGGTGGTCATCCTGGATACTCTATGTCGTGAACGAAAGTGGCTGCATCTTCATATGTAGGCGCTTGGCATAAATCAGATGATAAAGAGAGCCTGCAAATTGCTTTCTGAAATAACTAGTTACAGTTATTTTTGTATTCGCTGTAATTCCTAGTCGAAAGCAGCCTATTCTGATCAGTACACAAGGTGTGCGTGAGCGCAGCGCCACCCGTTGCTTACAGTGAAATTGTTTTTTACAATTCATTGAATATTCCTTACATCACCGACATTGTTTTATATTATCACCATCACCATGTGTTCGTTTTATTATGTTCACTTTGGTTTGATTGAACTGTGTATTTCAGTGAGGATAGTTTGTTTTACTTGGCCTTGAAATTGCCATCCTTCACCCCGCAAACGTTTCAAAATATTCGTTCTATATATATATCTGAGATCGCGAGTTCCGCATCTTATTAAATAAGCATGAATGAAGAAATATTCACTATTTTATTTATTTCGGCATTGTCTACCCCACAAACATTCTGTGCCCCGTGCAAGACCGACTGCGGGAGGGGTAGCGAGCGGGCCCAATGACCGGGGGGAAGGGGGGGGGGGGGGGGAGGGTTCAAATCCCCAACCCCCCCCCCCCTCGGCCCGCCTACGCCTGCGTGACATCATGGCATCACGTGACTCACTGTGTCACCTGACGTCATTAAGTCGCGTGGCGTCACTGTGCAACGTGACATGACAATGGCACGTCATGGTGTCGTCTCACGCCAAGTAACAGGTGACGTGATGCGCGGCGTGACGTCAATTTGGAATCTTTTGGCGCAGTGCCGAAAACGGCCCGCGTCGATATATGGAGCGCGGTCGACGGCGCGAATCCCGCGAATTGTCCCACCAACCGCGATCGCAGTAATATCGCAGTAAAAATGGCAGGTGATACCACGCTCTTGGCCTGTCCTTGTTTGACACGTCCGGTGATTGCCGTGAAGCAGCTTGCCGCATCCTCGGCTCCCGCTTATCAGCTGAAAAGGACGTCGAGGGCGTTGTATCTCCGCACATCTGCGCTGCATAGATTTATCATTTCCAGACGTTTGTCTCTATTCAAGCTTCCAGCCGGTCGTTGCTTCGATAGTTGCTCGAGGTGAGGAAAATCTTCCCCTATAGTGATACCAGAGTGGAGCAGTGTTGTAAACAGCCCGTTTCCTGGCTGGCTTCATGAGGACGGGTGATCGTTCAACAGCGTACAATTCCTTCTTGCAAACCGGAATTCGCTTGACTTCGGCGTATACAGCTACCGCTGGTTATTCTGATTCTTTTACCCCCACCAACGAGTGTGGAGGGGAATATATTGCACAGACTTTTCCTACATGTGCTTATCGGAATGTGATTTCTAAAACGCGCCGTCGCGTCCCTTATATAAACGGAAACCGCGTACAAATCGACAACGGCGGCGCCACCTGTTTCCACATGGGAACCGGTTGGATCAGTCACAACGATCCTTCATTCCAGCGGCCAGGCAGAAACACCTGTGGCGACGGCAGCCTCATTCCCCAGTGCTCCGTCCATTTCACGATGAGCCACGTGTACAAAACGAAGGCTCACGCGGACATCTACGTCAAATTCAGGCCCTCTCCGCCTCCCGCTCTCATCGAGCAGATCGTCAACTTCGTCAAGGAAAAGGTGCGAACGTATCTATTCTTGATCTGGCCGTCAAGTTGTGGCAGTCTTGGCAACGTTTTGAGGCAATGCCGCTGGAACGCGTCTTCGACGGGCATCTCTTTAGCGTCCACTCCGGTCCATACATCAAAAGTGGTCCCGAAGGCGAAACAAATGACGTCACCGGAGCCGGCGTGTCCGGTTGGTCAGAGCGGTTGGTGCAGGAGTCCAGGCAAAAAGTATACGACGGATGGATGGCTAAATGTTAATGGCTATACCCTTTGTAACAGGAGGTAGCTTGCGCCACCTAGCCTATGTCTAAGAAGACATACGAGCAATCGCGAGTGCCGCTGTCGTTGCGGGGTCCCAGCCCTTGGCTGCCGAGGTTTCCGTGGAGTGTCAAGAGGGAAATCGACCTCTAGCAAACCAGCAGGTGTCTGCTACATCCACCACCGCTGCGGCGACACCACCAGGATCGCGGCCGGCAAAAGCGTGACACTTTTATGACGTCATCAGGCGGAAATCGAGGGACCACTTTTGAGGGCGCGGTAAAAACGCCAGTCGGAGACGCCTTCCAGGCACCGTAGTTTTGGCCCCCGGAGAATAATTTATGCAGGTTTAGAACCCTGAGAAGTGCCCATTATTCGAAGGACATGTCAACTTCGTTACAAAGTAACACACCGCGTCCTAGATAAAAAACGCCGTCGTGCTGAATTTGTGACGTCACGCAAAGAGGCCCAACGCGGGAGACACTGATTGGGCACGAGTGCTGCTTCAGCGTTAGGCCGAGATTCGTGTTCAATCGTTGACCCGCGCTGGCCTTCTTTAAGTGACGTCAAAAATTCAGCCTTGTTTTGCTATCTAGGAGCTGCAGTGTTGAGCAAAAATGTAACAGGTTTTTTTTTTGGGGGGGGGGGGGGGAGGGGGGGGGGGGGGAGTGCAGGTAGAGAGACTGGGCGCTTATAGTATACGCCTACGGTCCCTCAGGTAGGGCAACGTTAGTCTTTGTATCCCTTGATGCCGAGAGGATATACGGTCAGAAATTGTGCGATTCAAAATGGCGACGAAGTGCTGGTCAGAGCCAAGAGTTCGAGCCGAAGGACACTTTTTCACGTGAAGAGTGAAGAGTGAAGGTCGAGTATGTTGATTTCAACATCCTCGACCAAAAGTCGAGGATGTTGAAATACTTCTTGATACTTTGCGTTTTTCTTTTAGTATATTCTCATGTTTTCAGAAGCATGGTGCACTCCTGACTCAAATGACTTTGTTTTGCTTAATTAGAGTCAATTTCCTTTACGACGAATTCTGAGGAGGTGAAAAACGTTTCAATACTTATTAAGCAGTCTCTCGATTGTTGTGTTTTACCTATTTTACAGAACTGAATGAGTCTTCTCAGTTTTTGTCAAAACCCGTTGGTAACTACGTTTTTTTTTTTGTTTTTTTTTTATACCATACTATTAATCTTTATCTGGAAATGTCAGTAGCATGTTTTTTGTACTTTATAAGTTGCTTAGTTACGTGAGCGAGAACAACTATACTATTTTTTTTTTTTTTTGGGGGGGGGGGGGGGAGGGGGGAGGAGATTTTAATATTGACTTATTAAAAACATCAACTATATATGCGCGGTAAGCGATTTTCTGCTGTCAAATCAACTGGCTTTGAATCTTACTACGGGAGTTACAAGAATAGCAGTCCAGGGTATACTGGTCTAGTTACTAGGTAACTTTATCACAAACTGTACCCAGGAAGATATTTCTACATCAGGCGTAATTAGCTGTAATATTAGTGACCCTTTAGTAACAACTTAAACTCGACCTTGGAAAAAAAAATGGAAGCCTTTGCGTACGGATTACGAGACGGAATGTCCAACGAGCCTCAATGTTCAACGAGACGGAAGATCCAATGATGGATATTCAGGCACGTGGGACATTCAGGCTCGTTGGACATTCCGTCTCGGTTGGATCTTTCGTCTCGATGGACATTCAGGCTCGTTGGACATTCCGTCTCGGTTGGATCTTTCGTCTCGATGGACATTCAGGCTCGTTGTATATTCCGTCTCGGTTGGATCTTTCGTCTCGTTGGACATTCAGGCACGTTGGACATTCCGTCTCGCCTGTCACGTGCTAGAATAATTTTCCTTCTTAAATGTACAAACTCGTGTGTATATTTAGTCCGCGTTCCTGCAAGCATTGCTGTAGTTTCATCATACTAAAATGTCGTGCCACAAAAGGCGACGTTGACGGACCGACAAAGAAACAGAGCAGACACAAATATAATAATTTCATCTATAGGAAGGCTTGAGGGTTTGTTAGCTGAGTGCCGATGCGCAGCTATGTACCAATCGGTTAAAGGTGTCGATTGTACGACGCCAAGCGCTCTTTTGATTTTAACAGTTCAAATGTTTGGAATGTTCCGATGACATAGGTCAGCCAATTTGAAATATATAATAGGGATGCAATGTCCGGGTGTTCTAGTGCATCGGAATTGGGGGACGTCTATGAAAGCCGCGCTTCAGAACCCAGGAATTTCTAGTTCAGTCCTCATCCATGCCCATTTCGATTTATATAGATGAGCTACATACGGAGACCCGCATTCTAAACACATGACCACCCGCCAGCGCCACTGACTATGCGCAGAGTCAATATTTAATTTTCTAAAAGGAGCTTTGGGAGCTGTGGGTGCGAGGCATCAAGAGTTTGCACAAGCGTAATTTCCCACTAATAAAAAAATATAGATATATTTTTTTAATAATAAAATCTACATCTAATGCGTCTATAAATGCATGGGGGCGGTAGGGGTGTGACCCGACAATTCCTGAGTAAATGCAGAACAATTGTGTGAATTTTACAAATTTTTATTTTTGTTCGTTTATCTCTGGAACAGACAACTACTCACTGTACACTGCAGTCGTCAGTAGTTTACATACGCATGCATTCCCTGCCAATAGGCTTGTATGTCAGTGAGTAGAGCGATAATACTAGTATCACGCAGTACGCAACTTTTTTTTTTTTTTTTTGCATGTGACATGCATAGTGGTTTTCCGAAGCCCATGTAATTTAACTGGCTTCTGAAAGCTCTCCAAAGCTCGCCATTCTATCGAGGTAGTTCATGACGTCTTGGTAGGTGGGAGCTTGACTGCTGATAAAGGACGCGAACGCACCTATCTCGGCGTGCAGCGGAAAGTTCACACCCGGGTGTACTAATAGCCTAAATCATGTGTGAATATAACAATAGATCGTTCCACGTGGCTTTCTATTCTTGTAGGAAAAGCGTATTGCACCACGAATCCGGTCGCTTCGTCGAAATTCCATTGGTGTCTGGACAACTGGAAGATGGACAATTCGTCGAATAGGGCAATTAGCCCTAGGCCGATTCGCAGAATGAAGAATGGGGCGAAAGTGCCCGTTTGTCGAACTGTCGAAAAGAGTTGATTAGGGTTGGGTCTGTAGATTGCCGGTGACAGTGGGGGTCAACAATAAGACCTTCTTTCCAAAAAAAGAGAGGATGACAAATGCAGCTCTCAGAATTGGCAAGGGTTCGATAGTGAATCGTACCCGGGTCATTCAAAATTATGAAAGTCGGTTTCTTCGTGAATATGTTCACTCGAAACTCTAGCATTATGGAATTTGGGAAGACCGAGCGAGGGGCTGACTTCCTGATACCGTGTTCATATGTGCACTTGTAATGTGCGCATATGAATAAATCACGGTCGCACTGTCGCAGCGGCTCTGTGGCAGAGTTAGAACCAGTTGAAATCCGATCACAGCCTTGGTATCCTACCTGGGCGCGTATCGGTGCGAATGCTGCATGCCACGTTACCAGAAAAAGCAGAAACGACGGAAGCCAATCCTAAAAAAGTATTGTATTAATTAATATGATTGCATATTTGTTGCTTAATACATGGTTCACTGCGACAGCAATCACTTTGGTGGCCGAAGCATGCGAAACTAATCGTCGCGATAAGCGTCAATGTGCCGAATCCTCCGGGCAATCACCGGGAAAAGCTCACCACTTGAGGACATTACCTGCACAAAGGCTTGATGAAAGGAACGTTGTATTCTATCACTGATTTTGATATGAGGATCGAATTTTTGTTTCTGGGGACCGAGAAGTCCAATTAGAAATGTCTAAAACTTTCACGTTCGTTTTGTAAAAAAAAAAAAACAAGAACTACCATTTAGTGTAATTACACATACTACACCGACTTCACATAACAATAATGATAATACTAAAATTCAATCAGGCGTTTTTCTCTCATGCGAGGGACATCATCTTTGCAGGTCTAGGGACACGAATAAGAAAAATACAGCAACTCGTACAATACGGAAAAACTGTGGCTGATGATAAGCACGATTAATGATTCTAAGAACTCTCGTGGGTCTCACATTTGTTTCCGCTCCAGAGGAACGACCCTTCTAAAATCAAACGCGTGACAGATTGTCAATAGTCAACGAGTTCGGTTTTTTATCTTGTAGCATGTGTGACCTTTTAAACGTCATTTTTTTTAATTATAGAAATCATCTTTATATTTAGATATATAAAACGAACAATAAATGCATCGTTTTTTGGGGTTTTATGAAGTATACGAAATACACGAGCGTATTTTTAATTTAATTTTGGGGACTTCACAGAGGCAACGTCAATGGGACAAGCTCAGCGGCACACCAAAACAGCCGTGCATAAAAAATCCCGGTACTGAAAAGCCCGGTGCCGAAGCGACCACGTACCGAAATGATCGCGTACCGATATCTCCGCACCGAAATGTCCGGTTCCCCATTTCATCGAACGCATTTTTCACCGCCGTAACTATCAGTAATCCTACAATTCAACAAAGAAATGTCTTCTAAATTCTTTGCAACGTTCATTCTATATCCGTTGGTATTCAGACTCGTTGGACATTCAGGCTCGTTGGACATTCCGTCTCGGTTGGATCTTTCGTCTCGTTGGACATTCAGGCACGTTGGACATTCCGTCTCGGTTGGACCTTTCGTCTCGTTGGACATTCAGACTCGATGGACATTCCGTCTCGATTGGATCTTTGGTCTCGTTGTACATTCCGTCTCGCCTCTCACGTGACTTACTGGACATTCAGGCTCGTTGGACATTCAGTCTCGTTGGACATTCAGGCCATAAGCGTTGCGTACGCACTATTACACCACAAAGACAGCAGTCATTCAGGAACTCCATCGAAACCACCAAAGCCGGGGTCATACTGCTCATGCATCATATAAAGGGCAAAGATTCGTGGTTCGAATGCCGCGTGCCCAAGTTTCTCTTTGAACTCATTCCCACACGGCATTCGAAGCACGGATCTCGCGTTAGAATTTGTATGCAGACTGTCATTTGCATGATGTACAAGCAGTGTGACCCCGCTTAATCGGAGCACAGTATACGCTAAAGATTCCGATACATTTATAGAGATTCCACAAAATTTAAAGTAAAAGCTTTCCGTACAAGGTCATCAAGCCTGGCAAGACGTTGGAAAACCATTGGTTTTCACATAATCTGTTGGAGAAAAATAATAATATAAAATATCATTCGTACCATAAATTTGTCAAACCTAAAGATAGCGATGAGCTGTCAAAATTTAAGACATACAGGAACAAATTGAACTCATTGATGAAAAAAGTTAGGCTTGAATATCCCACAAAACTGTTTAATAATGTTTAGAAAAATAAGCCAGAGAAATTATGGAAAAATCTGGGGGGACGGAAAGATCTGGGAGGAATGTCATAGCGAACCATATAACCATGTAAACTCCCGCTCGCTCTCAAGCCGTGCAAGCGTGTCTTGCGTGGCCTAGCCTGTCTGGCTCGCAACCAAAGGGCTGAAATGCGAATCCCGCCAAAATTTATTCTACTCTTTCTGGCCATCGGATTACTTTATGGAGTGAAATCACTTGAGACATACGGCGACCATTAATTCGAATTACATGTCATGTTTTTTAATCATTTCCATTCCACGCGTGACGTCACGTTTCACGTGAGCCTTATCGGTTGTTTGACATTCCCGCTCGAGGTCATGTGGCTGTGACGTCATGACCTATTTGACCAATCGGGACTTTCCGGTCACAACACCACCGACGTCGACTTTTCTGCGACACTATACTTCGTTTCACCTTATGTCCGAGCGCGGACGATTCTATGAGCCGAAGGGCCAATCAAACAGATTGCCACGAGAAGCGGCCGCCGGAATGGAAAAGGTGGAGCGGCAGACAACGAATGAGAGGAGAGAGCCACGTGACTGGCGCCCCACTGTGGCGAGAAGCCGAAACACACTTCTCCCGAGCGAACAAGTGTGTTTCGGGTCCTCGCCGCAGCCAGGCTTTGTGAGTATAGACGCTTTGGAGCAGCTCTGCACGGACGCCGCCATAACTGACCTTCAGTTTTTGTTTCCTCTTATTTCGTTTATTTCACTTCATCTTTACCATAGCAGGCCAGGTTATTGCCACATTACATTCAACTGTGTCCTTTTCTAAAGAATTGGCCTTTGTAGAGGATCGTCAACTACCGTTTCAGTTGCCCGGCATCTCGGTAAGACAAGAGAAGGTCAGCAATGGCGGCTGTAATTTGGCGCGTGTGTAAAGCGTCTATAGAGGAGGCCATGGCTGAAGCCAACGAGCGCGTGCTGGAGGCAAAACATCGGAAGGAGACGCCCTTCCGCTTTCATCTGTCGATTGTCGCAGAACGCAATATCCAAAGTCACACGCTCACGCCTCGATCCGCGGCGTAGCACAGACCTCTGGAGACGTGGTTACTATAGGAAATGAAGAATAAGGGCAGTTTTATTTTATTATCAGGATAAGTTTAATCAACGAACACAAAACTTCTTCCACAGGCGAGCCTCCGTCTGGCGGTCGACGTCGGCTGCGGTTCTGGCCAGAGTTCCGGAGTGCTTGCCCCGCACTTCAGCCTGGTACACGCGTATGACCTGTCTGAAGCTCAAATCGCGGTGGCTAAGGCCAACAACCGGATCACTAACCTCACTTTCAGGTGTGTGTGCTTCCGCTACATGACGAGAAATCGGAGAGAGGTGGAACCGGTAAAACAGTCAATGTTTAAATCCTGAAAGACAAGCATACGTCGAGTTCTATCGACACCAACTAGAAAATTCAAGGATTAGGAAGATCCTCGCCTTCATAACAAAGTAATCGTGTTGTATTTAGACAGCCGGAAGTTAGTCAGCCTCGATGGGTGACTTATCGTTTAGCTGTAGATGAGAAATTTTGTAAGTGCTGTACAGCCGCTAATCTGGGGGTCTTTAACGTGCACCACCCAGTAGTGATGCGCGACCGCACACCGGTACGATGCTCATTCAGATTGAAACGGGCACGTGTGGAGATTGAATACGGGAAGTCCCTAGGTTCTGCAGCGCGAGCTTTGCGTGGCTTCACGCGGCCTCACGCGGCCACCGATCCAAAAACGTCATCACAATATGATGGCGCCAAGTCAGCCATTAAATCCGAACCCGACGCCTAGTGTCCTTCGACGCATTGATTGGACACGAGTCCCAGCCGACCGCTGACGCAACACTCGCGTCCAATGGGCGTCTTCGCTCGATCTCACTTTGATGAAGTCAGAATTCCAGTGCACATGCCTTTGATTATTAGGCGGTGTTGTACGGATATGGATGAGCATCGTATACCGGCGTCCGATCGTGTATCACTACTGCGTGTGGCACGCCGGACCCCAGACTAGCTGTGGTCCTGCGCTAGGTGCGCCGGCTAAATTTCTCATCTGCAGTGGAAATAAATCCTAGCGGAGACACCCACATGGGCTGACTGACTTCTCGCTCTGTCGTGACTGCGTGGAGCTATAGGCACCTTTGTTTCTTGTCTCTGTGCTCGCGACAGCAGTATAGGTCATAAACATTATTGCCCAGTCACCGCAGCCTCTCGGAAGTTCCCGCATTCAGAAGACACGAAAGATGCCGGGTCATTGACTTGTGGACGCATGCATGCACGGTGTCTGATATTCCGCACAAAAGACATACTTCGCACGCTCAGAACAGTCCTGTAGTGTATACAATGATGGTGGCGTACAGAATACAATAATTTGAACGGTCTCATGGTTCGTGAAAATGGTCACCGCGTGAAGGCTACGAGACTTTCCTTTTCTCTACTTCTGACCACATCCCTCCTACGCACGCGCCAACAGCGTTGCCGGTGCGGAGTGCCTCCCGGAAGCCGACAGCTCGGTGCAGCTTGTCACGGCGAGCCAGAGTCTCCTGTGGTTCGACAGGGACAAGTTCTACGCCGAGGCGGAAAGAGTGCTCGTACCAGGAGGTGTCCTCGCCGTCTACGCCTACGCCACGCCGAAGCCTGTGGCCGAGGACCAGGCCAGGCTAGACGAGCAGCTGCACAACGTGAGAGAACACTGCTTTGTCTCACCGCATATGTTACTATACGACTCATACAAAAAAAGAAGAGAGACTTTGAGAGTAAGTGAGCTTCTTTTCAAACGGAATCTCTGAAGGCCCGTTGACACACTTGCACCGGAGTAGAACCGACCTAGACAAGACAGGTTCTTAAGCCTCTTGTGACGGCGTAGGACCGGATTCACTGCTGCGGAGCAGGTCCTGAGCCGTCACAAAAGGCTGAAAAACCGGACTTGTCAAAGGTCGGTCCTACTCGGCTGCAACTGTGTGAACGGGCCTTCGGGGACTCAAGTAAAGCAACGTATGCGGAGAGAAACTGGAGTAGAGGAGGAGGTGAGAGCGTGCGGTGACGTCAAAGCGCCGAGCTCTGACTGGAGAAATTAGCAGGTATAGACGCAAGGGCTAGCTGCCCTTCTCTCTGTCTACCCACTGTCTTCTCTCAATCAGAGCGAGCAAGAGCGCCGCCTGCTCATGAGGCTGGGTTTGGCGATCGGTGATATTTTAAAAGATTGGGAACTGAATTGTATGGAAATATGGTGGGCAACCATTATAGAGCCTAGAGCCACTTGGATGCAGGGGCGGAATCATGAGTCACTAGTAAAGCGAGGAGGGGAAGGGGGGGGGGGGGGGGTTTCAGAGAAATTTGATGTCACGGACGATGCAGTGTGCAGATAAATTTTGTTGACCTAATAATTGCCATTTCGCCCAAAACCAAACATTCATTCCAAAAAGCGGACAAATGTCTTTTTTTTTTTTTATTAAAAAAAAAGTAACCCTTAGGAGGTTTTAGCGGGAGGGGGGTCGTCCCTTCCCCTTCTTAAATCTGCTTAAATTGTGCCATCTGAACAGCGGTGTCGCTATCCGTTCACATACGTGTGCTTTGCTGCGGAGTGTAGCAAAGCACAAATGTGTGAGGGGCTAGACGCACTGCTGTCCAGCTGTCACCAGGTCAAATGCAGGAACTTACGAAAGATGTTCCGCTGCAGCCTCCAACTAGACGAGCTCGTCAACATGAGGGGCAGGCCTAACTATGATTTGCATTATGGATTAAACTCAACTTGACATTCCTCTCAACTTACCTCCGATCTGAGATGCCTGCATCGTTACAGCTGCTGAACACGGGTGCTGGGACTAAGTACTGGAGTGAGAAGAGAACAGTGACCGACAACCTGTACGAGGGAGTACCCCTTCCCTGGGAGGACCATGTCCGGTAAGAGGGGACTCGCGTCATGTCAAAAATAATTTGGGCTAATACACATTCACACAAAAAAAAAAAGAAGTCTATTAGTGGGGACATGCAGACATCCAGTCGTGGGTTTAGAAACACGTTCTTGTGCTTCGAACTAGCCAATTCGGCGAACTGTATAGCTGTCCTTTTCATAAGATTTCACCGTCCTTGCTCTCACAGTCTTGGGAGGGTATCCTTGCCGTCTTGATGCCTACTGCGAATACGCTTGCTTATACGTATACCAAAATCAAAGATTAAAAAAGATTAGTAACGTATCACCATAAAGCTGCGTATTAGCTGGCGTCCGAACGCAGCGGTGGCCATCTCTAAGAAATAGGTAAGGGCGCTTCGTGGTCCAGGTTGCTCTACATATGAGAAATAATTATTTCTCTTTCTCTTTTTTTTTTATAAGGAATCCATAGAACGAGGAACAAACGCAACGACATATTTATTGAGGACATTGTGGGGTTTGTGGGAAAAAAACATTCCAATTTGAAACCACTCAACCCATTGGGCGAGACTGAACCACCAACCGACGGCACGGGCCATCACATCTGCGTGGGGGAGTCTTGAGGGACGCAAAAAGCCTTTGATGACCGGCAGCATCTTCGGGTACCTGATGTGCCGGCTGTTTTGCTTTCAGAGTGAACTGCATCGAAGACAGGAAGGTGCAGACAGTGGCCCACTACGTCAACTATATCCGCAGCTGGGCGAGCTTCCAGGACTTTTTAAACGAAGAGCCCGCCGAGGCGGAGAGTCTCATAACGAGACTGACTTCAGTGTGAGTTCGGTGCTGATGCGCTCAACTGCCCCCACTTCGATCCGGTTTCATACTCTTATGGTGAGCGCAAGTTGGTCTGCTTCTTGCGCAGTGGTTCCGGTGACGTCAGAACGCCGAGCTTTGATTGGCTCCGGTTGCAAGGATAGTGGGTAGACCTCAAGGCAGTAATAGCATTGAGGTACCCACTATCTTTCCCATCAGAGCTGGGTGCGGTCTGACGTCACTGCAACCCCTGCACAAGAAGCAGACGAGCTTGCGCTCTGCAGAGGTCGCATTAGGTCGCACATATTCCGAAAATTCTTGTCTGCTAGTGACATCTCGCAGTTTTTAGAGCTTGTCATGGATGGAAAACATGTCAGAAATCACTTTGAAGAGTCTAAATAATGTTGATGGGCATGCGAGAGTGTCACTGAAGTCTGCTTCTGACATGACTACATGGTGACTTATTATATATCTTTCCTCGTAATCGATACCACTTCGCGTTTTTATTTTCTTGTAGGTTGATGGACACGTTCTCTACAGGGCAAAGCACACCGGAGTCGACACCGATCGAAGTGAAGATTCAATTCTTCCTGCTTATGGCCCGCAAGCCTTTGGGTTAACACGCTGGATCAACACCAAATTGCCCCAATATGTGTGTGTCGTCTGGGTAGTCTCGACTGGGGTTGTCAAGGCTGTTTTACTGTTGATTGTGATCGTTTTAGAAAAAAAAAAAATTGTTGTTTTCAAATCGCTAAACTTTTCGAGGTCTTTGCTCTAGTCCTGGGGTTTTCTACTCCCGGCCCGCGGGCCAGATTCGGCCCGCGAAAATCTTTTGACCGGCCCGCGTTGGTCGCAATTTTTCCAATGGAGGCCGGTTCGCGACCCGCTTCTTGCAGACGGGCTGCTACTGGCGCCAAAAGGAGTGCACATAAAGAAAAAGAAAGAGATAAACAGCATTGTGACTTGATAAAATGGAAGCTTGGTTGGTGATTCAGTTGCTGTCAGAGTTGTAAGTCAGCGCGTGGTGTTTGCCCTTCTGTGTGTCGTTATGTGTGTTTGATCTTGCGCTGTTACCATAAGATAGCATTGTAACGCGGGTCCTCTCGCCGTACACTGCCCGTTTCACAACTTGGCGAACTGTGGAGGGAGGCTACGGCGCCCGCGACCCAGTAAGTGTGTCGGAACGAGGCACCTGACAGCACTACGTCACTGTAGCGTTTGTGTTGACCATGCATCCGCCTTGCTCCGACGCTCCTATTGGGTCCAAGGGGGCGCAGCCTCTACAGTTCGCCAAGTTATCGTATACACCTTTCCAAAAAACACTCGACCCCAGGGGCTACCAACCGTTTTCGAGCCCAGTCACTGAGTTTGAGGCTAGACTCTCACCGGCGTCCCTCCTAACCCTAACTGAGTGGACTGTGATTTCAATAGGCGCAGCTTGCGTAGGCGCATTTTCAAACGCTGCTGGCGGCTAAATTATCGCCTTTTCCCGCTATTTTTTGTGTCTCCTGGTACATGTATTTTCCCGAGGACATTGAGAAAGCATTGTACCACATTTGAAAAAACAAAAAAGCAACAAAAAAAAACTGTTAACTATTTTGTTGGGTATGCGCGCGACAGAACGAATGCGACTGGAATGTATAGTTCTAGTTAATTTTTTTTCTTACGATACGTTTTGACGGCGCAGCGGGATTCGCCGCATGTGAAACGACAAAGCGTTTTGCTGTCAAAAATAAATTGCAACAGAAGAGGACCGAAAGGCATGCATTTTTCACGCTCACAAATAACGTGTTTACCGATGGCCAGGACACGGACATACAATTGAGGAAGTGTTCACATTCGAACAAAATATCGTACTTACCACACGACGCAGCGTTATCCAAAAAGAATTTATTTGAGAACGATCTCAAATAACACAGTCACAGTCGACGACAGTCACATCTTGACGATCGCACGGAATCCGAGATGACTTCGTTTTGGGGCACGTTCCGGGGAGAGCTTCCTTTTTTCACAACCGCACCAAGGCAAAGAAACAAACGCGACTGACCCGTTTCTCACCCCAACCCGGACAACTATTTTTGGAGATAACTGAGGATTCTACGGGGATTATCTCTGGGAGGGGGGAGAACAATGTTCGCAAAATCGCGTCGAGGGACGTTCAACGTCCTTCACCTTTCCCGTGAATGTCGAGCAGAAAAGCTTGAATGGCAGGCACTTACCAGCTTTATTTCTCACAATGGAAGACAACACAAAAAGGGTACGCAGCACGCTTAAAAAAATAAGTGGAAACTTTCAAGAGAGGCGAGAAAACGTCGAATGCAAAACCGCAAAAACGTACGTAGAGAACCGCGCTGAGCGAATCTTCACAGTCCCAGAGAGTGGCAGAAAATTTCTAGCTGATAGGGGGCGCGAGCGTCGCATCAGCCGCATCAGCATCAGCAACATGGCGGCGGCCTAGGAGCGTTTTTTGGAAAGGTGTGAGGTTAAAATTCCTTTGCATTCTCACGTGCATTGTGCATAGTGTCCTTACAACTATTACATATTAGCAGCGTTTCATCATTCTCATAACTCTTTTGCACTGCACGAATATGGAGAAGTTCCTACGCGCTTTGATTTATGCCTGGCGAGTTTTCTTAATCACAGTGGTTTGTAAATGTCATAATTAGCTAAATATTAAATTTCAATATGAAGTATGTGTATTCATCCACCTTAAACTTTTTTAAAAATATTTACTCGAACATTCGTTGCGTTTAAACGCTCGTCTAGGTTTATTTATTTAGTTCTCCTCTTTTAAAATACTCTTCCTTATTCCCGGCCTTCGACACTGTGTCATATCTTTAATCCAAGGGGAACTCTGCCGATTTTTGAGCCCTGCAAGGACTTTTTTTACTGGTTTTTAATTTGCATCGAACCTGAGCGCACTGAACGTAGTAACTTAATGAAACTTTTCTCAAATTTCGTTTCACTTTAAAAGTTATAGGTAAACTAAAGTTACAAAAACAAGCAAAAAATAACCTCCTTCATGACGTCCTTGGTCACTTGACTGGCCGTGAACTGGAAGACGGGTAGTGAGCTCAGCGAGCGCTCACGGCTGCCGCACTCCGTGTCGACGGCTCGAGAGGGCGCCACTAACGCATGTTCTCGATAGGGTGTATGAAGCGGGCAGCCAGGGCGGCTCGCATTGCATTTGCTGCGTTATTAAACACTATTTCGGCATGACCAGGGATTTCCCTAGACCCCCCCCTAGGGGGGGTTGAGACCCCCCTAGTTTTCCTGGACACCCCCCCTTAAATCTAAAAAAAAGAGGGAAAATAAAATAAAATTCTTTTTTTCAGATTAAGTAGAAAACACCACCTCTCAGGTGTATATATAGAGAAAGGGAAACATACATTACGGGTATGAGCATTTGGTTAATAGACGTCTGTAATTTAGCTAGTGGACAAAAAAAGAAACAGTTTTATATTTTATCTAGCCTCGCCTCGCATCGCCCCCCCCCCCCCCCCCCCCCCGAGCCATTGGGACCCCCCCCCCCCCCCCCCCCTTGATTAGAATCCTGGGGAAACCCCTGGGCATGACACGTCATTGGCCGCAAACGACAGCAAACACGGGGAAAAGATCAGTTCAGAACGGGAGCCACTTTGCGCTGCCATACCGCCAAACGGCCAAACCGCAAGCCAAACCTTCTCGCCGAAGGCGTTCGGAACGCTCGGAACCGCTCGCCTCGCGTACATCCGGGACCTCTCTACGCTCGCCACTCGTCGGCGCCTGATCCCACTACACCTTTCTAGCCTTTTCCACCGCTTGGTGGTGAGTATGTCGACGGGTCATTTCTTGTTTCCGTACTTTCTAAACTACATTTGTTTCTTTTCTGATCTAAAATACTGAACAAAAACTACTTTTATAAAAAATTTAAACGGTTCGTGCCACTTATATTTTGTATTTCGACTAAAAAGAAGCTTTTAGCGGTTCTGACCAGTAGTAGGTCCAGGACGAAAGACTTCACATTTTGTGCGCTTTCGGCACCGCGGGTCGCCCCCGTGGGGGTTTCCGCGTCATCCGGTTAAAATATGACGCACTGATATTTACTTACTCTCTCCGTGCCCGCTGGCTTGCCCGAACCCCAAGAAACGTGGAAACCGAAAAAAAAAAAAAGAAAGAAAAGGGTTAACTCTTAAATAGGATTGCAGGGCATCGCCTGAATGCGGATGGCTTCCTGATTCCGAAATGCTATCTCTATACTCTGTTTCATACTTAGTGTGCATTGCTGTCAAAGCTACTGGCGCAAGCGCGTGGCTTCATCTATGGTTTTGTTTGCGCAAGAACGCGTGCAAATGATCAGCGAGATCAAGCCTCACGCTCGCGCCAGTAGCTTTGACAGCGTTGCACACTAACTATGAAACAGAGGATAGGGTGTCTCAAATGTCCTTCTGTTTGGGGTGATACCAACAGCACGCGCTCACGGGGAAAATACAGAGAAATCGACGAAAACAAAATGTCGCCATAGCACAGTCAACGCAACAAACGCGTGCAGGGACCCGCTCTTTCACGCGCTTCTGAACAAAAAGAAAAATATACTTGTGGGACAAAATGGCCAGATGTCTCCACTCTAAGCAAAGCGCACATGAAGGCACCGTAGCTATCTCGTTTCTCAAGATTCATTCTAGTTAATTAACAAAAGGGATATTTTGTTCGCTGCCAAAACCAACACATCGTTCTCCCCAGTGTTTCCCTACTTTTCCCCGTCATCCAAACGTGACGTCACCAGCGGGCAGCGAGGCGCCCGCCTTTCTCGAGTCAAATAGCGATAGAACAGGGACGTTCGTACTATAATAATCTTTAGTTGGACAAATTATGACCTTAGTCTACGTGCTGAACTATGAGAAAGCTAAAAAAAAAAAAAAAAAATCGGTTTTGCAACTTGGTACATACAGTTTGCCCAGAGAGTAGTACGTTCAAGTCACGGCTCGCTAGTTTCGTGAAATCGCTAGCAAATCCGTTATCCTTTTATCAGGAGCTGGCAGTTACGCTGGCGAAGGAAGGCCGAAGAGACACGCAATAGATTCTTTGACAAGTCAATCATTCAAGCACCACGGAGAATGCTCGGAATGCGGGCAGATGGCCCACACGCTCGTGTTACCGAAGGAACGTGCCATTCGTTTTAGATTTTCTTTAGAAGAGTTGCTGTTGCAGACGCCAGCACGTGTAACTATTCTTGTAACATGCATATGTTCCTTGGGGATTGATTACTTTAGCAAAATATCTATAGATCATTCAAGAAAAGCGCTTCTGGTCGGCGACATTCTCAGCGTTCGTGTGTGTGGCGCGTGCTCACTCGCCTTCCAAAGCGGGAAACATGCGCGTGCCATGGGCTCTGAATTAACGCGTCTTGACTGTGATTCTTGAAAACAATGAAATGTATGGAATGGAAAGGAATGAACCGCATTCGTGTAGGCCAGATGGCTGGTGCAGATCGGGCTAAAATGACAAAAGAACTCCGCAACCAACCAGCGAGCAGGTCGGGAGGAGCAGGGGAGGAGATAAGGCTTCATTCATTGTAGGATATATTGTAGTATATCCTACAATGACAAAGAGTACATTGAAAGGCGTCGCGCCGCCTGTCTCCAGGCATAGAGATTCTCCAGGCGGTAAATATTACACTCCCTAGGTAGCGCAATGTACCGCCTAATAAAAAACAAATTGGCCCTTATTATTGTTTGCCCATTCATATTTATTGTCGTTTTTAATTTTTTATAACATGAGATTTTACACTTATATTTTATTATTAATAAAGGTTACGTTATAAAAAAACTTGATAATCTTAATAATATTACAAAATTTATAGTTTGAATGTATTTTGTAATATTTTCAAGCCACTGAACCACTGGCTCGCTCCAGCCAATACTTTTCTCCAGCTCGCTCGACTGGCTCGATCTCTATGGCTGGCTCGGCTGACTCAGCGGAGCGTCGCAAATGTACGGAAGTCGCTGAAGTTTTGAGCCACCGAATTTCGCACCAACGAGCTCGCAGCGGCTGCTCCATGGACTGAAGTTGGGTCCCCACATTCATGTCCCATACCGGTCAGCAACCTTACCCCTAGATGAACCGCAACTTAATTTCACGGGCGCATATATCATCGACTAACGATGAGAACGCACCGAAGAGAATTCGCCTCGACGGGCTCGACGAACAACCAGTCGGAGACTTCGCCGACGATGACTTTCCCGACGGCGATCTCACCGCCGAAGAGTTCGACTTCTGCCTCACGCAGGTCGCCGACGCGACATTGGCCCAGCCACAGACCAGCAGCGTTGTTTCCAGCACCATCCACAACGGAGTAACGGGCAAGGACCTACAGTACAGACTCGAAGGTCAAGTGCAACTTCTGGGCCGCAGAGTCGCATCGCTGACCCGAGAACTCCACAGCGAGCGTCTCAGCAAACGAGAGGAACTCAAGGCGCAGGCCGACCTGCATTCCAAGGAACTCAAACAGCTCAAATCCCAGATCGAGTTCAAGGAGGGCGAGCTGCGCAGCGTCGTCAGCAGACAGGCGTCATTGGAGGAAAAACTGCGCGGTCATGGCGTCGAGACGAGACACAGACAAGTCGTGGACGCCGGCACGTCGACGACGCTCAACGACGCAGACGCTCTTGGCAGCGTCAAAACATGGGACACACGACCGACAAGCGCGGTAACGACCGCCCGGCGCAGCCTACCCAACGTAGCGACGTGGTTAGGGCACCAGCATGCACTCTGTCCGGTTGGCAGTAATCCCAGCACACCGACACACATCGATGTCATTCGCGACTATGTAAGGGAGGAAGGCAGAAGCAGCGATTCAGCGGCCGCTGCCACGTTATCCTTGCGCTGTTTGGACGATGCCATTTCTGAAGCGGCCATTGAAGCGTCTGCAGCTGGTCTCCGCGTTCCAGCAGAGAAAATCGCTCTTGGTTCGACCACACACTCCGAAACCTCAATCTTCGACGTCTTGGCAAAAGTGGCACGAAACTCCGACTCGAGGCTGGCATCGATGTCGGTCGTCGCACTTCAGCACCTCGCTGAATCGTCGACAGCCCACCCGTGTGTAGAGGTCCTTCGGAAAGGAGACTATATCTCGCATCTAGCAGGTAGCACGAACGTTGGGAAAGAAATAGCTATTCCGCTTCTGCGGCTAGTCAAGGTGGCGCTCGAGGCACCGGATAGCCTCACCGCGCTCTGCTGCCCCACCCAAGCACGAGGGACCTGCCTCTGGAAGCTGCTTTCAAAGCCCCTTGAACAAGAACCTGGTGCCGACCTACTCTGCGAAGGTGCGCTACTCGCGCAGCAGGCCCTGGGATGCAAGCAAGCCTGTTGCGTCTGCTTCGACGAGTTTGCAGGCAAGCTCGTGGCGCAGTTTGGAAGGAAGCTGGAGAGGTCGCAGAGAAGTGTGCAGCACTGGTGCCAAATCCTGAGCTGCTTCTGTGTCGTGGCGCAAGCGAGAGCCCGGCTCAGGCAGCGGGTCCGCCGACTCGTGGCACAGTGTTGCTCGCAGGACGAGGGAATCGAACAAGTCTGGTTGTGCTTCGAAGAGGACGCCACTTCTGCCGCCGTGCCTTTTGAGTGAGAGTCCACACTCTTCAAGGTTGGGCATGAACTAAACTAAACCGACGAGCAAGACGAGCGTCTGAGATATTATCTTTTTAAATGTTGCAGACGCAGAATGGAAAGGTTCACAACACCAAAACGAGTGATTTTTTTCATTTTGTTCGATGGCCGACATGGGTTACGGCTCCTATTGAAGGTGTAACGACGCACAACATTTAGGTCAAGGTCACCTTCCCCCCTTCCCTCTTGCCCTCATGTAGTTGTTCTAAATAAACATGTTTTTATTTACACCCATTTGCAAATGCTGCTGGCAGTGCAGGTAAAAAAATGGTTGGTTTGATAAATTTTTACAAGTTCAGCAAACGTGCTTCACTCTGGGGGTATTTGTACATTTTATAGCCCTTTGTGGCCGTCGATCAGCCAAACTAAGACACGACGACAAAAAGATGGCCTGAATCACTTTTTTTTCCCCTTGCCTTTGCGAATGCACACAGTGACAGAAGTGTTGCACCGTTTGCGCCATGATCGAAAGTCTGCTACATCTTGTGCCAAAGCGCCTTTTTTGCCAAGAATTTCGCCACGCCTGCGCCAAGACATGCTTAAAGCAAAAAATAAAAATATTTTATTATTCCTCGACTCTAATATTTGGAGGAGTAGAGGAAAAAAATAGCACAAATACGTATTTCACAGTGCCTCAACCTACTGCACGGTTTGTTCCATACTAGGTCAGAGCACAGTCGAAGGCTCGGACATATACAACCAGGAGCGCACATGCAAAAGGCACAAGTGGCGGAGCATTCGCTGCACCCAATTGATTTAGCCTGTAAAACCGCTCTTTGATACCGTTTGATTTATCCCATTGGCTTGTAGTGTTGGCTGCGCTTCGAGTAAAACGAAGTATAGAGGTTGCTCATCAATCGCGCTGGCCAGCTGCTTGCTGACATTGTCTAAATCTCTGGACAGTGTCGGGAATGTCGGGAACTAAAAGTTGCGAGAAAACTTTAAAAAATAGTGGGACGGCGGCTACTGTCATAAGACAGAACCAGGGTCTTGTGCTTCTGATGAGACCACTTTATTTCCATGTCTCCCACATGCCTCCGTGCGGCGACTACGGTGCACTGTGGCACTTGCACCGCTTGTGTCGCCCTTTGCTGCCTCTCACCAGCGTGGGCGTGCACGCGTCGAGCTTCACTGGTTTGCACCGGAGCGCTAGGAGCAGCAGCTTATATGGGAGAGTGCCTGTGTTAGCTCTAGGAACGAAAATTAGGCTAAGTATTATTACAGGTCAATCATCTTTGGTCTTAATGGCAGGTTGACTTTTAAATATAAAAAGCTGCTCCGAGAAGGAGAAAAGAAAAATGTGGGTCTATGTTTGAATAAGGTAGTTCCTGTGCAGCTGTCGAGCGAAATTAAGTTGGAGGCTCGAGTTTGGTAGGTTAACAAGACTTGGGAGACGCATTGTTATTGATAGACGTGTTAGTGGACACGCTGGTTTTTGATGGCATTCTATAGAAATTATATTTACAGGCTCAATAAACTACTGAGTGTAAAAAGGGGAGGGGAGAGGGGCTTTATCTGAACCAAAGTGCTGCACTAGGAATAATTTTTACACCATTTTTTTAATACACCTTGTAAACGGAACTTCCTCTGACCAGTCTTATTTCTAGAAAGAATGCTTCGTGTTCCTCTTTCACCCTATCCTTATTACAAAAGCTAGTATGACCTAGTATCAAAAAAGAACCCTCGATGATTGTAATAGTTCAACTTATTTGCTGAAGCAACCCCTTTTCATTTTCAAGTGATGTGATAACAGACATTGGCATCTGCTCCAAGAGTGTCAGTGGCTGCTCCAAAACAATATTTTGTCTGCTACACAACCTGCTACAAAAGGTCGAATGCCGCTTCCATCACTGTTCACGCAGTAATATATGACAATGGCATATTTCGGTTTCCTGCAACCGGGGATGTCGCAGGCAAGCGACCAATGAGCACTGGAGCAGCACAGTTAACCCACCATTTTTATAATAACTGGCACCATCTAGTAGAAAACTGGGTCTGAGGATTTCCAGGATGAACCAGTATGTGCCATTCGGTGAGGACAGGGAAGGAACGTCTCTAAACGGGCTTGGGAAGAGAGATACACTACAATCGGCACATAAGGAACGTTGGGAGAGCTCAATCTAGGCTGCTGCAGCTGAACAAAGCCAGCAGGATCTGGCTTCCTCGATCGAGGGAGCACCCATACTCGCTCAAGTACGTGCTCACGCATTTTCACATTGGAACCTCCTTGCCTCCCTAAGATTTCTCAAAACGGTTTGTTGGTCGTGAAAACAATACGGTCATCCAGCACCTTTGTACCTTCAAAAAACATTGAAGACCAGTCGACGGCCATGCAAAACATACCAGACGCAAAGCATGCTTAAAACTAAACACTTTGTTTTTATTTATACAGCTTACGACCCACCCCACCCTCGTAAAATACAGCTTTTGTTTGGAGGTGTAGTCGAGCAAACCTTCTGTTGACGTGTTTACGACTGTGCCCAAAGTTGCTGGCCTTTGAGGCGAGGTAGCAGGAGCTCGCATCCTTCCTCTAGAGTAGTCTGCGATGAAGCGCCGCTTCACATGCCGGTGTAGGCAGGGCCTCCACTCCCCTCGGGCGTCACCCAGTTAATGTTCTGGCTGGGGTCTTTGATGTCGCACGTCTTGCAGTGGATGCAGTTCTGAGCGTTGATCTGCAGACGCATCCCTTCGCCTTTCTCGACTGGTACATACTCGTAGACCCCTGCAACATTAAAGAGGCGTGTCTTTGGAGTAGCTTGCTACGGTAGACTCTCATTGAATAAACTACAGGAAGCCACAAATTTTGTTTGAAATGTCAGATGATGCCAGATAAAATTATAATTTGTCATATAAATGGCTACCCATACAAAGCAGATATTTGATAATTTCCTCTACATAGGCCTGTTCATCATAAGCATGTGTGCCACAGATGACACACTTGTGAAATGTATGACACAAATTTATTTGTCCCTCAAAAATGTTGTTTATCGTAGACTGTTTAGACAACTCATAACAAAATTAAGTTTGTTCACCAGGCCAAGAAGTTATCTAATGTGGATGCATTAGCGAGCAATGGAAATGGGCACCACGTGGCACTTGTCATAGCAACTTGCGCAGATGCTGTGATGGGTACCTATGCCATGTCGCCACGTAACAGCATCCGCACAAGTTGCTATGGAAGTTTCAACGTGGTGCCCGTTTCCATAGCTCACGTGTACCTGCTTCAGCCCTGTTGAGTGCGCTTGTCACCAAGCGCCGGTGCACTGCGGAGAAGCAACACCCGCAGAAACAAGCTCTGTGGGTATTGCCTCCCTGCAGTGCACCGGTGCTCGTAAAGAAGCGCACTCAATTGGGCTGCGAGAACAAGAAGCATGAATTGTACGAAAACACAGCTTGAATTAAGTGGCTTATGAATATATTAAAAACGTAGTGGGACAACCCAAAATTTGTTGAAATCAGCCAGAAGTATGAAATATCCGAGTCTGAATTATCACAAGCCTATTGTATGGTCCTACTTCAGTTGTCCCACCTCCAACATGGGCATTCTGCCATCGATAACACTTCGGCACGTCGAGACCCTCGACTCCAACTTACCTGCGGGACAGAAACGTTGCTCGGGCCCATCAAAGACGGCCAGGTTCCGGTCAACGGGCACGTCGTCGTCGCGCAGGGTGAGGTGCGCCGGCTGGTCCCCCTCGTGATTGGTCCCCGTCAGGGCCACCGAGGAAAGCAGGTCGAAGGACACCACATTGTCCGGCTTGGGGTAATCGATGGGCTTGCACTCCTTGGCGGGCTTCAGCTTGCTGTCATCCGAACCTGATGTCGAGTGGGGAAATCGCCTGGCTTAGACGTCTGGTCGAATGCAGCGAGCACGCGGCGGCGCTTGACGGGATTTTATGGAACGGCACTTGCTAATAAAACGACATGCAATGTCACACGTGGCAAAAAAAAAAAAACCGCTTCGAATAACAGGTGCAACTGCGGGGGGTCGTCTGCAAACTATAAATGAAGGGCTGCCAAACGTTTATCTACCCGTCGGAACATACGTATTGGCATCATGCCGTTGTATCGGTTTTCATTGCTTTTTTTGCACCACGCTACTGATGTTCAAAAAGATGTATCGAAAAATACAAATTAGGTGCAAAGATGGGTGCTAAGAATGCCACTCGTACGGGAAGGTGACGTCCAGGAACGATGGCAGCGGGAAGAAAGGGGCCTACTGGAAACAGATACACTGTGAATGCACCACGGCTCTGAGCGCGTAGAGCAAAAACTCACACTGCAGAACCAAGGGAGCCTGGGTTCGATCCCCACCCTTGCCCATTTCATTCTGGGTGAGCATCGTACTGGCATGCGGTCGTGTATCGCTACTGTATGGCACACGTTAAAGGCTCCAGGGTGGCAGTGGTACTGCGCTGGCTAAATTTCTCGTCTACAGCGGAGACACTGGTTGCTCATTGGGACTGACTAACTTCCCGACGTCCAAACGCGCAACAATTACGATAGCACATGATGGGTTTTCTAACAAATGCCACTTGCTATCGGAATGACATGCGATGTGACATGCGGCGAAGGAATTTCAAATGTATAAAAGACTTCTCTTAATCTTTCTTCATACACCTTTTCATTGGGGGCATAGCATAATTTTTTTCTGAAATGCCGCCACACATGCAATTTGACCGTGCCTTCGTGCCTAGTAATATATTCGATTAACGTGCAATTCTTACTCTACTATGCAGCCCAGTGTGGCACTTTGCCATTGGTCGCACAAGCTATGACGTCAAACCAACAGCTAGACTTCATTGCTGACACTCTCTCCCATGGCCTTGCTATAATGCGACCAACGTACACCAATATGAGCAAGCAAGGCCTACGCAGAGTTCCCCTATAAAGCTATCGGCTTAAAAGCAGGCATTCGTCTTTCGACGGTGGCAACAACAGTATTTGCCGGGGAGTTTACCGTGGTGCGACAGCGTCCAGGGCTCCTTTCCCCTGCCGAGGAAGTAGAAGATCCCCGTGTAGAGCACCGACCCATAGATACCCAGGGCTGAGTTGAAGGAAGGCCGGATGTTGCGCACGGAGCTGAGCTCCTTCCACAGTGGACTGCTGCGTACCCTCTCTTCGTAGCTCGTCGGTTCCAGACCTGCAAGTTTGTCACAGAGCGGCGTCTCCAAGAACTGCACACCTCGGGATGATACACAGTTGGCTAGCTCGAGGTTTGCTTTGAAAGTATAGGATAATATGATATAGTTAAGGTATAGGATAACATGATAGTTAACTGATGGTCCCACACGAAATGACAGTTACGGCGTCATTATGCGAGCCTTCTTTTTCCGTAACCAACCAACACCATCTAGAAGACGAGGCTGGCACCTTTTCCCCCGAACGTCGCAACTAGTGGGTCTGCGCAGCGCCACCTACCTTGCATCGTCGCCGACAGGGAGTCTCGCAACGTTAGCGTGCGGCGACGCCAATACGGACGCGCCTGCTGGTTTGCTGCAACTCTCGTTGACATAATGTATAGGAAAACACAAAACGAGATTCACTTTTCGTAAGGAGTAACGTGTCAGTTTGGTTTGCTGGCAGTGTAAGAGCAAACAAAGTATGATGGGGAGACAGAATCTCGTGGGTAATAGAAAAAAGCTTACTACGACGGAGTCATAGGGGCGTGATCTCAAAAGAGACACAGTCATACGGTTTACCGTGGTTAGTAAGCATTTTCTTAGTCTTACGATCCTCTGAAAGCTGCTTCTGATGGCTCATCCCTTTCGGTTTTCACTTTAACGTGCAACAAAGACACATTGTAAAACTCGTTACCAAGGTTGTCGAGTCGTCTTGCATTAAAACCGTTTTCAAGTTCACAAAATCTTGCAAGTCACCTCCGGTGCCCATTCAAACCATCCTCAATTTAAACGTGTAACACCTCCCTATGATAACAGGTCAATGCAAGAAAGATTCAAGGACGAAACATACAGAAACAAACAACCCTTTCCATACTGAGCATATTTGTGCCTAGAATCTCACTTGATTCGTCTCGTAGCATAAGATTCATTAAGCGGCATGCTCTCCTCCTAATACCTGTCGACGGTGGCAAGCTAAGAATGCAGTATCCTCGTTGCCATCTACCAGACTTTTATATTCCATGTGCGACGAAGTGTTATCAAAGCTCGTGATGGAGGCAAAGTATATACCAAAGCCTCGCAAAAAAGAAAGAGCGAGAACACAAAAGCACCTTTAGTCGGGGAAGAAGCCTCGCTGAAGATACGCTCAAAGATGGCTTCGGCGGCCAGCATGGCACTGCGCATAGCGTTGTGCGTTCCCTTAACCTTGGGCACGTTCATGAACCCCGGACTGCAGCCAACCAGGCAGCCGCCAGGGAAACTCAGCTTGGGCAGGCTCTGCAGATGCAACGAAGGATTAGAGACCCCAGCCAAACGACAAAGAGATAAATGGTGCAAGATATCGGGCGGACGATCTACGGGGATGCGACAGAAAAATGTTACCAAAAATTAGTTATGACCAGGACGGGGGCACCTGCTATGAACCATGTGACCCAGGAACTGATAATGCTGATCGTGAACACGGAAAATTTTTGTTCCACGGCGCTTTGAAATGGACAAGGATTCATCACGAATTCAAGTATCACAGAAGCCGGGTTCTGCGGCGCGACAAATGCGGCAGAACTCGTCTCGAAACTCGCACGTCATGAGGACCAACATTGCACATCCGAATTGCTGACACGGCAAGCTCGGCTTCTGTGCCGAGCTCCCGCGATGAATGCGTGGGAGCTCGCCGCTAACTTGCACTTCGAGAGATCTGATATCACATGCCTGGATCGCAGGCATGCCAAATTCAAGTTCCACAGTCCGTTAGACGCGCCGAAACTCACTACGAAATCGCTCGTCACGGGTGTTTGCAACTGCAGCTCCGGCACTCATCCTTTTGCGGACGGACGAAAAAGGAACCGGAGCAGCGGGGACGGTGGCGGTGGCATGGACTGTTGGCTTTGGTGCTGCCATTACCATATGGTCCCGGTTGGCGTGTTTGTGCATTTTGCAGGTGCAACGTAAAAAGTGAGTGCGCTAAAATAGGAACTGTAGTGTTCCGCTTTGCAACCTTTACAAATCAACACGCTCATTATCTCAACGCATGCAGACGTCTCCGTCATCCGTGATATGCTCCTGCTCCGACCGCTTCGTATCCGTAGTCAAACAAAATAATTGTAGCACACGACTGGTGTCGGTGAGCAGATGCATGGGAAATCCTGGAGACTCTATCCCCGTCTCTTCTGCCACCTTGGAGCTACCGCCCTGCCGCCTATAGGGCGTCGGAGCTGCAAACACCAATACTGCAGGTCACGCAGGTGATGCATCCCGTGTGTACAACGGGAATCAGGTCGAGTTGGGCAATGTCTCGGAATTCATTCTCGACCTATGTATATATAGCATGAAAAATTGAATGGGCGATCCCTCGAGGGGGAGGGCACTCATACGGGGTTTTATGGTGTACGGTACTTGTAGACCGACACTGGTTGCTACAGGTCCACCGACCTGGAGCCCTCCCTCGTTGAGCGCCCTGGCCCCGTAGCCGATGCGCTTGCCTCCCTCGAGCACCTTCCGGATGGCCGGGTGCGTCTTGTAGCGCTGGAACTCCTTGAAGGGGCTCACGTACGGGTTGGAATAGTCCAGGCCCACCACGAACCCGAGGGACACCAGGGGCGCCCCTTCGTCCAGGTGGTACTGGAACGAGCCCCCGTAGACGTCCTTGTCCTGCATCGGCGAAGTTTCTCCGTCAAGGCGAGTTCATACATTTGCATACGAGCATGCTTAAGTGTGTTGTGTTCCTTCGTAGCCGCCTGCTACAAAAGGACACGTTGGCACCCTTTATCGTGCATATTATGAATTTAATCATAAACTGTTTCGTCTGCTTCTCGGAAAGAAGTATCCTTATGACTACAACTGACCACCGAGTAAAATAGATATGGACGCACTTTACAAAACAAGAGATCATGGTTTGTAATCTGTGGCACAAACTTCTAAACAGCAGAGTGTCAAGCTAAAGTTTATTATCCACTGTAAGCTTGTGTTTGTTTTCTTGCTCTTTGAGGTCAATGGAACTGTTTTATGTTGGAAGGGGCGCTCCTGGCATTCACCTGTCACATACCCAAATTGAAGTTTTGTATAACTGTATTTCATCACCTTCAATTAACACATTCGCGCCTTGAAACTATTTTAAAAACTCAGCAATGTCAAAACTAATTTTTTTTTTTTTTTGTGTGTGTTTATTATGTGTGCACGTTTTTTTTGTTGTTGTTGTTGTTGTCATTGTTGTGATGTACCATTGGGAAGGCATGTTGCTATTGGCATCAATAAATAAACAAACATAATATCGCGTAACATAATAGCAGTCAATCACGTTCAAACACAAATGTCCAAACCAGTCTCAACTCCGATATGACGAACACCTTCTGCAAACGGAAGATATTAGGACCACGTTTGAGAGGAAGGAGTGCTCACGAGGGGCCACCCGATGCTGTGCATGACCAGGCCCGGCCGGTGCTTCGCCGGGTCTACCTCCCAGAGCTCCTTGAGGCCCAGGCCGTACGTCTGCGGCTGGCAGTTCTTGCGCAGGTCAAACTTCTTGAACAGCTGCTTGGCCAGGTGGCCGTGGCACCCCTCCGAAAAGACTGTGCACTTGGCGTGCAGCTCCATGCCCCGCTCGAAGGTGTCCTGCGATTGTGCGAGGCGTCGAACGTCATTCGTGCTAGACTTGGCAAGGATCAGAGCAACACCACCTAGGAGACGAGGTCTGACGTTGTATTAGTGGAGCCCCGACCTGCCCGAAGCAGCAAACACGCTAGCGGTAGACATGTTCGTGTTGGCGTCGCTGTCCTCCGACGCACTTGTGGTGAGACGGCGAGACACGTTGGCGGCAGCACTGACACAAGCTAGGCGGTGCTGCATGGATCTACTGGCGACGACGTTCAGGGGGGAAAGGCGCAGGACTTGTCCTTTAGGTTCTTTTGATCAGAGGGGCGGCTCTTGCGCCGTGTCAAAAAATGCAACACTCCAGCCGTGCCGGGACGACTCAAGCGTTGCTGATCGCGGATTAATGTTCGCCCATCTTTAAATGCGTCAACTTAGTAGCACGCTCTTCTCTCGATAATGCAGACGTCTCTCTACTGTTCTACGTTCTCCAACCACACAAATCTGACAACAGCCCGTTGCCCTCTTCAGTACAAACAAACAAAAGCGTCTACATTTTGTGTATGCTTCCCTTCCTATTAAGTCCGCCCCGTCTTGTATTGGTCAATGTCAGTGTCTCATCCAAGAATGCATCTCCCTGTGCGGGAGCTTGAAATGCCCGCAGTGTTCGTATTACAAAATACAGTCTATTTGCTCATACTTTTTTGAACACCCCCATAAAAAAGAGTGCTTAAGAATAAATTGTTTTTTTGTTCTTCGGCGCTTTTCTTTTTTCACGGTCTCCTAGAATGCAGAGCAATAGAGCTTGAAGCTATTGTGAGACTTAAGTTTGCAACAAGCATTCTGAAGACTTGCCTTGGGAGAACCGTCTTTGGCAATGCCAACGTCATTGGTGGCAATGCCCTTGACGCTGCCATCCTCGTGGTACAGCACCTGCACGACAGAAAGCGTCAATTTTTTGCAGAAACACCAAACCACCACAGACAAGAATGGGCACTGCACTTTTTAGTGCAGGGCCCATCCATGTACACCAAAGTTCCCAGGTGCTTCTTGCCACACAATTTCGCTCGTCAACATTAACTCCAGCAAGGGCGAAGCAGCACAATGATGCAAAACAGAAACAAAACGAAGTTGATTTAGATCACTCCACCAGCAAAGGGCATGAACGCTGCTCCAGTGGAAGAATCGTCTCGCTTATTAAAAGGCCAGCGATCTTATGCACGCAACAGGACTCTCAGTTAAATTATGGCCATTTCGCGATCAATTTTTGAACGCTGCCAACCCGGCATTCACAGGTCAATGTGTTGGCTCAAAGCAATGTTACCAGACAAACTCGCTTACAGAACTGCTCACAGACGCTGCTTCCACATGCAGTATTCCTCCTTTCTTTCAAAAGGTTTGCCTTCAGTCTTTGGAGCTCCACGGTTTTGGAGGCGGCTGTTAGAGTAATTGCAGTGTGCTTCACAAAATGTACAGGATTTGAAGCACAGCATCCATATGGCACTGCATTGTAGCCTCTCCAAAGAATGCAAGTTTACAATCAAAGCCTCTAGATGGCACCATGAATGACAAATAGTGGCCTTGGGGTAGAAAGGGAGAGGGGTTGGCTTCTTCGTGGAGGTCTCTCAGCCAAGTCGATCCGGTAACGCTGGCTCGAAGACACGGATGCGGCTTCAAGGAATGGCTAGACGTACCTCACTGGCTGCATAGCCGGGGTAGATTTCAACACCCAACTCCTCCGCCTGGGTGCCCAGCCAGGCAACCACGTTCCCAAGCCGCACAATGTAGTTTCCGTGGTTGTACATGGGAAGGCCTGGACATGTTGCCGGCTCGGTTAGAAAACTCAGCGTTTTCCGCATTTGCACCAGCACAGTTCCTAAATGCCTTTTGAACTGGGGTGACCGGACATCTTTCTTTGGCCTGGACAGTCCCGTTTTACAGGTTGATTTCTGCCGTCACGTCATGCTGCCTCAGTGATGCCCAGACTTGTACGGCGCTCGTTACACTAAGTAATGAAATTACTTGTAATCAATTACTTTTAGAGCGCAGCTCTTAGGCACCTGTTTCCGGGTTGAGCGGCGTCGCCGTTGCATTATGAGACATTTCCCATAATAACGTTACAGGGGTAAAATTTTCCCACTAAATTTGGCGGAAAACTTTTCCGCTAAATTTAATGAGGGAAATTTTTCTGCTAAATTTAGCGGGAAAATTTTACCCTCATGACGTCACATGAAATTCAGCAGAAAAAGTTCTCCACTAAATTTAGCGGAACAATTTTCATGCTAAATTTAGTGAGGAAACTGACGTCACATGACCTGAACACCAATTCAGTTTCCCACTAAATTTAGCGGGAAAATTGTCGCTAAATTTACTGGAAAATTTAGCAAAAATCTCCCGCTTAATGGGAGGGGAACAGGAGAGGAGGAGGGGAGGGGTAGAGTAATTTTCTGACCATTTGATTACACTTATTAGGAAGTATCGCAACGGTAATTCAATAACTTTTAGAAGTACTAAAATTATTTGTAACCACAACTTTTTACCCCTCCCGTTTCTAACGGCGCTCTTTCTTTGTACAAGTTTCCCCAACTGCGGAATCACCGAACCAAGTCTCTGACAGACATATTGTTCACCAAAATCGGTGGATTAGGAAGATAAAAAGTTCATAGTTCGGTTGATTCTAATCTGATAATGGACAGTACGAAAGACCCGTTTTCAAACCGGTCGAAAACACTGTCGTTCTGAACATCTGAGGTAATCAAAGAAGTAACAATTTACTTTCCGTCTGGAGTAATCAGGTAATCTAATTGAATACTTTTTAAGCAAGAGTAATTGTAATTGCAATCAATTACTTTTTTCAAGTAGTGTGCACAAGACTGCTGCTGTTTATAGAGAAGCATGTAAAAGACTGCTGCTATTTACAACTGTCCAGTTTTCGTGGGAACGCGCAAAGTTTCAAAATTAGTGCTAAGCGAATGGAAGAAGATTGAAAGAATGCTCCTTGTTAGACACAATTTGACAGCAATAAACATACTGTTAAAACGTTACAATCTATAGAGAACAATTTACTTTCTGTGGTTACATCTGCCAATACATTTTGTTAAACTAGACGTGGGTGCGTTTGGGAAATTTTTACTACATCAGTGAATTTGGTATGTTTCGCTTGGCAACATATACATCTTTTTCACCGTTTCAAAATGGAGAAGAAAGGCACTTGTGTTCCCAACGAAGAGCTCTAAAGAAATGTGCAGTTTTACACTGAACTGAATAGTAGTAGCGTAACCTTTTCTGTCTGCTTCAGTACTTCCCCTGCCTCCACTCTCCATCAATGCCCCGTTTTTTATGGGTTATGGTCGCCCACTCTGAATTGAGAGCTGCTCCCCGAATTCGCATGGTTCAAACATTTTTCCCCAATAAAAAGCAAGGTCCTTGTTTGGCTTTTACAGCATGAACTGATTTTGCAAAAAAAAAAAACAACAACATCATGCAAATGCTTTTGCAATTAATACGATACACTAACAGCATATTCTCATGGCTCAAAACAAAAGACAATAGCGACCAAACAAACAAACGAAGCTACGAGTGTTTCTTTTAAATGGCCCACCTTTGAAGACTGGAATCTTGAACTGGGATTTCTCCGTAAAAAAGTAGAATTCGTCTTCTTTCACGGGGGTGTGCAGTGGGGCCTGCAAATATGATTCGGCACTGGCAAGTGGATCTTGCACTCTACTAAAAGAGGCTCAAAAAATAAATTAAAATTCAACTGATAAAAAGATATGAGCGTTAGTAAACTTGCGCCTCTTTCTTTCCAATCCGGGAACAGCTCTATCAGCGGACCAGGCTCGATGCAGGCGCCGGAAAGCGTATGTCCGCCTGGACCCGTGAGAGAAATAAGCAATTTAGGCCCTCATAGAAATAAGATACAACTACCAATTGGACAGAAAAGTATAAGAGAATGGGTAGTGCAACCCATGCAGCTTGTTAAAAAAATATGAGCCCTAAACCCCAAAATGCCCACTCGCTTACAGATTGTTTTATTGTAGAAGCACAGGAGCTAGATCGATCCCAGAATTCACCTCCAACACAGATGGCAGTGTAATTTATTTCGAAGGCGCGTCATGACGACACGAATAACATTTTATAAACTAGTTCAAAACGAGCACCAAATGTCGATGGAAAAATCTTAGTCTACGCATGTCAACAGGTGGTGGCAATTACTTCTGCGGAACACACGAGGTGTCTCATTGATGTGTGTTGGTTAAAGCGCTTTGAAGAATGCCAATTACTCTTCATTGCCAGTGAACGTTCCTGGCATAGACCCTTTCCAAAATTTTTAAATGATGCCTAGATTATGTGCGGCCGCCATTAGTTGGTCATGCGCCATGAGCATGAACACGAGTGCTTCGTCAGCATTCAGCGTGTACTCGGATCGAAGCGCATTCAACACGAGTGCTGTGTCAGTGCTCGGCGCAAACTCAAAACCAATCACGGGCTTCATATCGGAAGCGATGAAACCTAGCTAATGGCGACTGAGCATAATCTATGCATCATTTCAAAATTTCAGAACGGGTCTATTGTGACTGCATTGAAATGAAATGCAACCAACCGATCTGAGAGGCTTTCTCGACCAGGCACACCCTCAGTTCCTTGTCGGCTTCGATTGCAAGCTGCCTCAGACGAATGGCGGCCGACAGCCCGGCCGGCCCTCCACCCACGATGACTACGTCGGCTTCGTCCGAAACCCGGCTCATGTCCACTTCTGAAGAAACACAGGAACGGCGCTTAGTTCGGTAAACAGGACCCTCAAGGCCCATTCACACACTTGTGTTTGCTAGCTAGAGAGTTCTTGTGATCTCTCATGATGAGAGAATGTATACATGCTGGCGCCGTCTATGAGGTGGCCCCGGAATCGCATTTCGCTAGAGCAAAGGTTGCGCTCTAGCGAAAAGAAATGGATGTTCATAATGCTGTCAGAAGTTTTTCAAAACGAGAAAGAATAACGCGCGAAAAAGAAAAGAAAGAAATGTATGCCAAGTGTTCCACAGTTGCCCAAAAGATGGCACTAGTGTGCTATTTCGTCTTGAGACAGTTTAAGAGGTTTTAAGACACAGTTGTAAGCAGATGCAAGTGCATGAACCAGCCTTTACAACAGTTAACCTAGCCTTGTCCAAGTTTCTAAAGTTCGCCTCCACAAAAGCCGGGCAGGCCCCAGTGGCAGATGGAAAACAAAAGAGTTGAACAGATGTCAGATTTTAATTTCAATGTTTCGAATTCCTTTTTTGCAAGGCTGAGAATCCCATTCCCAGTTTTTTTCTCTCCATTTCTCCTCACCTAAAGTGCTGATTGATCTTGCATGAAAGGTTCCTCGATCTAATAATTGTATTTAAGCGTCTACCTTTTTTTGCGGTTTCTACATCTCTTGGGGTTCGGGCAAGCCAGTGGGCACGGAGAGAGCAACTAAATATCAGTGCATCATATTTTAACCGGACGGCGTGGAAACCTTCTCCACCTACAGGGGCGCCCCGCGGTGCCGAAAGCGCGCGATATGTGAAGTCTTTGGTCCTGGGCTTACTACCGGTCAGAGCTGCTAAAAGCTTCTTTTTAGTCGAAATACAAAATATAAGAGGCACGAACCGTTTCAATTATTTATGAAAGTAGTCTCTGTTCAGTACTTTAGATCAGAAAAGAAACAAATGTAGTTTAGAAAGTACGGAAACAAGAAATGACCCGTCGACATACTCACCACCAAGCGGTGGAAAAGGCGGCGCATACTAGAAAGGGATAGCGGGATCAGGCACCGACAAGCAGCGAGCGTAGAAAAGGTCCCGGATGTATGCGGCAGCGCTGCGGTAGTATACGGGCTCGAGGATCCGACCGGTTCCGAGCGTTCTGAAGGCTTTCGGCGAGCAGGTTTGGCATGCGGTTTGGCGGTATGGCAGTGCAAAGTGGCTCCCATTCTCAAATGATCCTTACCCCGTGTTTGCTGTCTTTTGTGGCCAATGAAGTGTCATGCCGAATTAGTGTTTAATCGCGCAGCAAATGCAATGCAAGCCGCCCTGGCTGCCCGCTTCATACAGCCTATCCAGAACATGCTTTGGTGGCACCCTCTCGAGCCGTCGACATGGAGTGCGGCACTTGTGAGCGCTCATCGAGCTCACTACCCTTCCTCTAGTTCACGGCTACTCAAGCGAGCAAGGACGTCACGAAGGAGGTTATTTTTTGCTTGTTTTTGTCATTTTAGAATAAAGCGAAATTCGAGTTTCATTAAGTTACTACGTTCAGTGTGCTCAGGTTCGATGCAAATTAAAAACCAGTAAAAAAGTCCTTGCAGGGTCCCTTTAAGAATGTGCATGGGTAATGGATGGTGTCTATGCTTGGCCGCATCTTTGGATCATAGAGGACGCTGCTATCTGCCGAAGCAAATAAAATAATGTATGAGTGTCGCACAACTTTTGGTACCTAGGGGTGCATCACGTGATAACTTCACAGCACTGGATTAGCTGGGATGATATAGCAGACTCTGCGCTGTTCATCGCAAGGTGAAACTGAGTTCATCAACTTAGTAGGTTTCACCGCATCCATTCAAACATATATTGATTGAGCCAGAAAAGATGAAATCCCATGCAGCCTAGCATAAACAGTAAACAATATACTGGCTTTGATGTGCTATTCGAACTGTCCTGTGGCACTGCATTTCTCTGAAACACGGAGACATATTTAAGAGACTCGAACGCCTTACCTTTCCATCTTGGGTCGTTTTCTCGTGGAACTATAGTGTAATGGGTTGTAATCTTGGCGTGGCTCCATCTCCGCCCTTGGCCCTGGAAAGCTCGCCTCACTGCGTACGTTATTCAAATGTTTTACGAAAAGATTACATAAAAGAAAGTGCAACCCGACATCGCAACATCCCTTCACGCACTGAAAACGCATGCCTTCTCAACAAGCTTGTCCCAGGTTTAGGTTGGTTGCTTGTACAGTCATGTGCATCGGTTGTATTTCTGTTTTGAAAAATCGCACGCGTCTGAGAACGTCGGAAGCATCTACGCCATAGATACTACACCTAGATTGTTCACCTTTAGATAATACAGCACGACTGTAAAGGACACGCTCGAACACTTAGACTTATTTCACATCTCGCACGTGTTTCTGCCAATAAGCGCGCCAACCAATGTAACGTGACGTATTGGTACTGTTTACTACAAGGGAAAAAAAAAAAAACACCGAAAGGCGAAGATGCAGGATCCTTGAGAAATACGATCGCTAGTCAAATTTCGAACCTTTCCATAAAGACATTGACGGCGAAGGATACAATTTAAATAGTACATTAACAATGTGCGCTGTACGTACTATGAGCATCCGTTTTTTTGTATTGTTTTTAAATTGCGAGTGGTTGATCAAGATTGCCTTTACTTACAGAGCACGGCAGATCGAAACTTCGTGCAGGTCGCCATTCTTTTCGTGACGTCAGTAATGTCAAAGGAAGTCGTGAGGGGGCACCACCTCCGTCTCAAGGTCACTATATCCTACCCCGCTGCTGGCCAATCTTGGGAAAATAGTTCTCTATTATTGGCATAAAACTACATGTCAGGCTAACATTTAATTGTAACTGCTCACTTTGTGATTAACCTTTTAAAAATAACTTATCGCTAAAGCACCGAAAGTTTGGAATAATATTTATTCAGTCGTGCAGTTGTCTACAATGTTCCTGAATGGCGAGAGGATACATCAAAGTCATCGGCGTTCTGTAACGCAAATAGCGCGATTGCGTTTTCTCGGTCGGTCTCAGTCGGCGTTGGCTCGCCAGTCTTGCACCCTAGAGTATTGTTGAAAGTCTGAACCTCTTGGAGCTCCAGTCACCACATCCGAGGTAATACTAATCACTAATCATTTCATTTCTAGCTGTTTGAAGTTTAGCAGTTTTTCGCTAATTAGCAGGACCTAGGAGTTCAAATGGGACTTGTGCGTAGCACGTTGGAGGGGTTTGCAGTCCAGCGCGACCCCTCCAACGTTACCCCTTCTGCGCATATCGTATAGTACATTTTGTAAATATTTTTTCCAGCTTCACTAAAACGACCATCTAGCACAGATGCCTTTATAATCTAGAAGAAATTAATATCTAACAGTAAATCACCAGATCGCTATCAAGGTCATGGGGGCACCCTCTCGCTGCGCGATGATCCTGTAAAGCCCGTCCCCAAATAATGTTTTATTTTTTTTTTATTGCAAGAGTAAATTACGCTTCGCCGAACGCTCAATCTTCACCCAAATGTTGCGCTAGGGGTCCGGACTAGAGGCCAAATTTTAAGAACTAACCGTCATCTGATTCAAAAGCTATGCGGAGAGCAAGCCGTCTGCTTCTTTGGCAGGAGTTGTGATGACGTCAGAACGACGCCGAGTTGATTGGCTTTGATTGAAATGATTGTGGATAGAACTGTGCTAGATGCCTTGAGGCCTACCCACTATGTTTCTCAGTAAGCCAACAAGAGCTTGGCGTTCTGACATTATCACAAGCCTTGTGCAAGAGGCAGACGAACTTGCGCTGCGCAAACGCGATTTTCAGAAATTTTAAATAGGAAAATTGCGGCCCGTTTATGGTAACTGCCGCCATTCATCTCAAGTACCCGTGGACTTTGTTGGCCCCCATTTTCCATCTGAAAATTCCTGAAAATCGCTTACGACTTGAATGAGACAGTGGTTAGTACAGTGGAGGCGGAGCGTTTGGTGACGCAGTTTATTTTTGCGGTTAAGAAAAAAATACTATGAACTTTTTTTGGAGGGCACGCTGCATGTGGTCCGATGGGACTATTGTTGGTAACGCTTTCGGTTTGCATTTTTCAGCCATGGGCCTGCACTTTGGGAACCTGATCAAGCTGAGGGGAGTCGTGACGTACAGACTGTCGCCCTATGAGCAGCGAGCCTTCGCCGGCCTGCTGAAGCATGGCTTTCCCAACGTCATCCGACGGACGAAGGACCAGATATTCTACGTGGCCCCACGTATGACAGGATGTTTGATGCTCTACGATAGACCCTTTTCAAAAGTCCATCAAGTGACATTGGCGGCCGCTTCTCGAGCATTTGCTGTGCGAAAGTGGAAAGAGTGTAGGTCTCTGTGGGAGGAGTTTTTGTGCTGCCTTTCTTGACCTGCAACAGACTTCAGAAACGTCTGGGGAGAGGGGGTGCGGTTGCCCCCTGTTCAGACACCACCGACCTGCAACAGGTTGACCCCTTAACGATTGCGGAGCAGATACAATGAAGTCCTGCCGCATTAAGTGTATTATAGAGGAGGCTCAGTGGGGCCGGGCGGCTATTACATGCCCCGATATATTCGTTCCGTATGCCTAAATTGGCATTGAAGGTTCCGCGGCAGGAACAGTCGGTGGACGGTCGAGAGAATTTCGGAGGGAGAGAGAGGGACTCAAAATACAAGGACAAAGAAAGGAGTGGAGTTAGGTGTTACCAGCCGTCGCCATAATCGAATTTGGACGTTCACAATTCAAAGTTCTGTTTTCTTTGGCGGCCATAGTTTTTCTTCTCCTTTGCAAAAGCTCTCGATGACCTTCGTTTTATTTTCCTTGCAGCCTTCATCATGGGCTACCTCGTCTACGACTACAGCAAGAGGGAGTACGAACGAAGCATAAGGAAGAACCCTGCGGACTATGCCAACGACAAGTAGAAGCAGCCCAACGGCAGACATTGGAGTTTATTTAGAACCGACTGGGCACTAATACACCGTCGTTCAAACTTAAATGGCCTGTGATCTCGCATTTCTTACCCCGTTTAATGCGTTTCCCAGACAACTCCGAGCTCTTGTATTCACTTTACGCAGCATTCCCAAATTTTCTCATAAGTACAACCATTTTGGTGCTGCCTACGGAACGGGCGCGATTGGTGATCGGTGCGATTAGAAAATGTGACTTCCCAAGCTTTGGATACGGTGTCGGGAGGGATCGAGCAATGTCGTTCTGCTCTATCGCGGACCGTTTTGACGTTCGAGGGCAGAAAACTGTTTTCTAGGACTTTTGACAAAGCTACTGATAACTGGCGGCAACAAGAATCGTAAGCACCCAGATGACCGACGGGTCGCTACCCCTAGACGTTGCTCCGTTTGATAGCTGCGGGTAGATCTAAGGGGCAGCAGCCGCCTACAGATAGCCAGGGTCAAGCCTGAAGTGAGGTACCAAAGACTTTCTGTAGAGTTGGCACGGTTTAACCCTCCTTTCGGTTGTATACGGCACCCACCGGGTAGGCGGGTGTTAAGTTAGGCCGTCGGGCGGTCTAAATCATTTTTCAGTCATTTGCTCGAGCATCACGGTTGCCTTTAGTGAAACTGCGGCACAATATTAGTTGGAGGAATTTTATTAACTGCATATGGTATAGTGGCTTACAAGAGGGCTTGTGCATGAGATTGACCTAAAAACGTAATGTCCATCGTGAATGAAAAAGTATGCATGCATGCATGGATGGATGGATAGTAATGGCTATACCCCTTGTAACGGACGGCGGCTTGTGCCACTTAGCCTAACATTTTGTCATCCTTTTTTAAAATTTGTATAAATTTTGTTCTAACACAACCCCCACCCCTCCCTAAGTGTTTCCATTGCTTATTCTTATCTGTATTTTTACCCCTCCTCAGATCTTTTCCACCAATCTTTCATTCTCCTCTTAGTTACTGCAATTCTTTCCCTATCCATTCGTCCATCCTTGCCTGCAATTCCCAGTGCCTCCCCCCCCCCCCCCCCCCCCAAATCCGTAGTCATCTCCCCCCAAGAGAGTGGGACGAAGCCCCGTGCACCTTAAAATTACATGTTCTATAGTTTCCCTTTCGCACTTGCGTATGTCACACAGAGTGTCTATTTCCTGGAATTTAGTCCTATATGTCTTCATTCTTAGCACCCCCGTCATAGCTTCAAACAGCAATGAGCTCCTTAATGAATTATCATACAACTGTCCCTTCTTTATTTATTTCTGTGCCCTGTATATTGTTAAAGCTCATTTCCCCTGCAATCTCTCGTCCCACAATTTCCTCTCTATTTCCTTAACTCCCTTTTCTACTGATATGCTCTGATCGGCCCCATCTCGTTGAATGTATTTAGATCTCAGCCTGTGGGTTCGGTTTGTCCACTTAGTGTTTAGACTTTTCATATGTAATTACTTGTACACTTTCGCTGTCCACCATGTATCCTCAATTTCAGCTAGTCTTTGTTCAAAAATTACTTTACTGATCGCTTCTCTACTCTCGAAAGATGCCCAACCCATATCCCCCTGTACTCCCTCATTTGGTGTATTCCCATGTGCCCCCAATGCCAACCTACCCACACTCCTTTGCCGTATCTCTAACCCTGCCTTTATTTCTGACCTTGTACACAATACTACATTCCCAAATGACAGTTTTGGCACCATGACTCCCCATGACTGTTCACCATGACTGTAGACCAATTGCATCATGACTGTTCTGCAATTTGCATGACACCATGCAAATTGCAGAATACAACAATGTGACCAGGCTACAACATGTGCTGCAAATGTAGCAAGGGTCAGTGAAAGAACAGCCCACAACTTGTTCTGGCTAGGGATCAAGGTTGACTCAACTTTCTCTGGCGTTTTTTGTAACTGCAAAGCTAGAAAGGACAACGTTTTCCATTGTTATTTATAATAAGACTGGATTACCATCTATAAACAGCAGGTTTATTGCAATAAAAAAAAAAAAAAAAAGTTTCGCAATCCTTTTAAAGGGGTACTCCGCCGATTTTTGAGCTACCTCGACTATATTTTCTGACTCCTTGTCCTTTACCCTTTCTGGTATGCTATTTAGTATCGTAAAATTCATAATAGTTATTGCGAAATAGGCAAATGAAAATGATGCAAAAACCAAAATTCAAATATACCCGCCCTTTTCAGTGCCTTGACGTCAGTGGAAGGTCAGCTTGCCAGTCGGGCGAGCAGTCTAAAAAATAGAATATGCCAATCATTTGTTCCGTGCTGAAGCGCGGGTCCTGGAGCGAGCTTCCAAAGCATTCATTTGACACCATGAAACTGCTTCGAATCAGTTGGGAACAAATTCTACAGTCCAAAGAGTGAACCCCTGCACTTCCACTGATGAGGACCAAAATTGTAAATTCAATAACTTCGTGAAAAAAAATTATTTCTACCCAATATTTGGGATACTATTTTGGCGATGTTGTTTGGCGAGTTTAGCAAAATTTCAAGCAAATCGGGGACCATGAAGGAATCGGCGGAGTACCCCTTTAAGAATCAGCGCAAGGGAGACCGGATGATGAAAGACACAGCACGGTTTTAATCCATAAGTATGTACCAACTCGCCCAAGCTTCAAACTTACGCTTAAATTAGTTTGAGAGGCAACGCTTAAAAGTAGCGGTACTAAACCTTAACGCAGCTCAATGTATGCACGGTCTAAATACATACCCAAAGCCGATTTAAGTCGAGTTGGTCTGTCTTGCACGTAATACAAATGCTTACATTGGAAGTGATCAATCAGAACGGGGGAGAAAGGTACACAACAATTTATTGACGTGGGCGATATGCCTTGGCATTGCAAAACCACATCTGATGACCCCTGCATAAGGCATATGCAAAGCTTCAAAGGCCACGGCTATACTCCGTTTTACCTTATGCTGTACCGCAGCGAAGGCTAGAAGCGCGAGCTCGTAGCGTTGGCAGCTGCCCTTAGTGCACGAGAGCTTGTGCCGGCGAGAGCTGCCCTAGAGCAAGGAGACCGCGCTTGTAGCCTTTCCTGTGGTACATCGTAAGGTGAAACAGAGTATAGTGCTCTGCAACAATTTTTGTTTTCACTAGTGGGAGCTGCAAACCCCTTTTATTAAACTTTTCACCAAAAAATGTATATTCAAAGGGATGGAAAATGTAAATATGTGCTCTCCGACTGCAGTCACTCCGACTAGAAGAAAGTTGTCCGCTTAGCTGAAAAGATTCCAATGGCTGATAGTGTTCTAACAGACAAGAAGCAGCAGCGTGCTGTAAGTATGAAAGTGTTTTGGCACAACTTCCGTAACTCGGAACACAAGAGGTTTGTTATTGGGCTTCCCATCCAACTTGCAGGGAGAGAAATATAAATAAAAACACTTGAAACGTGGAGCTAAGGATGCAATGGATAAACCCAGACAACCCACGACCGGATCCAGGCATAGATGATGCAGGCGGCACAACTGACGGACGTCAGCAGAAGTGGCAGGAACTGTAGTCTCTCGGCGGAGGGAACAAATGGGTGGATGAGCTCCGAGTAGACCAGCACAAGGGCCAGGATGCTTATTCCCAACTGTTCTGCCGGTGCCAGCAGGTCTTCACACCTGCCAAAAGCAGACGACCTGTCTAAAGCATATGACCTGCTCAAAGCAGATGACCTGCCCAGGGCGGATGGCATGCCAAAAGCAGATGACAACATGCCGAAAGCAGACAAGCTGCCTAAGCGCATGTACGGGTGGGGCTTGCTCGGAACATCAACATAGAGAAAGTAGTAGCTCATTCACTGTGGTATCTTTTCGGTGCACTTACCTCTGCACTTTGCCCGAGCGTCGGACCATGTCTTTTCCGTTCCCGTGCAGTTTGCGGAGCGCGCAGATGGCGTAGACGGTGTGCAGCAACACCAGCAACCCCTTGATGGGAGTTTCTGTAGAAAGTGAAAGGTGTCTCCTGTTCGGCATCTCTGCCAGACCGCTCTTGTGACGCTGCCCTATTGAAGAAAGCCCTTGCCGCCCACTTTGCGGCTAGGACGTCGCAGCCAACACCACGTACCAGCAGGTTGGAACAGCAGAGGAAACAGCGAGCAGTGTCCCGCGAACGACAGGAGCACAAAGATGGCAGCGTCCTCCGAGCTTCGAAGGGCCAGCGGTCTGCGGGTGAAAGCGCGCCACCCTTTGAGTACCTGCCACGGGTTTGACAGCTGCGCTGGACCGAACTATGTTTTGAGTCGCCGGCTTACGTGGCAAGCAAGATGGGCATGAGCACCGCTTTCTCGTGCACGTGCCATCCGAAGAGGAAAGCGCTTAGGGAGCAGAGGACGAGCGCCCTGAGAAGCGCCCACGGATCCCGCGGACGCTTCCACAGTCCCCACAGGGCCGGCTGCAGAGATGAAATCGGTTTACCGAGGAACTGTGCAAACTGGCGGACCAGACTTTGCTACAGGCTGTTGCACGTTAAGAATAGATAGATAGGCTCCTCTCACAAAGCCCTCCACTCTTTCCCCTTTAGCAGTTGTGAGATGGCTGGAGAGCATTGTTGGAAGAGCTTATCATGTTACCACTATAACACCGAGATATTTTCACTGGTGCCGGGAGTTAACTGAGTTCTCCAAATTAAACTTCAGGCGTTGCATCTATACAGCATGCCGAAGCAACAATAAGCAGAAAAGGCGACCTTTGGGGATGCTAGTCCGCAGGTATCAACTTCAACTGGACTCTTTTCTTCTGAAACTCGCTAGCACTGGCTGTGGCAAATTGGCATGCATACAGCATACGACAGCTTCAAGAATCATTGGGATGGGTGCCTCTCACCAGTTGGAAGAGCAGGGTGAGAATAAATGTACAGAGTGGCCGCACGTCTGGCAAGAAGACGAAGCTGGAGTCTCGAACCAAGCCGGCAGTGGTCGACACACCAGCCTCTGCAGTCGACTTGGGCATCAGCCCTACAACAAAAAATGCAAATTTAGTTTCCTCTTTTTTTTTATCTTTTATCGGAAACTTTGTTTTAGGGAGGTGTTATATGCTTTGCAGCTGCTAACATCTAAAAGGTGTAATGCTCAAAGACCTACAGTCGATCCTCATTAATTCAAACCCCAAGAAGCCACAGACTTTTGTTTTAAATATCAGAAGTTTGAGTAATCAGAAATTCATCTAAATATGATGAGAGGCAAAGTAGCGATTTGCTATAGGAATATCTACACGTACCAAGTAGATGTATTATGCTTTCCTCTACACAGACATTAAACATTGGTGAAGTTGAAAGCGAATAGTGGTTTTGGCCGAATATTTTCTATTCAAATGTTGAATAGCTTCTCCAAGCCTTTTACTACCGTTGTACCATGCTTAAACGAAAAATCAGTTAAACTCGTCAATGTTGTTTCCAACCTTCCACTCGTCCACTTCTAAGCAGAGTTAGTTTTAATACTATATGAAATGTGGCCTCGGAAAGTCCAATGCCTACATTGTGGTGGCATGTAAATAATAGATTTGACATAAAATTAAACCTAGAGAGACGCCCAGCTATCCTAATCGAGGGAATTTAAAAATCTGCTTGCTATATGCAAATATTCTTTCTTTAATCTCAAATTTAACTCTCAGAAAAATTTAAACAAATAAGCATGAATAATTAAAGCAGATTGTAAAGACAGTACTGCTTGCATACTCGCGGCGGGTTAGTCCCACCGAGTGTACTTTTCACTGAGCCCCCGCATACTGAGGAAAAGCAATGCTCGCGAGCTTTGCGGGTATTGCTTTTCCGCAGTACATAGGTAGTACTCAATGAGAAGTACACTCAATGGGTCTAACCCACTACGTTGAACAAATAGTATGAGTTAAGTGGAAGTGCTGTTTGGGGGACACTACCCAGAAAAAACAATTTCTGAAAAAAAAAGTTGATTTTGAAAAATGTCATATTTACATCCACCAACATCTAGAGAGTATTCCCAGAAAATGTCATTAATTTACACTGCATAGTTAATTTTTTATAAATTATTTTCGGTCCTCCGATGCTAAAGAAAAGGTAGAGGTTGGAGCACTTTGAACGCATTTTTCTCCATTCCACTTTTTGGCATAAATTTCATTTTAGGAAAATTATCGTTTTGTTATTACGCAACTTGGATTCATTTTTATGAGTTTTTCTGGGGTGAAATTTTAAGGGGAAGATAACTATGAGCTTGTATTTTTTATTTTGTCATTTTTCATGCTCAAGAACTAAAAGTTCCGACAAAGGATGGAAATCTAAAAAACTGTATTTGTGTTTATGTGGCTTTTTTTGTCATGAAAGATGGTATAACATAGAAATATAGCTCCATAGTTATCTGCTCTGAACTGTCCTAATGCTATGTAACACATGAAAACAACAAATTTATAAGTAATTTCAAAACGATAGTTTTCCTAAGCAGACACGCCCACTTTTGTCTTTGAACGTTCACAATTTTTTTCGTACTTCACCCAGGTTAACAAAAATTGGCAGAAATGTTCTCAACATCAACAGAAACAAGCAGTGTAAATATAATTTAAATCCGACAAGTGGTTCAAAAATTTACTGTTTTGGGTAGTATCCCCCCTTATGCACCTTATAAATGCATTGAAAATGTAGTCGGACAACCAACATTTTGAAATTCGTTTGAATTAACCGGAAGTATGAAATGTATAAATTTCTATTTTCCTCAGTCCACTGTAGAGTGAAGTAATCTACTAGGCTAGCTGTTGAGGGCCTTTGGCCTCTTCAATAGAAAACAAACAAATGAGCCGCTAGATGTTTAGAGAGCGCGAGTTTAGTCCACCAAATTACGGTGACACTGTCACTAGCTGGGGATGAGAAACGTAGTTAGCCATTGCAGTACAGCCGCTACCCTGCGGTCTTCAACGTGCGTCCCGCAGTAGTGATACATGACCACACGCCGGTACAACGCTCACTCCGACCGAAACGAGCAAAGGTGAAAATAGAACTCTGAGTTCTGCAGCGCAAGCTTTTGCTCGAAGTGCGCCAAGCAGCGGCGTGTTAAAACCCTAGCCGCGAATTCCTTCGCTTTAATGAACACAGCTGCTCGATGGAGCAGGTATCCGAGGCAATCCAATCCGAACACTGGACTCTAAGATGTCAGGAACTCACCCGAGAGTGCCATGACCCTGTCCATGGCAGCGTACAGTGCCCACCAGTTCGGTGCCCAATATGCGTGGCACAGGCCACGTTTGAACGGGAACAGTCGCTGCCCTAGTTGTACGAGCTGAGTCTGGAACAGACGTGGAACAAAGAACCTGCAAACGTGCCAAAACCTGTGACAGGCGCTTGGCGATAAACAAGCCACTATTTTCCGAAGAGCTGGTGACCTTTGTAGCAGTGCCATTAAGAAAGAGAGGAGATTGTGTCTCTGTACGAGCTGGAGGTGGAAGATGAGTTACAATGGGCACAAAAAGCGATGTTTCGACATCTCAATCCAGGTCGCCGTAGCTCAATGGGGCTAGCCAAAACTAACTGTTGGCTCTGTGTCCACGATTGCTCGAGCTACGCCCACAAACTTTTATATAAAAAAAAAATCTCAAGCCGGGAATTCGGAAAATGGTGAAGTGCTGCACAGTTCTGCTAAATGAAAAGCGGATTGTTGTCCGCTTTACGGATTATGCATTCAAATATTCGGAAATCTCGGACTCACCTGACTAAGGAAAGGCCACAGAGAAACCAGGCTCACAAGAATCACCGTTCCTGCTAGTTGGAGGAAACGCACGGGGCGGAAACTTCCGAAGAGAGCTTTCATACCTGCATAAAAAGACGAGAGTTTTCATCAGTTCATTGTCTTTGGCACCAAATCACTACAGCCAAGTCCAACACCGATCGTGTCCTCTGGCAGAAATCAATTTCGCAACATCCGTTTTTAGGCCTAGTAAGTACAGCATGTACACTAACACCTCAACCTCACATTGGGTGGTCCGCAAAAATCGGTTTCTCGATGTATCACACTAAGAATTACTAGAGGGGCGCAGCCAGTTGGTGCACATATAAAGTTAAAAGATCTAAGGATAACCTTACCTCGTTAAAAATATACAAAATAAAAACCTGTTTCGGACAATCTATGGCGCTCGTTGACTTGGCGACGCTGCCGACAGATGGTGTACGCTGCATAGGAGGCGTGCGGGGCGCGTCGATCCAGGTTTCGATAGCAGACGATCCTGCAAAAGTTTTTTCATGCATACGCCGTTTGTCGGCAGCGTCTCCAAATTGTTGAACCTGCGTCGCCCAAAACAAGTTTTTCTTTTTTTCGTTTTTGAATGAGGCATGTTTGTTCATTGATGTTTCAACTTTATGCGAGCGCCACCTATAGCCGCACCTTCGTAGCAAATTCCAGCGCGACGCGTTGAGAAACTGATTTTTGCGGACTGTCCCAAGTGGGATCGAAGCACTGTAGTGTACACGCTGTAGCAGATGCAATGGTGATCTCGTTAAAAAAATTCAAATCGTGAACTTGTATGAGGAATTGCGTCACAAGTGAAATGCCGGGATTTCTAGTGGAGCCCTTCAATGAAATTGAGTTTGACGATGCCCGCAAGTGACGTAGGTCTAGGCAGAAAGAGAATGACAGGGAGGTCCTCTGAGATCTCCCATCCCCAGCAATAGCTTCCCACTTTCGATAATGCTTTGGTGTCTCATGAGCTTCGAGCATGCGTGCGCAGCCCAAGCACAACGAAAGGCAATGGCGCATGCCGGAGGCTGGGCATCGGAAAGCGACGCCCCACTGTTTTCGTTCTGTCGGCGACTGTATATATATTCTCGTAGATATTTGATGCTCAATGCGCACTGGAGCGTCCAGGAACAAAAATGTTGCCGCCCACGGTGCAGGTACGGTCCCAGGCCTGCACCGAATTCGCCTTTACTCGCCTTTTTCGGAGGTTGGCGCAAAGCAGTGGCTGCGCAGCAGACAAACGAAGAAGACGGGCGCCACATAGATGTAGATGTGCTTCAAGTAGAGCAGCACAGCGAACCAGAAGGTCGCTTCCACGGCACGTCCCTGCAAACATTGCGCAAACGTTTGGCATCTAAGGGTCGGTTAACGGATTTGCGTTTGACCGCGAACGAGTGCATTGTGATCACCCGCGATCACTTGCGACCAGCCCTGGAATTGCGTATAACTAGACTGAAGATTTTGCGGTACTTGTGAAATCAAATTTACGCACTATGAGAAATAGTCGCTTATTATTTCAAGCCCACGGTGAAAGAAGGATGCGTAAAAAGTTGGGAAAGAAACGCAGTATCCCTGGTGCCAATATGGTCCCTCATTCAAAGTCCCTCGATAAAATCCATACCTTGCATTTTTTAAAAGTATCAAAGACCGTTGTCGTGAGAATGCGCGAGTGCTCTGTTGCCGTTCGTCTCGAAGGGCCGCTCATTTCTGTGTTGCGCCACGATTTGCTTCCAAGGGTTCATCGATGCATCTGACGCTATTTGCGAGACAAACGCAAGCACATCTAGGGACTTTACTTTTGTTGCAAGCAGTCGCGAGAGATCAGAATGCACCCAGTCACAGCCAAACACAAACATACAAACGAGCCTTTACTACAAACTCCCGGACCAGTTCCTTCGGGCAGAACTATTATAATAAGAGCGCATCACCTGGAACAGCCTGGCAGCAGCCAGGAGTAGGATTCCATGAAGGAAGCCGTTGTACTGGAAATGGATGTGGTCCACCAAGAGCAGGCCGGGGTTCCACAGGAAGAGCATGGCAAGTACCGTCGCCGGTTCGAACCAGGGGTCGGCGCCGCTCGCGGAACCGTGCCTCTTCTTCGGAGGGGCCACCAGACCACGCCATCTGAAAATCGTTTTAATGACAACCACGCTGAACTCGTGCTAGACGCTAAAGTCACTCGCAAGACGAGAATGGTGAAAAGCAGTTTCAACTGTCCTGCCTCCAGCGCAAGCTTCTTACCTTCGACAACACTTCAGCATTTCGCACACCTCGAGTGAGCGCAAGCTTCCAAAGCACAGCGGGGGAGGCAATGGAGTGCATGCTGGGGGCAGGGCACTCGAAAAATATGCCCTGCCGTTCCCATTTAGTCAGTGACTCTAGTCTCAGTATAATGCAAAACACTGCTGTTTCTATTTTTATTTGGACAATTTTTGACACACTTAACACTTTGACCGTTTTTACAGGACAAGACAGGAAATATGCCAAGTGCGTCATCTTAAAATTAATGACGCGTGAGCTATAGCTTGTTGCAGGTTAAGATTAGCATGACATGCCCCTCCCACAAAGCCCTCCAAGTGCCATACTATTGGCGAGATCCTTCTCTCCAGCGTTCACTCTGCTAATGTGGAAAGAGTGGAGGGCTTCGTGGGAGAAGCTAGTCCTGCTGCTCTTAACGTTGATGCAGCTAGCAAGTTTGAGCATTTTTTTGTTTTCTTTATCTCTAACATTGCGCTTTGTAAGAGGACCGGAACAGATCCTGAGAACGGCAGTTGTCACTCGGTATCGGAGAGAGTGGTGTCCAGAGGGCGCTTAGAGCACGGGGGTTCCCTCCGACAATAGATGTAGGCGACACAAAAACTGCCATAACGACAGCCGCTACCTTGAGTGTTCTTTCGTGTCTACAAATTTCTTAAAAAGCAGACGAAGCACGGGTGGCTCCGGTCCCAACTTACGTCCAAACGGCATAGATGAAGACTAGGTCCGAAAATATGACGGAAAGCCTCTGGAAGTACACCGTCGCTGTGCTGGCATAGTTGAGATTGTTCAGCTGCAGCATGGCTGGATCGACGAACCACGCCGCCAAAGACAGGAAATATTCAAACCAGGCAAACAGAGGCGGATAGTCCAGCGTCCATTCTGAGGTACTCTGCAAAGGCAATACAGTTGTTTATCCTATGCAAACTCTAAGACTCGTGGCCCCACCATTTGGTTGAATGTACCGGGTGTCTACAAGGGACCTTAGCACAGTAAAACGAGCCGGGAGCGTCGTCTGCTAGCTCGCTGTGTCTATCGGGAGATGGCGCCACAAACCACAATCGATCGTCTGCGACTGCGAACATCTCCGCCGTCGACCCTGGCAAGTTTGTTGGTCGCATTTTACACGAGAAGGGAGATACGCCTTTAAGTTTCACCAGATAAAATGCATCACCTAAATTCACATTCGCTTGGCGATTTTTCCGGCTCGGTTTACCGCGATAAGACCCATTGCGGGGTCAACCTATGTACACACCTCGAAATACCATTTTGATGTCGGTAAAGAGTGCGTGATGGCCAGCCAATTCCTGTGGACCTCGAAATCGGTGGATCTACTGCAAATGTGAGAGAAAGAAACGCGCTTCAGGTTCGCTGTGTACTTTCAATGATCTTCCGACGACGATGCCGGCAACAAAATGCGAACAGTTCACGCAGTCATAGGATGAGCGGACAGAAGCAAGCGTTTGAACCTACTAGGCGGTGATGAAGAGGAGCTTCACACAAGTGACAGAAAGCACGATGCTTGAAAAGTTCAGCATAACTACTGCTGTAAACAAAGCCGGTAAGCGCAGCTCGCATTCGTACACGTGTTTTCTGCCGCTGCAGCAGCCTCAGCTCGGCCTCAGCTGCCGGCAGGCGACGCCGCGAGCCACGACGCAGGCAAACGAAGGCGTGGCCGTGTCTCGGCGGGCTCGGCGGGCGCTCGGCGGGTCGGAAGGTTTCGGAGTCGGTGATGCGCAATCAGCGCACGGCCTGGCACGGCTCTGGCCCAAGCCATCTCCAAGGTTAGAAACAAATATCTTAAAAAAGCGAACAAATAATTAACAACGTAACGTCGACATTTGCTTTTAATTTCTCACGCCAGGTGACACAATATACCGCCCAGTTTGTTATGAGCGATGTTGTTGTGTATCTAGAGTTAATTTTCTTTTCTGTACGCGCTATGCCAAAGCCGCCTGGCTATGCGCGCACGCTGACGCGCTAACCACGCTGACTCTGCCTTTCATCATCGACCGCGTTGCATCTGACAGCGGTATGTCTGTCTACCACGACGAAGTCGAGATCGAAGACTTCGAGTACGACGAAGAGACTGAAACGTACACCTACCCCTGTCCGTGCGGCGACAAATTCGAGATAACCAGGGTGAGTGCGGTCTCTACGTGTTCGTCGTGGCTGCAGCGTTTAAATTCCAGCCTTTTTACGCACGTGGTCTCATTGATTGATTGATTGACCTGTAGTCTAAACACCAACTCCTGAACAGGAGGACCTCCTGAATGGTGAAGAAGTGGCGACTTGTCCGAGCTGCTCGCTGTTGGTAAAGGTCATCTACAACCGGGTGAGTCAGCAGCGATACAGTCGCGGGCATAAGAACGTGTCGCTTCACCTGTTTCCGATCGATTGCGTCGACAAACGTAAAGGGTTTTAACACTTCCGTGCGTAAAATGTGAGAAGCCTTCCTGTTCGTGTCTAGCAGCAAATACCACCAACATATCTGTTTCATACACATAGTACAAATCAGTCTGAACGGAGGACACAAAATGTAGGCTGGATCTTGCTTGTGATGTTGAAGGGAGTTCATTTGAGTGTGTGAATGAGGCCTCAATGTGTACATTGCGTTCAACATTCCAGCTGTAAGGTCATCACTCAAATATACCAAGCAAGAAAAAAGATTTCCGAGGGTCCTAAATTGAACTGCCATTGGTAAAAAAACGAGCACCCTGATTTGAGAGCAACATTTGAACTGCAATAGATGTGGTCTCAACATAGCAGTGAGATGTGTTTTATTGTTTAACCTAAAGCTGGCTCAGGAATCTCGGCGGTGTGCTTAATTTTATTATTTGTGTCTTGTAGGAGGACTTTGTCAGGGAGGAGGACAAGTTCGCAAAGGCCAAGGCAAAACAACTTCAAGCAGCAACGTGAACTGGTGCATCCACTGCTACTAGAAAGTTCCTTCTGTAACTGGTCTGTAAGATGCCCCATGCATCCACCACTTTATTGTACATACACTGGAGTCACTCCCAATAAGATATGTTGTCACAAAAATCTGTGGAATCTGTTGTTACTGATTATATTGGGCAGAAAGTTGTAATTTATTCCTTGGTTTGTGATAGAACTGTGAACCTTACCATGCAAACAGCATTTGCTCCGTACACATAATGTGAAAGGCATTCGATACATTGGTTATCTATACACCATCAAGCAGGTGGTGTATCTTCAAAAGTGTATCGGCAACCACTTTAACTTTGTAAAATTCTATGTGTAACACTAGCCCTGTTAAAAAAAAAAAAAAAAAAAAAGTTTGAGGACAGTTAAGCTTTTCTTATAAGTTGTGAGTGTGAAAACATGGATGTCGTTCTTCCGCTCCCTTAGTTCAACTGCGGTGTAATGGCGTGAATGGCCACGTTTCACTACTGCGGAGGTTGCAGCCAACGGCCGAGCGTGCGCTCTTGTGAAGTGGCCGTGCCGTGCTGAGCTCGATCGTGCAGCCTCTCCGGAGTTTGCCCATGCGGGCTGTGCGGCCAGGCCAGCATTGCCGCACCCCTTACCGGCAGCTGGGCTGTTGCGTGCGCTGCGCCGCCATGGAGAAGGCTTCAAAGGGATTTGAAGATTAGAAAGCTTTCCTTCTGACTACGTTAAAAAAATATATATATATCTTCTTTTTACTGTTTAGAAGTTTTTACATTAATGAATTATATATCACCCTTCGAATTTGTCACACCAAGAAATTTAACAACGTTTACACTCTTTACGCTTTGAAATTCGACTACGTCTCCATTTTCCAACCTTCCGAAATTCGTCGAACTTTGGACTAGGTTTACTTCAAGGGTTTACGAGTGGAAATATTGCACCCAAGCTTTACCACAAACAGCTTGTTTTGGGGTGGCCTCGGGTTTGTATCCAAGTTTCTTGCCTGAGACTTTCAAACAGAGCCACTCCCGCGCAAAACCGTGTAGATTGTTCCAAGGTAACCCGCAGACCAATGTACCCCTGGTCTGCAGGCTTGATATCCAGTCGAGGCACTTTGCTAGAGCATCATTTGTAACCTTGGTTGTTTCTCAACATAGGTCTTCCAGTTTCTTTATATAGAAATCAATAAATTAATTTAATTAGCTGGCTCGCCTTACTTGAATCGGGAAGAGGAGGTCCTCCAGTTTCTTTATATGAAATTAAATTCAATAATTTAATTAGCTGGCTTGCCTTACTTGATTTGGGAAGAGGTCCACACACAATTCAAAGCTGATGCATAACAGCAGATGCTGTGTTTGCACTAGCCACTAGCTCAGCCATTGTTAAAAGGGCGGTGCAACGTTTTTACCATTGAAAGAATTTGCAGCCTGTATCTTTATATCTATATCGAGGTACAAGTGATAAAAGTGTACCACCTTCCGCCTTCCCCCAAGAAACTGCTATTCCGCCGCGATGTCACATAGAAAAGATAGAATTGCTTGCCGATCTGCAGACGCGTGTGGCAGTTTTGTGAATTACGGCGTCCCGTCGTGGGTACACGCAAGTCAACAAAACTGGTCCGCCTCCACTGCTGCACTTGCCATCAGCCCCGTGGTGTGTACCATCTTTTTGTCCAGTTCGCTCGCCGTGACCTTCGGCGATGCTAATCCTTGAAAAGTCAACAATCGCGGAGGGAGTGGCGGGGGGCTTTGGAGAGCGAACCCAACAGGAAATCGGGTGGTGTCGCTTGGAAGACTGCGCGAGAGTTGACGGAAACTTTGACCTTCAATTTGTTTTTTTTTCAGAATAAAAGCTAGCTCGTCCAAGAAAAAAAAAATGGCTTTCTGTCCTTCGTTTTATAGGTGACATGGATTAATTCCCGCAGTTAATTGGTCAAAGTTTGAAAACCGTTGCACCGCCCCTTCAAATAATGATGGAGTGGCCGGCTGCAGTTTAGAGCAGCTGACATCTTCCGTTTATTTTTTTTCAAGAGCGTGGAAGGCTCATCGCACAATCGTTCATGACCTGCATTTAGTCAGTTTGGTCCAGGTGCATGCTGCTCAACCTTGAGCTGCATTGGGTGCAGTGCCCATGTCCTAGCGTGTTCTCGGTCTCGTGGCACCATGCCGGAAATGAACGTCCACAACTACTAAAAACGTTCGGCAGGCGCATTGTCTTGTCTAGGTTGCCTGGATGTGCGGGCTTCCACCTTTAAGCTGCAATTGCAGTCTTTACGGCCTAACAAAAATGAAAAATATTTAGGACTTGCCACCTTTCCCCATTTGTTTTAGATTGATCTGTAATGACGCTTTTTCAACAAATAAGTGCCTTGCAAGTTCATTCTGTTAAACAGTTTGTCAGCGAGAGTAAAAGAAACAATCTGTTGCCACTTGAACTTGCCACCATTTCCAAAAAATAACTGATGCAGCCCCGATTGCCCCCAAGCAAAGTATACAAGTTCATAGCGCCGTGTCTGTCGTTACCGCTTCTACTCGTCCCTCGTTTATTTTCGAGCTGTTCCCCTTTCGTGATGTTAAACCAACTCGTCCAACTTTATGCGTTGTTTTAAAATAAAAATGCTGTATAAGGGGATGAAAGGGCTTCATAAAAGATGTTTTGAAAGGTATTTGTACTTTCCTTCAGGTACATAACCTCATTTACTTTGTACTTCAAGTACTTTTTAGGTCTACTTTACCCAACACTGTCAAATTCGAACTTGAACAAGGTTTGAAATTTTTCGAACGTTTCCAAACTCGAACCTTGAGAGGTTTGTCGCATCTTTAATACCAAGACCTTTTCCAGAAATCTCGGAAGGCTACGTGCACGGCATATTATCAGAATGTTCCTACTTCTCGCCCCCAGAACATCTACCACATGACACTGAAGGCAGCAAGATAAAGAGAGAGAGCACCATAGCTGCTTAAATTTAAAGTTTGGCCAATGAACCGAACTAGAAAAAATGGAAGCAAAATAGGAAGTTATTGAGATTGTCGTGGTTTGTTATACGTCGCGAACCCAAGATGATAGAGAAAACGCCATTTTGCAGTTGTGAGACTTCCATCCATGGTTACAAGACTGACGAATCTTCAAACGACTGTCATACTCTCCTGCTATTAACAACCCTGGGTAGCGCAGTTTCTCGCCTTCCCGTTTTCTGTTTACTACAGCCAGTTCCCGGCATCCCTTTCGATCCCATCGGTGGCACCACACAATTGCAAAAAGTCTATTGACATTTACAGTGCAATTGGTTTGCTCATCATGCAGGAAAGCGATTCAAAATTTTTGCACTTTGGTGAGTCATTTGTGCAACTTGCATTCAAGGCTGGATGTTTTATGCTTCCTTTCTACACGAGATGGCAGGTCCTATAGCCTGTTGCAACATAAGAAACGTAAGACAATCTCCTCTCACAAAGCCCTCCATTTTTCCAGTTTAGCAGAAGAAATTCTGGAGTCGAGTGGGGTGGAGAAAACCACCAATCGTAGTGAGCAAAGAGCTCTGTGGGAGGGGCCAGTCCCACGTCCCTTAAAGACCGACCAACAAAATAATTTTTTGCAAGGTAGGAAACTTTTCCTCTCCATCCTTCCCAGTTCTACCTCTCCCACTCTTATCTTAACAGGGGGGGACTCCTTTTGTTGCTGTTTCTTGGGGCCAGATAAACCGGGAACTTATCTCGGCTCATTCAGCCCCAACAAAAGAAGTCCCCCTCTGTCAATATAGCAGTGGGAGAGGGGAAAACGGGAGGGGTGGCGAGATTTTCCTACCTTGCGGAAACACCTTTTGTAGGTCGGGCTTTAACCTACAACAAACTTTCCCGCACTCCAACAGACACACTCGCAGATCTCCCGTGGACCGGACACCTCTTTATTGGCAGAGGGGGGGTTGGGGCTAGCTCCCCTTGGGCTTCATCTGGTTGCTGCGGTCACCGCGGCAGCGCGGGCAGTACCACCGCCCCTTGGGCTTGGTGGTGAGCGCCACGCACGAGAAGTGGAACCACTCGATGGCGCACTCCTCGTTGTCGCAGCAGATCATCTCGCCGAACGAGACCTGCTCGCAGAGGCAGTACGTCGGCTCGTCCGGGTCGATCGGCGGCTCCGCCGGCGACGGAATCCCGCGCTGCTGATTGCCCTGCTGGTGTCCTTGCTGGTGCGCCTGTTGATGATGATGCTGCTGGTGCGTGGTGCCCCCCGCATTGGAGCCGCCCCGCCTCCGTTTCTTCTTGGGCTGCCGCCGGTTGCAGGCTGGGTGAGCAGACGGCGGCTGGTCGTCGTCGTGACCGCGTTGCCGCCGCGACCGCTTGGCTTCCCGTGTCTCGGGTTCGTGGTCGAGGTTCCGGTAGTCCTGGTCCAGCTGGCGGGCCTTATTCTCTATCATGTCCTGGATCTGCTGGAGCAGCTGGAGCTTGTCGTCACCCAGCTCCTGGGACTTAATGAGGGAGTGCTGGATCTGGAGCATGACCTTCTTGCGGCTGCCGTCGAGGTCCCGGCGCCGGAGCAGACCCTGCTGTTGCTCCAGTTCGGCCAGCACCTCTGCGAGGACCGTGCCGTTAGTGTTGAAAGGGCAGCTCTTCCCACCCGTTGGTCTTAAAGAAGAGAGTTCTTCTTAACTAGCTCAAAATAAAGAAGTCTGGAAGTTAAGTCGTCATCCCAAAAGAACCTGAGACAAGAAGCCAAGATGGACAGACCCTATAGACCAGGGGTGGCCAGGCTGACCCGGCCTGAGAGCTGCAATTAAAACCACGGAACTTCCAAGAGCCGCGGGGGGGGGGGCAAACTTTTGTTGAGAGCAACGAACAAAACTCGAGCTACTTTTAATCTACCAGAGTCAAAAGCCATCCAATGGTACGTAAGGTAGCAGTAGCACAAGACTACCGAACCGCAACCTGTTTTTCGATTTAAAAGGTGTTCTATATTTCTCTTTCTGGGGAAGTGCTCGTTTGACCGGAAGGGAGGCTGAGGAGGGGGGGGGGGGTTAGGTGAGGGAGCCGCGAGCCACACTTTAACAAGCGAAGAGCCCCATGTGCCTCGTGAGCTGCAGCTTGGCCACCCCTGCTATAGACCCTTTTCAAAAGCACAGCAACGCAATGCTTTGTCACGGAAGCCGTCGTGAAGCCGACAAGGTTCGCCACGCCTGCACAGTGGGGGAGCGTGATGTCACTGCCGCAGCACCGTGTGCGATAGGAAGACATGGTGCACTGCTTGTAGGAATGCTTTTGCACTCCTACACGTAAGCACTCTTAAGTGTCTCTGCCGAATTTTTTTCCAGTTGGAAGGTCTGCATTGGATCACCTAGCATTCTTTGGCTTCAAGTGACAGCTTGGACCACAGTGCATTTTAAAACCCCTACAGCAGTAAGGAAGCTTAGCTGCCTAACTCCTATGCCACTTCAATGATCCTTCGCCTGAGATGGAGTGCAGCTCTTGCCCTCCAGGCAACTTGTTTGCCACTGAAAACAATTCCAAGAACACCTAATCACTTCTTATGACCGTGAACACGAAAGTATGAATGTCGAATCGAATGCCGCTAAGTGCTCCTTTGAGTTTTGCGGTGCAAGTATTGAGGTGCCCTTTGGCGAGAGCACGCCACCGTGTTAACAGTGTTCCTTCCACCGGCGCGGGGCCGCAGCGCCATAGGGTAACATTCCTTGAAACTAGGGATTGCGGGGGAGTTGATTCTCCATTTCGCTGCTACGGACTACAGGCTTCGCTCCATCAGGCAGGGGAGTTTAGCTACCGTTTGGCGCAGCTTCAAAAGCTGATAACGCCGGTTCGCTCCATGAGACAGTTAATGCTTTCACATTGAAATCCACCTGGTTCAGACGTCGATCCTGGGACCTCTGTAAGACTATTGGAGCCACTTTACCAACTGAGTTGACTAGGAGCTAGCCATCAGTAGGGCAAACAGATTTTAAGTTTCTAACAGTCTCCATCGTACACAGAGCAGTGGTGAGTATCTGATGCTTAATAGACGTTAATGATTTAGGAGAACCCTCCAAGGTGGAGAAAGTTTCTGTGCCTTGGGGAGTTCTGCTAAGTCATTAACATCTCTTCAGTTGTAAACAGGAGCAGTAGTAGTAGTAGTTTTCTGCATTGCAAGAACTAGCAGAAACAGATTCATCTGTCTCTTTCATCATAAGTCAGATTTCTACACTCTAAAACATCCAACATACTTATTTTCTTATGTAGCTGGGAAAGTGCACGTCAAGTGAGCCCAGCTTGTTGACCAAAGAAAGCAAAAGAAAAGAAAAAATGCAGAGAAGACAGCGTAGCGGAGAACCAGAGGAATAGACAGCATAGCGGGGTACAGGGCACAACAAAGTTTATTTGTTGTGCACTGTGCGTTGTTGCTTTTTCCGTTCCCACAACACCGCGTCACGATATGCGACGGACACTGCAAAAGCGGACGGGCCTCCGTTCCGCACAACGACATCCTGCACGTCTTAAATTCTATATTCTGTCTTCTTCCTTTTTTTCTCTCTCTCTTTTCATTCCGTTTTGTGGCGTTTACAAGCGGGAACCATTCTCGGTAGCGTAAGCTTGGCCGCCCTCCAAAGCACCGTACTCGACGCGCAACTGAGCCGAGCGCCAGCCGCCAGTTCAAGAATGTCGTGACCCCGAATTCAACTGCGGTTAGAGGTGCTACTACCCACCTTGATACTTGACGTCGAGTTCTCGTAGCTGGCTGAGGTTGCGTTGCACATCGTCGGGCAGGTTTTCGACGCAGTCGAGGTAGTCTTCGATGTAGGCCGCCGAATACAGGGCCTCGACGGCTGCCTGATTCAGCGCTACATCCCACGAACTGCCTTCCTTCGACGTAATGTTGAGCGTCTCGAGAAACAGGCCCCGACGACAGGGATTCAGTCGAAGCGCCGTGGTGTCGGTCGCTTCAGCTGGCTTCGTCGAAAAGTGCGTCGGCTTTCTTGGGACTGCCCCTCGTCCCGCGCTAGAAGCACGATGAGGCGTTGGGAAGGGCGCGGACCGGGAGGCCTTTTTCACACGAAGGTTAGGCTGTCAGGCTGAAGACTTGCTGTTCGCGCTTGTACGCATCGGGCGCGATGATCAAACGCATAACAAGCGCCCCATGCCAACAAACAACGACTTGATAAAAAGTTGGATTCTTGCTCGGCTTGACTTGGCCTCCGGTGACAGGGTGACAAGTCGACGCGCTATGCGGCGGCTATGCGCGCCCGCCGCCCGAGCCAGTTTCACTTGGAATTTCCTTTCTTGGCGCTGGCGAGACAGGAGTCCGCTAGTGGCGCGCCAATCTAAAGCGATCACTAGCGATCACAAACAAGGAAAACTGGGAAAACCGTATCAGAAAATTATCTGGGTTACTTTTGAAAACAGTAGGGCGACGAGGATAGCTTCATTATTTATGAATATCTATATTTGATTCTAAATTATCATGAGACTGGCTGAACATCTCGTGCTCGTTGTGCAGTAATGCAGATTTCATTCAGAAATGAAAACTCGTGTTTTCATTTCTGAATTAATATTTTGTGTCACCAGTTTGGCGCTTACTCGCGGTTTCGCGGTAGCCTTGTACCCCTTGTACCTATGCCTTGTACTACCTGGTACATTACATGTTTGTGTCATGCGCACGCTGCCGATAGAAGCGCCAATGAATTATCTGCCAGCCAACGTAAAGCAGCCGGCAACACCGAAAAAGCGCGCAAACCTTGGGTAAACAACCAACGTGCAGAAAGAAGAGAACAAAAAAGAAAAAAAGCCGCCTCACAATAACCCAAGCGAAGATCAATGGCGGCCGCTATTTGGGTCCCGTTGGCCGCTCGACGACTCGATGTTGGGCAGCGTGACGTCTCAATGTCAACATCTCCGCGCTGGTGCCAGAGCAACGAGTAACCGCCGTGACCCCGCGAACCCGTCCGACGCCTCCCAGCACCGAACCAGAGACCAGAAAACGGCGGACAAGCTCGGGAAAATGGCGCTTCACAGCGCTCTTCTTCGAAAGTTGCGGCAGCATGCCCGTTTTTGAGGGCACCCACCCTACCCGAGGAACAACCATCGTGCCTGGGAAACCGTCCCTACCCCGTACCTTTCTTTCATTTTAATTTCCGTTTGGAATGGCCGAGCCGCGACGCATCAAACTCGAATCCGCTCACGAAGCACCGCAGTCCAAGAAAAAACGCTTCCAACTGTGTCCGACCAAGAGGTTTCAGCTTTCGCTCGGCGACTTTACCCCAGAGTCAGCGTGTCCAGAGTTCTCTTACAGCGATCTGCTCAAATCAAAACGGGTAAGCCGGCTCCTTCCATGCGTTTCATCCCTCTCGTTGTCTCGTTTTCATCGCCGGGACGTTGGGACAGTGTGTTTTTCTTTCCGCGGCGTGACGACAAACCCGCAAATTTTACCAGAAGCGGAATTTCTATTCGTCATGAAAGTATCAATGCACGGATTAAATCAGTGTTAGTGCAGAAAGGCGGATAATTGGATATGTAACCTTCACGCGGAGGGTTCGGTAATGTGACACCCTGCGGGAGATTTTCACGTTTAATTACATCCTGTATGAGCAGTTACTCAATGGCGTACCGCGTCACTGTATAATTAACCTCGCTGCATCAGGTGCCCAGTCAGACGATCTTGATATTTGTTCCCTCCTAAAAGAAAAAAAAGAGAAGCCTCAAAGTACTCGTTTAACAAAAGTTACACAAGTACTTTTTGGTGTCCTTGGGAAGTATTTTTCTACCGAGTGCCCGCGCATTGTCCGCATAATTGTGAATTGCTGTTTCTGTTAAAGTGTTTTTACTGGGCTTGAAGTGTTCTCTATAAGTTGGTAGTAAACATTCTATAATATTGTGTGTGCCTGAGAACGAATCTCGAAAGGATCCAATTTTGTAGTGACAGAAGGCTGCAGCAAAATTGGGCGTACAAATTTTCAAAGCGTCACAGTGATCTCGTGGTTCCAGAAACCATTGCCGTTACGATTGTTGGGAGTGTAATCCATTGACACAATTCATTTCCAACGGCGGCAATGTACAAAAGCTCTAAAACTGCTGGGATTGGCTGGAGTAGTCCAGCAGGCAGGCGAAACGCAGCAGCGATTGGCGTAAAAACAGCCGATCACCGTTTTCAGCCCCCGGACATAGACGGCCCATTCGAAGATGGGGAGGAAGCCCAGATTCGAGAACTTGCCCGACGGATGGAAGAAAAATATGTAAGTCCAAGGGAACGTTTCGTACTGCACGTTTTGCATGCTTTTCTAACCAGTCTGCATAAACACTTTTTCCCATCGTACTCAAACAGGGCGTTGACGCATTATCAATTTTACCACCCTAGAGGAGCACATTCAACTTTACTTTACTCACTGACAGCATGAGACCAGGAGGGCGTGGCTTGTGTTCACGGTCCTTGATCCGTGATTCATTCTTCGGCATTTTTGTGTGGAGAGTAAGTCATCTGCTTTGTGTGCAGGAGTCACGGTGACGTCGGAACAATGCCGAGCTCCGATTGGCTTTGATTGAAAGGATAGTGGGTAGACCTCAATGTTACATGTCTTGAGGTCTACCCACTATTCTTTTTTTTCCCATCAGCCAATAAAAGCTTGGTGTTCTAACATTGTCGTAACCCCTAGTGTAAGAAGCAGACAAACTTGCGCACTGCATTGGCTAACGTCGTAATTTCGTTGGCTGCGGGACAATAATGAAATGCATGGGTCTTGCCACGCCCTGCGCTTCTGTCGGCGACGATTATAGTAGTTTTCGTTGGAGTGTTTACGTTATGACAGGGAGAATAGAAAAAGCGCCAATCGCTTTGTTTGTGCTAACCGTGTCAAACTCTTCGCATAAGGCCCTCAACACTGAAGGGATCTGTGAGGCCCACGTGTGGTTGATTGAATGGTTAGGGACAATGTAGCAACATCAGCTCCCATTTTTTGTTCAGGGTCGTTTTGAAGGTTTTCTGTTCAGCTGTGAATTCGACTTTACTATGTCAACTGAAATGTGATTTGCCTCGGCTTCTCCCTTTTGGTCACGATTTCTTTACCGTCCAAAAGGTGCCGTTGGTCCTCGCTGACGTTACTCAGTATTAAAATGTAATAATGTGACCTGAACCAAGAACATACTACCATTTTTCGTTGCAAGAAGTTACAGTAGGAACCGAGCGAATCATTTGTACTTAGCCCGACGATGTATTGTACGATAGAGGTGTGTCTTTTTATTTCCACGCAAGCATTCTTGGTGGACCTGACTCGCCTTGTCGTAAAAGCAGGCTTTTACCCCCGGAATTTGCACGACACCTCCATGGTGTAAAGGTTCCGTTTCGACCTCCGTAGCGCCAGACGTAGGGTTCGAACCCTGGATGGTCCCTTCCCAAAGTAGTCTTTCGGGTGTCACCTATTGCTTGAGTTGCTTTGCAATGTAAAACCCCAATATTTGATTCACATTTTCTTTCTACACAAAGAGCCTGCTGTACTTTATCTACAGTAAGTTTATTTATTCAGATTTTAAACCTTGCAGTGTATATTACTATTTGATTATGTGCCACTTGTTTACTGCTTGGTTTGCTTTTCTAGCTTATGTATGTGATTTTAGATGGGTTCTACTAGTGTGCTTGTTTTTTTTGTTTTTTTTTTTACCATCAATAATGTGTCTGACAACCTTTTTTTTTTCTCATTGCTGGATGTTTCACACTTGGTTTTACTTTATGCAGAGTGTGAGTTATGCATCAAATATAGCAGTTCACATAATTGTTGCCTATTTGTTTTGTTTGTTAGTGTTACAAAATGTTTATTGTATCCTAAATTCTGGGCCATGAAACCTGGTCCTACAACACTTTCCAAGAAAAGGTAGTAGCATCTAAACAAAATAATAACAGCATGAAACACTCTGACATCTACGGAAATGGCAGCTTGTGAAGTTGTACTAAGGGTTCCATGTTCTTAGGGTATGTTTTTCAGGGTTTTATCGGTGTCGATTGCCTGTGTCGGACACAGAATCGGGGCTTACGTTGAAGAAAGCAGGACGAGGGCACGGGATTTCCCAAACTCCAGGGAACATCTGCATGACCGTAATGCTTGAAAAATCTCCCCATACCAATAAGAAAAAGAGAAAATAAAAAATAATGTTCCACAAGAAAGAGAAAAAAAACAAAAAAAACTTTCACAGACAGTTTGGTTGCAGCTATGTTCCGGGGTCAACACATTATCAGTCCGCAGAAATCATTTCTTCCTGCCAGGCTTGGGTTCTTCTTATTTAAGGACAGCTCCAGTTCAAGGGTCCTCAGTCTGCCCCAATTTTGGTCAAATCGGCTCAGGGATTACTTTTCAGGGTTCGTCGTTGCATGCCGAAAAACACGGAACCCCAATTATAGCGCATTCGTTCCTTGGGTAGGGGCACATTTCGATGTCTGTGACAATAGGGGGACACTCGCTGCTGATGAATGTTTGTGGGAGCTAAAGCAGACATTGACAGCTATTCATCAATTGTTCGTGTCATATTCACTCGTACTCGCACGTAATTTGTTGAGCACAGCAGGCAACTACGGACTATAGGGGGTATTCACTGGACGCCTTCAGAGCACATACTCTGAGTAAGCTTACATTACTAGGCTGCTAAAACCGGTAACTTTGATAGTGCGAAATGCACATTGCAAAAGAACTCTGGAAGTTTGCCGTCAGCACGCACTCTGCTGTTGCGCATGCTGACGCGCTACTGCTGTGGAGGCTGGAAGATTGGTGGAAAATCTCTAGAGAACTGTGAAAATACAGAAAATCGGTAGAGTAAATGATTTAATGAAGACAGGATTTTAAGAGCAAAATTTAAAGTGGAAGGGTGCGAATTTTTGTAGGCTAGGTGGCACAAGCTACCGCCCAATCCGAAGGGAGTGGCCGACGCCCTCCATCCACGTTGACCTCTTGTTTCGCAGGGGTCGAGACCGTCCAAGAAACGCCGCAAGGGCAAGATTGCCTGGGAGGACTACGTAGACCGAGGCATGGGCTACGACGAGACGGACCCTTTCATCGACAACGAGGAAGCGGTGAGTCGCACGGACGATACCCGCATTGATCGTGGATGTGCCAGCTGATCCGTGCTTCCGTTGTTCGTTAGCGTTTCCCGGCGTTTACGTGCGGCGCTGTGCGGCCAAGGTCACGTAACTGGTGCCATGGAACATGCATTCTCAAAACTGAGTTTCTACCCAGAAGTTTCCTAGGGTACCCACATAGGTTCTCTAGTGTACCCATATGAGTCCCCTAGGGTACCAAAAATTTCTTTGGCTGTCCCTTTCCCTATGTAAAGTCTTCCAGTTTAAGTGCTATTTGAGAAGATCTCAGCCATCCATTGATGCATAAGTATGTGCCAAACACTCGCTATACTCCGCTCACTCCTAAGCTGACAGTGTCGTGGAAGCTGCATGCCTTCTGTACCAATCAACTACCTTCTTTCATCACCAGACTGCACACTCTGCGCGCGGGTACGGGCAGAAGCAAGATTACATGGGCAAAGATAGACATGTGACATCCAATGAGTATGTGGTTCCTACCGCACCGTCAACTTGGGCCCGCTTTAGACGGCAATTTCTCCCAGCAACTTGATGTCACAACACCAGCAACATGGGTTGCTGGAAATAAATCGTTCAGAAAGATGAGTTAGTATTCTCAATGCCATTTAAATGTATAAAGACATCTTTATAGCGTATAACTGTGTGTCTAAATAGTGCAAAAAAATATTTATAAAACTTTTATTAAATTATATCGTTAAAATTTTTTTTTTTTCACTATTTAGACACACAGTTATGCGCTATAAACATGTTTTTATACATTTAAATGGTGTTGAGAATACTAACTCATCTTTCTGAATGGTTTATTTCCACAAAAAAGTCAATTTATAACCAGAACTAAGTTTTTAGTTGTCGTCATCACAGGCTTGGGGTAACACATGAAAATATTGCGTCCCTGATTGGCTGCTGCTGCTTTAAATGTCTTCGAATTGCTCTAAGTTGCTTGCTTAATTTGATCCGGACCCAATCTCAGCAATTCATGTCGATCTAGGGAAACCTAGGGAACAACCCGCCAGCAACCCCAAAATTGCTGAGAAAGTTGCCCCGTCTGAAGTGGGCCTTAGGGGTGATGCACTGCTTTATTGCATGACCGTCAACAATGGGGGGGTTCCTCGATTAACCCTTTTAAAGGCCGGTTTTTTTTTCGTCCCAGCGTGCACCCTGTGCCAAATATTTTTTTGCTGCACAAATTTTCTCTTTATTTTTTAATGCAGAAACGTGGATGCATGCTTTGATATGTACATTTATTTACTAGATTATGTTGGTTCACGTTCAAAGAAACTGTTCCACGGTACACTTTCAGGCAGCAACGACTCGTCCTCACTTTTATCAGTATCCCAAGTGCACTCAGTTTCACTATCATCAGAATCTGAATTCGTTAGCAGTTTCTGGATTTTAGCATCCGTCAAGGATCGCGAAGTTGAGGCGCGTGGGTTCGCCAGTCAAAAACAATGTTGACTCAGAAATGCGTACAGAGGAAGTTGCCTCCACAAAACTCTCCCCCCTGGCATCAGAAGGCGAAGGCACGACAAAATATAATTCAATAAAATGTCCATAAATGCCACTTGCAGCAAAAAAAAAAAAAAATTTGGAATAACTCGAAATGAGCATACTCGAATGCAGTAAGAGGTGTGCCAGGGAACGCGCCCAAGTAGGCTCGGGTGCGGCACTCAAAGGGTTAAGAGAGATAGGCATTCTTTGAGATAGAAAAGTTTGAAATCCCCTGCTAAAAAGAGGTAAGATGCCCAGAGGTTCGATTGTGTAGACCCCGAGATAGTTTTTGCCCTAGGAGGGGTTGTTTCTAAAATAAACACGACTGTTAAAAGATTCTTAGGTTTCTAACTTGCTCGTTTGTCAAAGAAAGGAGGAAGGGAGAAGGTTTTTTGCCTATTCTCTGTTGCAGGTGTAGAGTAGCAGAACAAGGCCCTCCCACAAAGCTCCCCGCTGCCACAGCTGGGGATTTCCTGCTCTCCGGCATTTGCTCTGCTAAAGTGGAAAGGGCAGAGAGTTTTGCGGGAAGACCTTGGTCCGCTTCCCTTACCCTCCAACAGACTATTGGCGAGGAGATCAAACTATGGGGGCCACTTTGTCTAGCTTGTTTTCCCCAGAGCTCTACATTTAGCCAACGCACGGCACGCAGACCAGATTACGTCGTCGACCCCGATTGAGTGTGGTGCACGGATTGGATGCGAGTGCAAGTGTCAGCGTTTGGCTGGAACTTGCGTTCTATTGGTGCTCGACTGATTGAACGTTAACCCCAGCCGATCGCTGTGACAGAAACGCAAGCAGATAATTCGTATTGCTGTTGTCTCCTGGGGTTTAGTTCCCAATTTTCGCCACAAGAGGCGTGACGGTTGGATCTCCTCCGCAATAGCCAAAATGTTCACACATTTTATTTTATTTCTTCTCCGCTTTCGTTGAGCTCGCGACAATAAGAAAGAGATTTCTGGGCATCGGCCCTCCTCTAACCCTCGCAGTTTTGAGCTTGAACATCTCTCCTTTTCGTAACTTCTAGGCCAATTCGGGCAGTGCTGACAAAGCGCTAATTTCGTGCAACATTGCTAATACAGCCCTGCATCACTGCTGAGTCAAGTTGAACTGAACATTGCGTCGGCGCTGTTGCCATAGTCACTGCCAGGATGAGAACAGCAGGGAATCCCTTCAGTCCCGCCTCCAGCACAAGCTTCCTAACCTTCGATAACGCACAGCCAAAGCATCAAAGAAGGCAACGGGCGCACGCCGCAGGCTGGGCGTCTGAGAGAGATGCCGTTCTCGCCTTGTCGATGACTAAAAGTCGACTTAGTGCCGCGACGTGCGTGTGAATTGGCCTTTAGACACCCCAACCGGTGCCCTCTCTGTCTGCGCAGTACGACGAGCTGGTCCCATCCACCCTGACGACCAAGCACGGCGGCTTCTACATCAACGCGGGCGGCCTCGAGTTCCGCACCCCCTCCGGCTCCGACTCGGAGGACTTCCAGGACACGTCGGACGGGCGGCCGCGGAGCGGCGCCAACAAGGTGCCACAGCGACACCATCGCCGCGAACACGGCGACCCCGAGCGCCGCCGAGGTCGGCCCCGGGGCTCCCGCAAACTCAAGGAAGCCGCCGCCCCACCCGTCCCCACGCCGCCGATTGCCCCCGCCGTTGCGACGGACACCGCCGTCGTCGCGGCAAGTCCTGTCGTTGTGGCGGTCGGTGCGAGCAGTGGTATCACGGAAGCGATCGAGTCGGTCGTGCGCGGCGGCGGAAGCTCCGTCACGAAGGACGAAGAGACGAGCGGCACGAGTTCGAGCAGCAGCGGCGGCGGCGAGGACCGGACGGCCGTGCTGCGCTGCTCCCCCGGCGAGACCGGCGCCCCGCGGCTCCCCGAGAACCTCCCCGAGGACCTGGAGGCCGCAGTCCGGCACCTCAAGCAGGCCGCGTTCACGTCGGCGGAAGGCAAGTGCAAGTTCTTCCGCGGGCAGGTCAACCAGCAGCTCCTCAACGTGGAGCTTCTTGCACGCGAGCTGGGCTCGAGCCAGCGGTCGCTGGTGTTCGCGCACCTGGCGTCTTTCCTGCCCTGCACGAAGGAGACGCTGCTGAAGAGGGCCAAGAAGCTGCGGCTGGACCAGGAGGACGGGCGCCTCGGCGAGCCGCTGAAAAGGTTAAAGGAGGCGATGGCCGCCGGCGCGGGCCTTGGGGACCCGCGGTTCCGGGAGCCACTGTGCGACGTGGTGCGCATCAAGCTCCGTTGCTACGAGCTGTCAAAGACGAGGACGTTGTCGGCAGAGGACTACCTCAAACAGTTCCTCAACAACGAGGTGTGCCCGCTGTGGCCCGCGGGAAGCCAGCCGGTCAGCGCACGGGCGCTGTTCAGGGAAAGCCGCGTCGTGCACGCGCACCTCACGTGAGTATGGCTTATGCGCAATGCCCTCTGAGTGCGTCTTTTGGGTGTGCATGGAGCGGGTCGAGAGGTTCATGTTCTCTTTGTGACGTCCACTGACTTTATCATACAATGTTTCTAGCTCAGCAATGAGTGCAGTTCCAGTAGGCTACAGAAGTTGCGCGCGTAGCAGCGTCGTCTCCCAAGTGTCTAAGCTGCTGTTTCTCGCCATGTAATTATAATTTGCTGCGTTGTGCACATGTCTCTGGCCTACTGGAATTCCAGATTTTCTACCTTGATGTTCCCTAAACATGTCTACAGTCGGTGACAGGTTAGGAACACAATAGAGGCTCCTCTTCCAGCAAGCGCTCCTTGCCTTCTGTTGGGCTTCGGAGGCGCGTGCGCCGAAGTGTTATAGAAGGTATGGAGCTCTCACTGAAGGTGTCACATCTATCGGGGTTTTTTTGTCCTGTCAGTGGCTATAGAATACATTTGTTCCTACAGGCAATTAAAATGTTAGTCGCCGGCAGGGCAAAAAGCGGGCTCTTTCCAGTATGGGCTCGTTGCTTTTCGTCGTGCTGTAGTTACACGCGCATGCTGGATGCTCCCGACACACCGAAGTGTCACTGGAACTATGAATCTCATGCTGGAGCCGCGACGACTGAAAGACGTCCCTGCCGTTCTCACCTTATGGGGGCTTTAAGAGTATAACTGTCAACCCAGTTCTGGGCATTGCCGGTCACACCCTCATCCTCGTCTAGCTCCATCGAGTGCGCCACAGAGATTCATTCATGACCTTGCATGTTCTAGTTTGTCGCAGACAAATGCACATTTTAAGTACCTCGGGAAGCTGCACTTTAGTGTAGACTTGCAAACTTTTTCAAATATTTGCAATGGCTAATTGCTTACCATTAAAGGAGTACCAAACCAGTTTTTGTGGTTGTCCATTTATGGTCACAACTTAATCTATGGGCTCTAACATTCTAATAAACTAATCATTACATTCATGCATGTCCAATTGCTCCATTAAAGTCAGTATTAAAAGATTGATTACCTTGAAGCTATCGCAGACGCCAGAGGATGCCGTTGCACGAGGAAGGGCTCTGCCCTTCCTCGTCCAGTGGTGCCATCTGGCGTCAATTGTTTGATGGCAATTTTAACAGAGGAATTGGCCAGGCGTGAATGTAATGTTTAGTTTTTTGAGGAAGCTTTGAGGCCACAAATTGAGTTATGACCATAAATGGACTATCGCAGAAAGTGGTTTGGTGCCCCTTTTACGTCTATTGATGTAGCAACCAACAGACGGCACCACTGCGAAAAGCCAAAAGGCATCAATTACTGTCTGTTACGACAGAGATTATGTGTGCTAGAAGGCAGCAACATCCTTTTATGTTGACGGTATCATCCGCTTAAAGCAACCACAATTACACCTCAGTAAGTCTGCCACTGTGACAGGTTCTGCTGGAAATGAAATACAGCATGGCATAACCAACTGAATACCACCTAAATTACGCCTGGAAAATTAGTGCCTCCTAGTAGAAAGCTGACACTTTGCTCCAACGTGTGTTGCAGCAGTCTGCTTTACCTTGCGAGATTTCAAGACATAGCTACGCTTCTGTGAAAAATGTGTACTAGATCCTCAAAGATGTGAATGGCAGGCGCTGGCTCAGCTATCAAGTGGTGGTGCCACATGACGCAATTTGTGGCGGTTGTGCTTGACCAGATTGAAGATAATCATTGTGCAACTTGGTAATCCTAAAATTAAATGTGCACAGGTTTATTTTATTTACTTCCAGTTAATGCCAGAAGTGAATAGAGTAAGCTCGAGCCCAATTGTAAAAGGCTGCTGCCGACATGTCGCTCACTTGTGCCCTGTGTTGTAGGCGACCTGTGGTGCCGCCTCTTGATAGACGTGCCAAACGTGACTCTCTCCCCAACTCGTTCGCCTAACTCGGCGTCCGGAGTTCTTGTTGTTTCACCCCTTCAAGGAGAACTCGGGCGAAATACTGATGGCCATCGATTTTTATGAAATTTTCACCGAGGACTAAAATCTTCCCTTTGAATACTACGAAATATCTTAATCATTTTCTATCGAGAAAGTGATTTTTGAAGGTTGCGCGTTCACCTTTGAACCACTGGCTGCCGCTCTACTGGCAACAACGAGCAGGTGCCCTCATGACTAGAAACATTGTATCCGAGAGCAGACAGCGCTCCCCTCCTCCAAGGCGTTGTGTGTTGTAGTGATAGTGAGTGTCCGTGGTTTTGCAGATTGTGTGTGGTTTGGGCTATTTGCAGCATGTGACAGAGGGCGGGGGGAATCGGCGGTGTGCCGTGGGGTGCAGTAACACCACGAAGAAGTATGGCGCAGTGACATCATGTCGGTTTCCGACCGTCTCCGCAACAAAAGTGGGTCTGAGCGGTCCGACGCAAATGCTGGCTCTGCAGTGTTTGTGTCGCGCTAGAAAGCAGTTCTCACCATGCTAGCAAACAAGCAAACAAAACTTTCCATACCATTCCACTTTTGAAGCGGCATCTGTTTCCACGTGGTAGCAGGTCGCGAATGCAGCCGCCACGGGTGGTTCCCTCGGAGGCAATGCGGGGGGCCGTATGTGAACGGTGAATCATTGCTTGACTCAGGCAAGCTTGATAATTCGTCCGACGGGCGATCGCTGTGGCCTTCTGACTGCTTCTGGTGCTGGGCAAAACAGGCTCAAGCTGCCGATGCGCTCATGTTTATACAGCATCTGACATGACAACAAGACGGGCAGGCGAGTAAAGCTGCAGGTTAGTTTCGGTTTCGGTTCCACGATTAAAAATTTTAAAAACAGTTTGGTAAATTCATTTGCTGCTCTAGGTTCAGTTTCTTGTGCTCTTTCAGAAAGTATATTTAGTTGAAAACATTCAAATTGACGCCAGAACTCCCCTTTCAACCGTTTTTAGTTTGTGGGAATTTCTGACCCTTAACTGCTTAACTGTTGTCTTCAAAATCAAATGTGTTGCCTTCATAATCATATGTTTAGCAACAAACAGATTAGGAGCAAAATTTCAAAAAATAAATAAAGAAGGATTCAGTGTTGCCATCTTTGGGCAGAGCCGCAAACGAAGCCATGAGCGAGCCTGGTTCGTCCATAACGGTTGAGTGCGCGAACCGGAAAAATCAGACGAGCTATACTCGTCCTGAACGATCTGGGGAATGGCTCCACGTTGACGAGTTAGGCTCGTAAAGGAATTCCTCGCTTTTCATGGGAACCAAGCTATACCTTCAAGTTTCAGAAGTTTAGACTAGAGCCCCTGATTATGCTACACTTTAAGCACCGTTCACACTCTTGTGACCGAGAGAGACCAGACCGGTTTTTAAGCCTTTTGCGACTTTCTAGGACCGGATGCGCTGCAGCATAGCTGGTCCTAAGAGATCACAAGGGCTTAAAAACCGGTCTGGTCTCTCTCGGTCTTACTCAGTTCCAAGAGTGTGAACGGGCCTTCAGAGTAACTACACCTCCGCCACCTTAAGCTCTGTTCCAAATCTTAGTCGAATAGATCCGAGTTACTTCGGCGGATCATGTCACGTGACACGACAGATAGAGCAATGCTGGACACGGGTAGGTTGTCAGACACCAAGGTGCAAAACCTTTGCCCTTGAGTGAGATTGATTAAATTTTGGAACACAGCCTTGGTGGTCAAAATCATTGCTGCCAGTTATCTGAAGTTCTATTTGAAACACAGAAAATGCTTTTCTGTGCTCGAGAAATGTCAAAACTGCCTGCGACAAAGGAAAACAACGCGGAGCGCAAGTTCGTCTGCTTCTTTTGCAGGGTTTGTGGTGACATCAGAACGCCGAGCTCCGATTGGTTCTGATTGAAGGATAGTGGGTAGACTTCAAAGCAAGAGCTGCCTCGAGTTCTACCCGCTATCCTTCAATTAGAGCCAATCAGAACTCGGTGTTCTGACGTCAGAACAACCACTGCAAAAGAAGCAGACAAACTTGCACTCTGCACATCGCCGGAGCTTCTCGAAACCGCATCTTCTGCTCAGGAAGTCTCATGGCACCAAAATGGCGGCACCCCCAAGCACCAAGATGGTGGTGCTTACGAGAAAATCTGGGGATAAGGTGCCAATACACTGGGCGTAACTTTTGTTTAGTGGCTCTAGTTCAATGCAGAGCCGTATATGTAGAGAGTTTGGCCATTCGATGGGAAGTATAGGAGGCAAATGAGGAGGCGCCATTGGGCGAAAGCGGACTGGGCGTGTTCTAGGGAGTCTTCAGAAATTCGAATGTGGCAAACCAGGAGCCGGAAATAATACCCTGACAGTGGTCGCGAGAAACGAACTTGGTAAGTGCATCGGAGTAACTGACTGAAAATGACTGAAAATATGGTGCGCGTGATGTTTCAATCATGGTCATCCAAAATCATGGCAGAAGAGTGCGATTGGTGGAACGATCAACATAATCAGTACGCCAAGTGCCGAAAGCTGGGAATCTGCCGTCCGAGCGGTCAAACTCTGTTCAAGCAAAACGGAGTTGAGCGGCGCATTCGTTTCTTACATCTTTCTGCGTGATCATGATTGAAACATCAGGTGCACCCTATTTTCAACCATGAAGGGTCACTACATTTTACTCATACGCACTTATTAAAACCACATACCAACATATACCTTTGATTAGAACTGTTTCCCGCTACCACTGCTAGGTGATTCTTTTCGGCTTCTGGTTGGTCAAGAGAGCATGCCAAGCCCACTTTCTGCATCTGGTGCACGCCCTGGCCCTGCCCGCGCCTCCCATTGACCAAACTTACTGTATACAGGGTTCTGGTATAATGATGCCTCTAAAAATCACACCTTTGACCTCAAATACGTCCGGGTAGCAATGAATGGTACTTGCATCTCATCCTTGGCTTCGCTTAATGCTGCTGTTGACGACTGTCACTACCGCTTTACAGGGGCAGGGTAGAGCATCTTACACACAAATGGAACAGAGAGATCGAGGAGAGGAGGAGGAACACTTGGAGTTCAGGTTGCGAGAGGTTGACATACCGGGCACAGCACTAACTGAAGCACTGTGCCACGCAGTAAAACGTATCCGCACAACGCCTTGAGCGTAAGGTTAGTATGAAGTTCATGGCATGCTTAAAGCAAGCATGCTTTAAGCATGCTGCCTGGAGGAATGGTCTTGCGGCGGGTGCTTCGGCAAGGTTGCGGCACCATATTGTGGTGGGTTGGGTCCTGCCGCCGTCGTGCTCGGAGGGAACGCGCGCTTCGTGGTCTGACGAATGGGTTCACGGAAACGCGATTTCGTACAGTTTTATTTCTGAATGTGCCTCCCTTCTGCTTGCCTGTCCTATCATGTGTCATATGACACCGACATTGTGTTAAAAAGTTCACCCCAGTGTAGAGGTATTCTATCGCTATCACAAAGGTGGATTATCTTCGCTGCGAATATGGCCAAAATTGCAATGTATTTTCTAAGACCATCAAAATAACGGGAGACTGCGGGCGCCAAATTAGGAAGTGTGACATTTACCGTTTTTCACGGGGCTATGTTTAATTTTATAGTGTAATATTTCAGCCTTAGCAGTCGTATTCAAAATTTAAAACCTAAAAAAGCCTGAGAAAGTGATGTATACTTTGCTTTGCGAACATGTCTGGGAGCATTCATAAACTACAAGACTGGCAAAAGCAAACAGGTTAAGAAATGCAAGGTCATCTACAGTCGACTTAATTCCGCTGAAATGACACATGCACTAAAAAATGACAAGTACTAGGAAGCTGCACTTTCGACGGTACTTCATCGGCCCCCATGGCTCTTAGTGTCAGCTCCACTCTGACTTGTGATGAAGCAAAGTATATACCGTTTCCTGTTATTTTAAACTTCGCCGAGCTATTTTAGGCTTCTTTGTTTTTGGTACTACACTAGTGCACTTTGAGGTACTTTTAGTACGTAGAAGCTTGTGTCAGTGCTCCCTCGAGGGCTAACTTAATTTTTAGAAAGATGGGAAACCAAATTAAAACATGCACGTAAGATAAACAAAACAAAATGGCAACATATTTCGACAGCCGTCACGCGTAGCTTGCTAACTTTGCGCATCACCGAGCGCGCAGCTCGTCGCGAAGTAATACATTTCATCTCGTAACTGCAGTGGCCTCGTTACACAAAATATCACCGTTTCGTAATCGTGCACTGACTCGTGCCCCAAAACTTTCTTAGGGCCAAACCACGCAAACCGGCCCTACCGCCCCCGGTCCCCGGACCACGCAGACTACAAATGGACGAGGAACCCGCCACGCCGCCACCCTCCACCTCGTCCTCGGTGGTCTTGCAGTCCACGTCGTCGCTGACCATCACGGCCCTCCCCCCGGCAACCCCGCCTCCCTCTTCGACGCCGACCCCCACCGCGCCCGCCGTCTCCGTTGCCGTTGCGTCGCCACCCGTGACGCAGCCCGTCCCCACTTCGGTGCCGACGTCGGTCATCCTCCAGTCGCCGGGAAAGCCGCCGCCCCTCCAGGACTCTCGTCCCCACCACAGCAGCCCTCCCGCGAAACCGCAGTTCCTGGCATCGCAAATGCTGGACCGCATCATCACGGCCAGCCTCGGCAACTTCCCCAGCTCGGGGATGGAGGGGACCGGACTGTCAGCACTGTCGGCACCGCCGCTGACCAATGCCCGTGCACTCGAGAGCAGCCCCTCGGAAGGAGGTCCGTCGTCTGCTTCTTCGAGGGGCAACCCCGTGCAGCCGCCGCCGCGTAGCAGCCTCTTGCAGACGGCGCCAGCGCGGCTTCCGCATCAGCAGCCATACGGTTTCCTCGAAGCCTTCAAGAGAGGCCTCGAGCAAGAAGAGCCGCCGGCAAGCTCCTACTACAAGGCGGACGTGCTGGAGGGCATGAAGGGCTTCCCATACCCAGTGGGGTATGTGCCGAGGAGCAGAAGCGCGGGCGTGTCGCCGTCGCAGGAACAGCACAGGCCGAAGCCGCACCTTAGCGTGGCACAGCAGCCGCAACCCCAGCACTGGAGACAGCGCGTGCCTTACCCGCAGGGCACGGGCTACCCGCCGCATCCTCCGAGGCCATATCCATACCCTCCGCAGAGTCATCAGGGCTCGAAGGGGGCGGCGCAGGGGCAGGGGCACGCCTCTTGAGCCGCGGCCTCGGAATAGCGTCGAGTCATCCTCATAAACGGGCGAGGCACCTCGCAGCTCGTGGAGTCGACCAGCTTGGATATCTCGTCCAAGTGTGTCCTCGTGCCGTGACTGAAAGATGCCTTCTGGATCTGGTTGGAGCTGTGTCCCCAAAAAGTGCTGTGTCGTCATTCTGGCTGAGCCTGTTGCCAGATCGAGGCTCTGTTGGAAGTTTAAAGGCCCTCAAAAAGTGACGTGTTGTTTGTGCCGTGCAAGTGGGTGTTGGCTGTGGGAGGAGCGAGGCAGTGAGACATTTGAAAGTGCCGTGTTATCGTGATCGAACAAGTGAGGTGGCTTGGGTGGGGCGGGGCCCTGGGAACTTGTATGCAAGCCAGGTGCTGTAGGCTGGCGGCTTAGTGCGGAAGGAAGAGGGACTAGTTTAAATGGCCCATGCTTCCTCCTCACCTTTTTTAAAAAAACACTGGTGGTTATTTCCTCCATTTGTAACCCTAATTATGCACGCATTTCCCAGAGTATGTTGCTTGTACAGCAAGTGTGGCTCTTGACTGGCTGACACTTGAAAATGCATGAACTCATTCTTTTTTTTTTCTTGCATTGAGTTGAATTGCAGTTTTTTTTTATATATAATAATAAAAATAAATTTGGTTGTACAGTACATCTGCTGTCTTCTGCCAGAGTAATAATTTTAGAGCTGTGGTTCATTTGTGAAGCTTGGGGAGTCTGTTGGGGTTGTGCGAATAGGGCTCTAAATCGGACAGTGCAGTGTCATCCCCGGTTTCGACACTGCAAAGAGGGTCGGTATGTCATTTGTCTCCCTAGTGCCATAATGCAGCATTACTTGATTCATACCGATATTCGCACACCTCGTTGGAATACCCATAAAAAATGTGGCCAGTGTCACTACTACAATGTCTGGAATGTAGTTTATTGTGAACAGCTCCGTGGCCGTATGGATACTACCTTAGGATGGTCTAATGAGCATCATAAGCAGTCAAGAGGACGTCCACTACCAAATTCTGCACAAAGAAATGGGTCCTGCTGTGAAAATGGTTTAGGGTTGTCATGACAAAGGCTCAGGCTAGTATTTTACGAGTCGGAAGTGGACAAATTAATGCCAAGACGAGTGACGAAAAGATGGAATAGCTTTGTATCAGGTTCGAGCCATCCGGTAGGTTAGTTTGTTAGCTTGCCTTTCGACCTCATGCCCCTTCTTTGCACAATGCATCTTTGCCTCAAGAGCGAGTTTTTAATGACACTAAAAAAGTCTGGACTTTCTGAGTTGTTTTACCAGACGGCATGCGGAGTGCAAGTTTTGTCTGATTCAATTGTGCAAAGGTTGCGGAGACGTCGGAACACCAAGCTCCGATTGGTTCCGACTGTAAAATAGTGGGTAGGCCACAATTGAGGTCTACCTAGTATCCTTCCAATCTGAGGTCAACGTTCTGACGTCACCGAAACCCCTACGCAAAAAGCGAACAAACTTGCGCTCTTTTACTAAAGTTCGAAGAAGTTCGACTTACGGACAGTGTTGCCCTGGTTCTACAGGAATATTTTGAAATCTGGGGAACAAATGGTTTAGAAAGCTGTTTGTTTTATATTTTTTAAAATGGTTACCAAAGCGAAAAATATTCGCTTTTAATGCTTTCGTTAGTTAGTAATGTGATTTTTGCGCATGTGCACAAAAGTCGAGCTTCAGTCGAGCCTTTGTCGAACATCCCATCGAAATTTCGAAAAAGTCAAACTTGGTCAAACAAGACCCTGCACAAGTTCGCGACTCCCATAGTCGTAATCTTTTGTGAATCCGTATCTCATACCAGTAGCGCTAGAATCGTAATTTTAAGAATCGTAAATTAGTATATTTGTGAAAAAAAATGAGAAAAGGTAACACTACAAGAAAGCAACTCGGCGAAGTTTCGGTTTCAGGATGCCTTTGACCTAACGGCGTAACCCGCCCGTCTCCTTGCTGGATGCTAATGAACACGGGGGTGTTTCTGATTGCTAAGACAGCGGATAATAAAAAAATTAGCAGAAATGAATAACAGAGGCCGGCAGATTGATGGAATCGATGGAATGAACCGACCAAAACCTCCAAAACAGCAAGATTAATTTTTCTGAAATTGGCACTGAAAGTTCAAGAAACAATTAGCCAACGCAATCCAATCCAACCCTGCTTTCCTTTCCGCCGCCGCTGGAGGCAACTCCCGCTCCCGCGCTTCGATTGTTTGTTATGATCGCGGTCCGTTTTGCGGACACTCGTTGACTATGTAAGAGCTATTCTTTGGCAAAACACCCATGACGTTTTCCCGTGTGCCTTCGAAGGAATTCTGAGTAACGTAGTTCTGTAGCAGTTCTATGTAAGCAATCGTCCACGTGACATCGATCAGCTGGTCGAGCGGCAAGTTCGGTGTTTGCGATTCAACCGCTCTGAAGTTATCATTCTGTGTTCGTACACCCTCTACGGCGCTTAGGACGTCTTCTTTGTCTCGTCATGTACACTTTGTTAGGCAAGATCGTCGCTTACTACTTAGAAAATTGGACTTCGCTGGGCCAGGACGCGAGCTTGGACGATGGTCAACGGCTCGGGCGTTTCACCCGGGAACCACCGTACGTACTCCCGAAACATTCTTGGTTGCCGTTTTGTTTTTTTATAATCTCTCACTTAAAGCTATTACGTGAAGCGTACACCACATGTACTTTCGAGACATAAACATTACGTCGAACAACAAACATGCCTAATTGTAGAAATCTTTGTCGGTTTTTCACGTGCGCCCTTCGAAGTTTGTAGTCGGCGCATGTTTGTACAATTTTTTTAGCGATCTGATTTCGGTCGTCCAAGTAGTCTTGCCACTGCCGCGTATAATGTTTGTGAGAAAATTAACAGAAATCAGTGAACCAACAGAAACCAAGAGCTCGAGTTGTTAGGGCCAAATGTGTGGTGACTTGTTTTCTGATCAGGGTCGATCTGCGTTTTATTATATACTCCAAGTCGTACAGGTAGGTAACCTTTCACAACAGAAAGCAAAGCACCTGAAACATTTTTCCTCCCATTCCCAATAACGAAAATTTCCCCAAAAAACAAAAAAATCCTTGCAATAAGTTGAGCGATGTTATGCTTGCTCATGCATACTTGTGTTCTGCCTGATGCACATGTCACAAAAGACCTCAGAGTGACAGCCGTGCCACACTGACCAAATGCAGAGACGCAAGTCTAACCGCGTTCATATACTATGTTCACTGACAGGATGAGACCGGCAGTATGTCTTTTTCCGAGGCCTGGCCTCCAGCTAGCGCATAATATGAAGATGTCGTGTGACACCATGACATCACATGACACTGTGACGTCATGAGGTCACGTGTTCTGTGAGATCAAGTGTTGTCATGCAGCAAAATGATGTCCTTAGGTCACATGCCCTGTTTCATGTAATATGATATGTCATGTGACAGTATGACGTTACACAACTCTGTGACATCATGATGTCATAAGGTCACGTGTCCTGTGACATCACAAGATACCACAATGTCACGTGACATCACACATGCACAGCATGTGCTTAGCTCATGTGCAACAGATTCTCTGTGTCTCCAAGTATATCAGATATGATTACCGTAATATCCCGAGATAGCTCACCTAAAATCGATAGCAAATCATATAAAAATAAGGGGTAGGCTAACTTTCACTGTGCCATAAAAAAAAAGTTAAAAAAATGCTAGTTTTAGATTTTGTGTCCCTCGAAACTTGTGATCGCAGGAAGGAACAATGAAGGAAGGAACAAGGTCACCATTGGCCTGGACCCTGCAATTACTGAAAGTAAACTATCTTCCAAAATTTCTTAAAAAAAAAAAAAAAAAAAGCAAACTATGTTGAAAAGTAGGGGTGGGCATCTCTGGAAATATTACGCTAAGACACACATTTTTTTTTACCTGTTCCGACTCCTCCGTGCAGCACGTGGGGCACCTCGATCGTCGGAGAAGTGACCCATTTGAACGCCGTCGAACAGTATGGCCTGGTCAACGGCGAGTTCTTCTTCCCCCTCGACATGTTGCCGGGCGAGGAACTCAGCGTCGGGACCAGGGTTTCGACCCAGCTGTGCTTAAATGAACCCAAGGTCAAGAGCATGGCAATCCTTCCGAGGCCGCCTCCGTCAAGTGCCGTGGCCAAGGTCACACGCGTCGGGCAGCGTTGTCTTCACCTTCTCGACTTCGCCATGCCCGTCCACTTCGACGTGAGTGCTTTGGAGTTGTGCAAGTTTTCTATTTTCATTTATAAGTGAACCCTACTCATTTACATGTCTGTGGCTCTGTTTGTAACCAACAAAGCAGGCGGCACACGTCCGTTATTTACCTACTTTAATTATACATAGGGGGGAAATGCCATAGGATATCAGCTTCCGATTGGCAAGCTATATTAGCCTCTGAACGAAATCCTATTATGATTCCATCGCTATAGTAAGAGAGAAACATTTCAATTGCAACAATGCCGCAATAATAGTGGTTGGTTAGTGCTGGAGGTCTGTCTACAGGAACTACTGTTAAATCAGAAAATCGTGTGAATTGCTTTCAAATGTGACAAAAGACTTTGTGTACGTAGACGAGAAATATTTCGATAATATCCACGGCTCTTCTTGAAGAGTTTAATAAAGAAACATTTATGGGGGCGGTGCAAGACGGTGCAAAGTGCTATCGTATTTCAATGACAATCTGCGCAGTGATTTCGGCAGCTATATTTTTATTTATTTTACACGGGCAAGCGCTCTAAACGTTGTTCAGTATCTGTAGAAATCAAAAAGGCGGGTGTTCATTTGCCGCGGTTACCCAGCACATACATTGCTGGGTAACCGTGGCAAACGGCAGTTACACCGCAGTTGGCAGGAGAAAACGTTTGCCGTAGCAGCAAACTGTGCCATTTTAGTGGCTATTTGCAGTTTGCATTCAAATTCTGGCAGGACTTGGGGTTAAATGCAGCATAACTGAAATTTCCTTTTCTTTTTGAGGATCTTGGGTACCTGAAGGAAGCACTGGCCCTTTGTTGATTTGGGATGAAACCCTTCCAAATTCTGTTTTTATATGAGTAACTTGCTTTAATTTCAAACGTGCTTTCAGATTGACTATGAGCCAGATTTCGACGTCTGTTGTGGCGACTGGCTTCAGCTTCGGCTCAATCCAAAGAAAGGCTGCATCACGGGGATGGAGCCACTGAGGTCGCGGGAATTTACAGGGCAAATCACCCGCATCACCAATGCGGGCGGTGTCGTGGATAATAAGGTATGTCATTCACACTTCTAGTCACATCCTTTGTTACGCTTTCGACAGGTGTGCCGGCCATAGTATGAATAGTGCGACAAAGTTGAGAAGCTGACAAGAAGCACGGCAAGCACTTTGTGCCCTGCGTCTTTGAAGTTGTGTACAGGACTATTCTGAGCTGCGTTCAAGTGTATAAAGGCCAGACCGGTCTTTGTTTAAACAACAAACTGCGACAGCATGTAGCACTCAACAACAGCTATGGGTCTCACTTGCCAATACAGGCTGTTCCTCCTTATTGGACAACACCCAGGTGGCAGGACGCAGCAGAGGAAAGTTGAAGGGGAGATTGTGCTGAATCAGTGTCACGTCTTTACATTTGATGAGCAGGGAACTGCAATTCATTAACAGTACTTAATCATATTTTTATTTTTATACACGTTTCGTCACCCACCTGATTGCGTCTTTACGTGTTACGCAACTGGTTTACACAAGCCAGCGTTCGAATTTATCTAGTGCTGATTTGACTCCATGTATGACCCCACAAGATACGTGATTAGATGAGCACATGCATATGTGAGACACTGTGCAAGTGTGGAATTTCCATTAAACATTCAGATGTTAGTCAGCGTCCGTCCTGTGTGCTTCTTCTACTTTTGTCCCGTCCCTTTGTGCTGTTTTTAATAATAGCATTTATTTTTTCCCAAGTTTGTTTCGAAGAAGTTTCAGATAAAAAAGTGAAAGCCGTTTACAACTTCCTGTAACGACGAATTGGAGCGCAGCTCTTGAGGAGGAGGAGTGGAGGGTATATTCCTCCTTCTCCCTCGTTATCATGCCTGCTAGTCCTCCTCCCCTCCTGCTCCCCCTCCCTCTCCTTTACCACCTCCTCGTCCTTCAAGCTCCTCCCCTCCCCTCGCCTCCGCCTCCTCGTCTCTCCTCCCCCCTCCTCCACCTTCGTACTGCTTTCCTCCTCGCCGCTGAAGTCATGTGACCCCCTCCCCCCGAGGTCACGTGACCCCCCCCGAACCAGACAATGAGGGGAGGAGGAGGAGGGGGAGGAGGAGGAGGGCAGAGGTTGTCACGTGACCTCGAGGGGACGGGATCACATGACCTTGGGCGGGCCGTCACGTGACTTCGGCGGGGGGAGGGGAGTCACCCCCCCGGGGTCACGTGACCTGGGCGGGGGAGGAGGGGGAGGGGCAACGCCGACGCCGACGCCGCACAGGCTGGAAACGGGTGATGTGACCCCCTCCCCCCGAGGTCACGTGACCCGCCCGGACCATACTACACAATGAGGGGAGGAGGAGAAGGAGGGGGAAGAGGAGGAGGAAGGGAGGAGGAGGAGGAGGAGAGGGAGGGGCGCGGTTACGCCGACAACGACGGCGACGCCGACGGCGACGCCGACGCCGCTCAGGCTGGAAACGGGCCCCTAAGAGCTGCGCTCTAAAAGTGCAATATTATCCGTCTGTCGCAAAGAGCTTATGTATCAGAGCCAATTATTACACCATGGTGCCCAAGTATGATAATGCTGACAAAAACATAACTTGCATTTAGTCATGCACTTACTTCTCGATAAAACATTAGACGTTTAAGTTACTTCACGCGTTCACAAACACTCAGAAACGTTTAGTCCCCATTCACCGCGAAAATGGTGAATGATGAGAGCAAGTCTTGTCAGCCAAAATCTTGTAGTGTGTTCAATTGGCCTATTGACCAACTATTGGGCCTTTTTGCGACGTGTCTAACTTTTCCACCTGTTGCGTCAAACGCAGCAGAAACTCGGTTGACTATTAAGGGGGGACATGGGCCTGAGCTTCAAAATTTTTGGAAAAAATTAATTTTTCAATTTTGAGGTTTTCAGTTTTAGAAACTATTTACACACCCTTACACTAAATTTCATAACCATATGACAAATAGTTACGTTGATATAAATTATTTTCAACACATTGTGAGGCAGTAACAAAGTAAAGGAGTTCATTGTTTGAATGCATTTTTCTCAGTTCCACTTTTGCTGCAAATTTCATACGAAGGAATCTTTTGTTTGAAGGTAAAATTATTTTGATACCACAATCAAGATGTTTCTGAACAGAAATTTACTGGGGAATCAGGCTATCCACTTTATTTTGTTTTACATTAAAGTTCTCATAGAGAAAGACTGTTTTCAAAAATTGACATAGGACAGATATGCATATCATATTTTGAGGTATCACTCTTCCTGAAATATTTACATTTAAATTATAAAAACTAGATAGCCCGAAGTCCCACATCCCCCACTTTATACTCAAGCACTTAAAATGGTGCCTAATAGCTTCCTTTGCATACCATAGATTTCTTAACGAAGAGTGACACATCTTCTTATGCAGGTATGTAAAGTTGCCCTAGAGAGCTGAAAGTTTGCACAGTACACCTACAGCTGAAGTTAAATCTCCCCTGCTAATTTCATTCCGATCACTTGAGTAGTTCAAAAGTTCAACCTCTAGCCAGTGTCCCCCCTTGAATAGTATAAAATAAAGTAATTGCATCGCATGTGTGTTCAAACATCGGGAAGTTAGCCAGCCCCAGTGGGCACCTGGAATCTCTGCTGCAGACACAGTAGCGATCATTACATGACTGCGTGCTGTACGACGCCCGTCCAGATCGAAACGGGCAGCAGCGGGGACGGAACTCACGATGCCCGGGTTCTGCGACACAAGCTTTTGCTTCACATGCTCCGTGCTGCGGTGCATTGACGCGCTTGGCCACCGATTCCCCTTATATAGAACAAAAATCCCGGTGGTTCGCACAAACCAGCACTGCGAAGTTCATGGTGATACCCGCGTTTTCCATGTTGCAGGTGGCGTTCTCGGCGCACCAGTGGCCGACGGGGGCGCGCGGGCCGTGGTTGGGGCAGGGGGTGGTCTTGCGGGCCGTGGAGAGCGACCAGGGTAACCTCAGCTGGAGGGCAGTCTCCCTCGAGCCGTGGGAGGACAAAAAGAAGAAAGAGATACCGGTGGAATACGTGCTCAACGGTCTGCAGGCAACGTGAGGCGACGCTTTTATTTGCCATTGGCTGTAGTCTGATTGTGGCTACCGTAGCAGCTTTCCTTTCGCACTAACCTAAATCTTTGCATATTTCACGAATTCCTAAAAGGTGCGTAGTATGTTTTCGGTGACCAGTTAAGAATGAGGTGGAAACTTCTCCCACCTTTTTCCACTTTAGCAGAGCAAATGCCGGAGAGGAGGCAACCTCCTCTCTAGCGTGCTCTCTGCTATAGTGGAAAGAGGTGGGAGGAGCTTTCCCTGAACTCTTAACTTGTCACCGACTATAGGTTGCTCGCACGCCCATGCGCAACAATACTCATGGACGTGCAAGAACCACCATTGTTGTCACGCATCTAACGCATGTTTAAACACTGGCGGACACATCCAGAGTCGCTGCTGAAATATATGCCGACGCTATAAATATTCGTCTTGTCAATCTCGCAGTATTTGTCTATGTTCCAACAACTCGGAAGGCGTTACCAAAAGATGCGGACCCTGTTGCAGGTTAAAACAAGCGAGACAAACTCCTCCCACAAAGCCCTCTGCTCTATCCACTTTAGTGAACAAACTTTGGAATGGAAACAAGAGACGAGGCGACTCCACTCGCCTTGTCTGCAGCTTTCGTTCGCTAAAGTGGAAAGGAGCAGAGGGCTTAGCGTGGCACTTGTCTTGCTTTTCTTAACCTGCAACAGGGTATAATGCTTGACTCATTGCAATTTGGGCCCAGCATTGATGGAGTTTAGCGATGCTGTTTTGTCTCTTTGCTCTCGCATTGGGCAGGTCTGCGAAAGCCAGTTGTACCTGGCAGTGTTAATCCCACGCAACAGTATGGCCTCGGAAATGTGAAGCATGGCTTATTATTTGGTTAATTTGGCTAACCGCAGCTGCTTGACTCTGGGTTCAGTTTTCTCTCCTACCGTAGTTACTTTTACTGGAATTTTACGGCAAATTGAGGGCACACGAGACGTGTCGCAACATCAAAGGATCGCATCTGTATTTCTGAAATCTGCTTTTAATGCAGAATGTGTTGTATGGCTGGGTTTCATTAGACAAACCGCATGTCATGCTCGACCACACACGGGTCAACGTCAGAAAAGTGATATCGTGGAATAGGGGCTGTATTGCTTCATGACCTTGACGTTCAGACATCACGTGATGCCGTGACATCATGCAACACGCAAACTTATGTCAAATCACATGAAATCACTGTCGTACGATGTCACAATGTCACATGTTTTTTAATATGAAAGCATTAACTGGGGGGGTCCTATGGAGCGAGCCGACGTTATCAGTTTGAAGCGCGCCAAACGTCACCTTAAATCCTTTTTCTAAGTGAAGCCAGCTCCCAGCTATGAAATCATGCGAAAAGCCTAGAGAGTGGCACCTGGTTTCCCCAATCCCGAAGGAGCAGAGTACAGCTGATGGATTTCATTGCCGACGAGGCTCCCATCGGCCGCTGCGTGCGTCAGTTTCAACGACCGCCGCCCCATGACGCTGCGTGTCCATGCCACGAGCGCACCTATAAAACAAAGCGTCCAAGGTCGAAGCTGCGAGGAGAGCTGGGAGTGCGCTCGCACGGTTGATGCAAATACGCCACAAACGAAACAAGGAGCAGAAAAACGGCACGCATGCTTTCACATTCACAACTCATAAGAAGTGCTTAGGTGTACTGTACCTTGAGCCTTTTTCCACGTCACGGTGTCACATGATTTTGTGATGTCACGTCACTATGACATCATGTGACATCACAGAGCCACATGACATCAGATACACACATGGCACGTGTCCAGCTCACTCGCAACACAATAATGTGCATCTCCGAGTTTTCGCAGCAACAGCTGTACTGGGCGAGTGTCGTGCTGCCGAAAACAAAAGCACACTTGTGTCGCAGGTGGCTTTGGTGCTGGGAGGGGGCGAGTATAACAGCAACATCCTCTTCCCTTAACCGATAATAGTCGCCTGTCGAGGCGCAGCGCGTTTGGCCAATCACAATTTCACCGGGTGTCGTGTAATGACGCTGCTCGCCACCTACTCTTTCTCGCCTTCCGCACCCGTTTGCTCGGCACTTGAAGCCTTCGCGCACGAGAAAGGGGGCAGCCGCTCGACGGTGTACACGCGCCCTCGAGGGAGAATGTTGTCAATGTGTAGGTGCCGACGGTCTCACCCTGAACTCTAAGATGGAACGCATTGACGTCAAGATTATTCTGTGCTTGAAAGTGATGCGACAGGCAGAAGGGCACGTTACTGAGCGAAGATTGGACATGCCGATGTGATAGAACAATTTGTGCAGCGCGTCTGTGGGAACGCGTTTGGTGCCAGCTGTCCAGCGTGCGATCAGTTCTGGTTTACGCGAGACACCGCACGATGCAGTATCGCCAAAATTTCTGGTCAATCACGGCGCAATATAATCAAAATGTCGCACTAGCCGACGCCTTTCATTAGCATCACGTTGCGTGATCGTCCGCACAATCTTTTTTATAACTCTATGTCTCGCACGTTTGTCTCAGTGGTGAGGTTCCCGTGGGTCTCGAGGTGACGGAGGAGCTCGATTTTGGAGTGGTGGAGCCCGGACAGAGCCGTGTTCTCAACCTCTGCATCAGGTGAGGGAGAGATCTCCTCGTCAGTGGCGTCACAGGGGATGGGGGGACAAACCGCCCCAGGTGCAGCAGGAAAGCGGGGAGGGGGGTGTCGCGGTGGGCTGCCGCCACTAGTGCCGCTGACCCTAGTGATGCCACTGCTCCTTGTTTCATAGTTTTACAGATAGACTGTCCTGCCCTGCCCCTGTACAGTTGGCGACAATTTGAGCTGGCCCGGACTTGTGCAAACCAAACATTGACGAAATGCCCCATAGGCTGCCTCTGGCATGCTAAGCTGTGAAGTCGACTGCCATATTGCGATAATAGGAAATATGGCAGTCCGTTCCAACCTTTTAACACAGAATGAACCTTTTAACACAATATTTTTAAGCGCTGGAATCCTCGAGGTGAACGTGACGGAATGCCATGGAAACCATTAGGAAATGTGTGACTCATACTTCAGAGGACAGTCGGTCCAAAAGAGCAGTAAATTGAGAGGAAAGAACGAAATTCTAAATGCACCGCGACGGGGATCGAACCTACGAGCCCATGATCAAGAGCTCAACATTATGCCACTATGCCAGCCAATTAGTGAGAACACGCAAAGCCATCCGATTTCGTCTATTACTAACTGTTGGAAAGCTGGACTCTGGCGTTCGGCATCTACGTTCGACATTTGCGTGCGAACAGTTTATGGAAAGAAACGAGAAATCTGAGACGTGCCCACTGTCTCAAAGAAAAGGACGGAGTCTGGAATAAAAAAAAAAGGTACTGTAACCAGACAAGAATAAACTGGAACTTCCACTACATATCCCAATTAACGCCGCGGAAATACATTCTGCGCTTACCAACTTTATCCGTAAGATCAAGATAAATCGAGTCTGCTTCATGATTCGTTCTTCAGCATTCTTACCGGCTGATTCCTTGATCTCATAGGCTGAAAAGCAATAAGGGGATGCTTGTGAATCGTGTCCGGCAACTGTAGTAGTAAAGTTAAACCGGGAAAGGTAGAGTTGCGAATTAGTGTACTTTTTGGCTCCAATTTTAGCATTTTACCGGCTTAATGCCTAGGGCTCCCCACACGGCTTTTGTGCCTTCCCAGCCTGAATTCTGCTTGGTTTGCTGTGCTTTTTGGGTCTTTAAGGCATGATTTTGGGATCTTCTGAACTCGCCGTCTCAGAATGTAGTTGGACGTAAGAGTCACATCCACTTGGCATCACAGTGAGGTCTGGTTCTCGGTCGAGGACTGTGCCGAATCAGTGCTATTTTTCAATTTCACAAGATGTGCGAAAATTTATTGCAGATTTTGTACCCTTGTTGATGTCTTTTTTTTTTTTTCACTCTTTTTTTCCAGTAATGCAACTGGCAGACCTCACCTTCTTTTGGCGTGCAAGCTTCCCAAAGGACAAGTGTCTCTGGCACATGCCTTCCGCCCCACGCTAATTGCTTCCGGTGACAAGCATCTCTTGCAGTTTCTGTGCACCGCTAGGTGAGCCCCTAAAGCTTGCTCCTCTGTGTGAGAGCATGTCTTAAGTGAATTTCTTTCTTCGTCTGGTTTATACCACAGTAAGCGCTGAATGACCCCGACCAAATTTGAATAAACTGCAAAATAAGTTTCACTCAATCCAACGTTTTAATTTACCTACGTTTGTACGACCGATCGTGATTTGATGTTGTGACAGTGTCAATAAAATGGCCTCATTCGAAAGTGCTGCCAAAACGTGCTGTAAAATACTGGGCAAGCGCTCATTCAAAATTGAGAGATACCCTAATTCCGGAAAAATGTAGGAGGGGCACTTGTCCGGTCATCAGTTTTAAATATAAATGCACTGTGGATATTTTCTCACATCTTACAAATTTGGGAATGAGCGTTTAGTGTGGAATGGACGGATGCGCGGTGTTCTACGGTATGGGTGCCTGTCTATTTTGAGACATTGATATGATCTCAGACTTTGTGGGGATCTATATATCTTTTGGTCACCCTGCATAAGCAGAGCACATGCATTTGTTATAGGAATGGGAACCTTTTAACTTACGTTTTGAGCCCTCTCAACTGATTCTAGCTTAAAAGTTTATTCTTGTATCTGTGGAGATACTAGCCTTTTCTTAGCTCTTTGACTATCGAGTTTTCTTCCCAAAAAGTGTTTCCCAGTAATATTTTTTTTTTTCAAAAGGAATACAGTCGAACCCGTTTTTAACAGACTCTTTCGGGTGCACATATTAGTTCGATATATCAAGTAGTTTGTTATAGTGGAACTCACATACAGCAAGGTTGAATGCCGGAAGTTCGAAATATGTGCATTGACATTAAATGTGTAGTATAAACACTTGTGTGCCGGTACTTCAGTGGATCACAAAAGAAACGTTTAATTACGGTAAACAAACATAACTGAGAATGCGCTAGGTGGGCTGATAGACAAAACAGGAGGCAATCCTAGTTCAACTGTTTCTTCTGCTGGCACGCTTCCTGGATTAGAGAATCTAGACTTGCGCGAAGTTTTGTAGCGTGAGCTACACTGGCCGAGGTTGAGCAGTTTCGCGTGGCTCGCATAATGAGCCGTGCTCCGATCTGCGCAAGTGCGAGGAGCAGTGACGTCACACGGCGCACAGCTGGCGTGCCGGAGCCTCTGCTGCCACAGCGCGCGTCTCGCTGGTCTTCACATTCCAGAGGAGTGACGTCATAGCCGCGGCAGACGCACTGGCGCCGCCGCATGCCCAGCTGTGCACCTCCGTTGCGCAGCTGCACGCCTCCGTTGCGCAGCTGCATGAGGTGCACCGATTATGAGCGAGCCAAAGCGCCTGTGTCTTCGATTTAGGGCTGGCAATATGACAGGCATGTTATTGAAGGAGATTTTTCTCCCTTGATGCCACAATCTAAACGAAACCAGTGGAACCGTCGAGAAGCGCACCATGTCTTTTGTGCGACTGGTAACAACAAAGCCCTCTCGTCGCACATCCGTGTGCTTGCGTGCCTAGCAAAATCCAACAAGAACAAGATTCATGCTGAAGCTGGTCGAGACTGCTCTTTGTAGAGATGTCGGGTCAGCCGTCTGCACGTCGTAATCTTGAGTAGGGGCCTCGGGCGCCAGAGAAGAATCATTCTATTGGCTCGAAAATCATTGCGCATCAATGCAATGAGCTGTGCTAAAGCCTTTTTTTTTTAGTAGGACAGGTGTTTGTGCGTTTTTGGTGGCTGCTTTCTGTTTAAAGTTTGATGTAGCGGATAGGTTGTTTGTTATAGACATACATTTTACATGCATTTTCGCTCGAAATATTTGGGCGTTCGATATAGACAGTACAATCGACTCTCATTAATTCACTCTCTTAATACAAACTTGCGGATAATTCAAACTACCATGCAGGTCCCATTCTATGCGTCTCTATGGGAGGAAACTCCCACAAATTCAAACTTCGCTTCCTTCAAAAAAAATTTCGGTCCCCCTCGAGTTTGAATTACCATGAGATTCAATTGTATTCGCTATACCCGGGTTCGTTATAAACGGGTGCGACTGTAGTATAAAGAAAGGGTCAATGCACAGGTTTTTCCCGACTTATTTAGCGGGAAGGCATAGAGTGCTTGTATGCTGTCTAGGTTGAGAAGCATCAAATAAAAAGGTGAAGGCGAAAAGTTGTCACCTTCGTCCCATTAGTTTATTTTTCTCTAATTTTTTGGCGCATTTGTTTTTGCGACATTCTAGCGGCTTCTGATTCCTACATGCACGCACTTTACAGAGCTTCTTCGTCGGACGATGAGCTCTCATCCTCTGAATTTAATTCCTAATAGTGTCAGAAGTCGGAACCGGAAGAGCCAGTGCTCCGATTGGCACTACCGCCAGAGCGGCCGGTACACGAAGTGAGCACCATGTGCGCGGAGCATCTAATTTGAAAACTATGAATAGGCCAGCAAAGCAAAACACTGTGCGAATTTAACATTTGAGTTTTCACCAAAGATACAACAAATAGCAACACCGCCCACGGTGGGCTCACTTTCGCCTTTGGGCGGGCACTTCCAAACTTGTAGTTACTGCCGTGCATGTATGACGACAACTGTCAGAAAGTTAATAAACCTCTTTTTCTTTTTGTCGAGCGAGAAATTAAATTAGGGGGCCGTCATTTAAATATGCCCGACTGCCCGGAAGTCGAGTTGCCCCCATTCACCGGTACACCTAGTTTCACCTAATGACAGACCTCGGTGAACGCCACGGGCCGTCCCAGCCAATCCGGCATCGCAAACGTGCCACGCGACATCACCGCAACCCCTCTCGAAGGTCACGCTATGCCCACGCCGCATCAGAATTGCTTCGACAGCTCGCAGCATCCTTTGCAGTCCGTCCCGAGGTGAAACGGGGCACGGCTCGCGGAATCTTGCGCGCATCTTTCTCCGATGTTCATTTGCTCCGTTTCCTTTCCAAACCGAACGTCTCGTGCAGTCACTTGGGGAGCAGCCGCCAGCTGCTGCTGCTGGAGTTCGAAGAGGGCTTCAGCGTGGTTCGGCAGGTGAGCGTCACGGTGGCGGACCCGCTTCAGCGGACGCTCGTGACTTCCGACGCTCGCGTGAAGAAGGTCACGCGTCGCAACGACCGAGGAGACGAACGACGTTGGACGACCGTTCCGGGCGAACGTCCCCGCACGTGAGTCCGGAAAGCAGGCTGGTTTCGTTTTTTGCCGACGTCTGAAATCACTTTGTGTTCCAGCTGTCTACCGCGTGAATTGAATGAATTGTTGCAAACTTTTAAAGGGACCTTGTAAACTAATTCCTCAACAGGTCGCGCTAAAACTTGGTGCAAAGATGGCCGAAAGTGATGCATTTTGTACGTTGAAAAGTGCGAGGAGCGCCCTTGCTCCGTAACGGTTTGAGAGGTGCCCTACCCCCGAAAGATGACCCGTTCTTGTTTTCGACTTGATTCACAATTTTCGTTTTAAACAGTGAAGGATAGCTCATTGCTATTTCTTGCTTGATTTGCTTTTTTTTTTTTAAACACCAAAACATAGCTTTTTTTTGGCGGGGGGGCTTGATTTTTTGTTTCTCTTTAAATTCTGAAAGGTAACCCGCCCCCTATTTTTGCCTTGATTTGCTATTTTTTCTAAACACCAAAAGACAGCCAACTCCTAGTAGTCGTAGTGCTCAGATCAACGATGGCCTAGCCGTAAATGCAGTTAGTTACTGTGGAATGTAAGCGAACGTCGCCAACTAGGAAGTGCGCTCGTCGTTGCATCTTTGCCCCTCTCCGCGATAACAAGTTTTGTAGAGGCACATAATCTAAGAATAGTATTTTTTGAGCTTGTCTCGATTGCATGCCAAAAGTTAGCCCAACTCTTATCTTCATCCGATTTGCCCTCGATCTTAAGTGGGCTATTTTCTCGGGGTAACGCGGTAGTTACCAATGCTGGGGCGTCTCTTTCCAATGCCTGACCTCTGGCACTCAATTATATCATTCTGCTGTGTTTTGGTCGCGCGCACACGCTGAAAGTCGACGGGACGCCAAAGCACGATCGAAAGCGGGTAGCTCGCGCTGAAGGCGAGAAACTGAACAACTTCAACATCATTCTCACCTTGTCAGTGGCCGTAAAGTGCCTCATAATAAAAATGGGTTGGGGCACTCCGACACAAGACTTTGTTTTTAATACCGACCGCTCTAAAGGAGACTCGCTGTAGGAGGCTCCGCTAATCAGAAAATCCATTTCAACGGACTTCAGAAGTATGTCTACTTCCTGTGCCAAACCCATGCTTCATGGTACTTTCTTTTTCTTTTTTTTGTCTTTCTGCTTTTTGTTTTAGACGTACTGCCAAGCTCCCTTTGGCTCTTCCCCATTTCCCAGTCAGCACACACCTGTGGGACCTGTCCCAGCGGGAACTGGAAGCTTCGCTGGGAAGCTGCCTGCGCAGGGTGAGGGCCCGGTCCTTGTCGCCCGACGAATTGACGTACGCCGTCAACGACCGACGCTCACATTTTCCTTTCCCCTTTTTGCTAGCTTTCTGTTTTTTTAGTAAATTCTGGAATGCTCCCGAACAAAGCCCTCAATCCCAGAAATGTGTCTATCCGTTAGTCCGTCCGTACGTTTGTGCATTTCCACGCTAAATTTAGCGAGGAAATTGATGTCACGCAATGTCCTTGTATAATCTGACACCGTGGCATCAAATCGAGCGAACAGACAGAGAGGTGTCAGGTCTAAAATTAGCACACTAAATTTGGTGATTTCCCCGCTAAATTTAGCGGGGAAATCGATGTCGCGTAACCTGACGTCACAGTGTCACGCGACATCATGGTGTCATATTGTGACAATAATTTCTCGTGTGACAGTGATTTTCCCGATAAACTTGCCTGGAAAATTAAGGGAGGACACTACTCAGAAAGGCAAAATTTTTAACCTATAGTCTTATTTGTATAAAATTTGCAGGGCACATTCGTTGCTGGAAAGAAGGATGATGTGCAAAATTTTAAGTTTATAAATTTATTCATCAATGAGTTACACTAAAGTAGGTGCATCAAATAAACACAGCATTCCCTAGGAAAACTATCGCTTAAAAAAAGTACTGATAATGGCCAGCTCTTTTGGTGAAACATACACTATAACACCTGTGTCATGTGGCTGTAGAAAACACTTGCGAAAATTATACCATTCTTTAAAAAAATGTGCAAAAAATGTTTCTACTTTTTGCATTTATTAAGTGGAAACACCTGTAGCTTTTCATGATGAAAGTCTGTGAAAATGGAGAAAGTAGGCTCGCAGTCATGTTACTTACAAAAATTTCAGTATAGAATCTTCCAGAACTGGCTCGATACATGAGCTCATTATCAAATGATAGTTTTCCTAAACCGAGATTTGATGCCGAAAGGAAAAACTGTTATAGACATGTTTGAAAGTTCAGAAAGCTGCAGTCTAGATGGTGATGAAGTGATTCATTGGCACGAGACACGTGCACACATGGTACCGTGCCAGGCAAGGCAGATCGATGGGTAAAAAACTTTATGCCAGGGCGCATACTAGCCTGCTGCCACGTATACTGCGAGTTCGAAGAAATCAATCCTCGAATAAAACTGATGTGATGGGGGAAGGGAAGGGTGAAAGGGACAGATGGGTGAAAGTTGGGATTGTGTCAAACGTCCGACGACACTTAAGTCGCAAAATAGCTAAAAACAAGACGTCGTCGTAGTACAGCCAATTCCAAGAACTCGCCCCGGGAGGTGCTCCTTCACACGTTCTGCTGGTGAACTTTTTTGGGGCTTTAGTGGTTCGGCGTATGTCCTGGCTGCTGCCGGAATGACTCGGAGGAGTTGGTGGGCTGGGTGGACTGATGGAGTCCGTGACGCTTACGTCGGCGTATTTGTCGGGCGGCGATGAAGCACTCTTTGTGAGACACTACCTTTAAGGAACAAAACACAAAGTGGTGCTCGCACGTTGAAAATAACTTATTCCGGAAAAAAATGCTTTAATTTTGGGAAAGAAACTTTTCGACAGCAACCATCAGGATATTTGAAAGATGATGACTAAGTTGTTAAAAGTGTGACTTTTAAAAAGAATTTGCAATTTTTAGGCGGAGAACAATATGTTCTTTGCCTCCCAAAACAGCCATTTCATGTCTTCAAAACAGATTCCACATTTCAGGCATTACAGGACCTTGGAGATAAAGATGGCTAGTAATTTCTTTTTGCTGCTTTAAGAGTATTGAAGGGGATTAGGCTATACAGTGATCTCTCAATAAATCAAACTCGGCTATCTCAAAGTATCGGTTGAGTTCGAAAGATTTCCTTGTTGTGGAATGAACTGCTATAGGCACAATGCATTCACTCATCACTTACCTCGAAAAGTTTTCAGGACTGGATATCTCTAAATCTTAACTACAAGTATATATTTAAAAAGAAGCACAGGTGGGGACACAGCAAACAATGAACTGGTGGCCTAAACATTGGTTGACAAAGGAACCGCAATTCCAAAAAACAAACCCACAAAAAAGAAAAAAAAAAATTGCATCATTGTGCACACACGACAACTTGTAAAAATTATCAAAAAAGCCTCGTGTTATGAGCTGTCATGAGCACAGCAACCCTCCGTGCGCCTCAAGGACGTTTTTTGTCTTACATTTTTCCTCCCCTAATACGGCTGCTGTTTTTCTTCCTCGCACTCAACTGAGCGTTAACTTCCACTCTTAAAGGAGCTGTGCAACGATTTTAACGATGAAAGAATCGGCATCTTCTACTTTTGACATTGTTCACCTTGTCACAAAGGACAGGAAACACACCTCCTTCTTTCAAAATGTTGCGATTCCACCACGTAATCGCGAGGCAAAAATTAATTAGAATATTCCCCGACTTGCTGCCTCGAGCGGCGGCCATGAGAAACACGCGGAATGACGTCAATGGGGGTCTTGTAGAAAGATAGCAAGTTGTGCGAATACCTGCTCAATAAAAGGTAACCTTTCTATAAATCTTGTCGTCCCAACATAAATATGAATGCTTTAAAAGCCTGGTATCATTGACAAAACTTTTATTATACAAAGTTTTAGTGGCGTCATCTGTCCTAGGTTAACAAAACCGTCAGCTCTATCTGCTACCACGAACAGCCGCCAGAAGCCGAAGGGGGAGGGGGACAGGGCCGGACGGGTATGGCCGGACCCGTATGAGACTTTCCTCCTTTCACCATTTTGTTCGTGCTGCGCCCGCCAGCACGTGGTCATGAGCGGATGAGTTCTCGCTGCTCACTGATGGCTCTACAGAGAGAGCTTCACCGGAACCCCGCGCAAACCCCATTGGTGTCACAGCGCACGTGACTCGGAAGATGGTGAAGGAGTTGAGAGGTGCCGAAAACCTGAATCTTTGTCTATTTTTTAAAATGAAAACTAGAACATGCAGACAAAAGCGTTTTTTTGTTCTTTACTTCAGAAAGGTCGAGACACCAACTCCCAAATTAATTAAGCAAAGCACTGAAACTGTTGCAGAGCTCCTTTAATCTTTTTTTTCTCCGTTCTTGCGTTTTGGTTTTGTCAAATCTTAAGTGTTGCTTGGTCTTTTGTTGCAGTCATTTTGTTATTGGTGTAATTGTTTGGGGTTCCGTTTGCGCAATGCGTGATCTGTGTATTGTCTCCAGGCTCGCTTATCTAAAAAACTCCGCTTATATCAAATTTTTTTTTTTTTTTCTAGTTCCTGCGATTTCAAGGTAAAGAGGGTTTACTGTACTTCGTTCAGATCTAAGCTGACAGTGCAGTGGAAGCTATGTGCCCACTCGACCTGTCACATGTCAATCTTTTGCCACATGACCATGCTCCTGCCCATGCCCATGTGCAGAGTGTGGGGTCAGGTGATAAAAGGCAAGCAGTTGATTGGTGCAGCAAGCGTTTAGCTCCCTTTGGCCTGTCGTCTTTGGGTGAACAGAGTACAGTCAAACCCGTTTATAACGAACAGCAGGAAATGCCACGATCAGTTCGATGTACCAAGTAGTTTGATATAGCAAAAACCTTTTACGACGAACTTCCACGATGCGTTCGTTGCAAGGCGAGAGCTTCTCTTTCTTTCTCATCTCTTCGTTTCTACCTTGTAAAAATGCGGTGCGAAGATTTTTTAGAGCGCAGCTCTTAGGGGCCCGTTTCCGGCTTGAGCGGCGTCGCCGTCGGCGTCGCCGTCGCCGTCGCCGTCGCCGTCGGCGTCGGCGTAACCGCGCGGTGCATCATGGGAAATGTCCCATAATGCACCGCGCGAGCCCCCCACCAAGGTCACGTGACCTCGTGGGGGGTCACGTGACCCCCCGAAGTCACGTGGCCCCCTCCTCGAGGTCACGTGACCCCCGCCGATGTCGCGTGACCCCCCGATGACGTCATCGTCACTGATGACGTCACCGGCATCCACATCGTCATCGTCATCATCACTGATGACGTCACCGGCATCCACATCGTCATCGTCATCATCACTGATGACGTCACCGGCATCCACATCGTCATCGTCATCACTGATGACGTCACCGGCATCCGCATCGTCATCGTCATCATCACTGATGACGTCACCGGCATCCACATCGTCATCGTCATCATCACTGATGACGTCACCGGCATCCACATCGTCATCGTCATCATCACTGATGACGTCACCGGCATCCGCATCGTCATCGTCATCATCACTGATGACGTCACCGGCATCCACATCGTCATCGTCATCATCACTGATGACGTCACCGGCATCCACATCGTCATCGTCATCATCACTGATGACGTCACCGGCATCCACATCGTCGTCGTCATCATCACTGATGACGTCACCGACATCCGCATTGTCATCGTCATCATCACTGATGACGTCATCAGTGACGTCACTGATGTCGTCACCGGCATCCGCATCGTCATCGTAATCATCACTGATGACGTCATCAGCGACGTCACTGATGACGTCACCGACATTCGCATCGTCATCGTCATCATCACTGGTGAAGTCATCAGTGACGTCACTAATGACGTCATCGGTACGCGCATCGTCATCGTCACTGATGACGTCATCAGTGACGTCAGTGATGACATCATCGGCATTGGGGGTCACGTGACCCCCAAGGTAACGTGACCCCCCCCCTGGTTAGTTTAACCCCCCCCCCCCCCAGTGCCCTTCCCTCCTCCTCCTCAAGAGCTGCGCTCTAATTCGGCGTTACAGGGAGTTGTAAGCGGCTTTCATTTTTTTTTGTTGTTGCATGAGTGCAGAGTTTGTTCTTTTAGCTTATCTCCCCTTCTGAATCGCTTCTCTTTGTGGGCAAATGCTTTGGGATGAAAAGTTCTTTTATTTTCTGTGTGTGCGTGCAGAGTGTATTTTTCAGCCTTCTTCCCTTCTGAATCGCTTCTCTTCGCTCAATTTTGTTTGCACTTTGAGCTTTTGGAATTTTCTTTCTTTCCTACTTCTTTTTGGGGGGAAGGGACAGTCTAGAAGAAGATTGTTCGCATGTTTTTGGAAGCCTTCTTGGGGGGTGGGGGGGGAGGGGAATTGTTTGATATTACCAATACATATGTTGTTCGTTATAAAAAGTATGTTTCACATGCATTTTTATTGAAATTTTCTATGAGTTTGATACCGACAATAATTCGCTGCACGTGGGTTCGTTCTATACGGGTTTCACTGTATATAAGAGGATCTTCTACCTTGCTGAAGATCAGTGCTTCATGAGGCTTCATCTCGGCCTTTGAGAATGTTTGCATCCGCTCCTGCTCTCAGTTATATACATAGCATTACATTGTACAAGTTTTTACAGCGAAGCTGTTATGCGCTAGGATCTGAGAGAAAATGTGTCCTCGGTTGTATACAGAAAACTCCCCATTGGTCGTGGCAAGTATGAATAAATAAAAATAAAAAGAGGGGGCAATCAGCGTGAGTCAGCCTTTCTTGGCATTATTAGATTGTGAAGTCCTGATCCCTTTTTATCATCTCTAGGCATCGTCCTCGAGGTCGTCCTAGAAGTCGTCCGAAAGGTCATCATAGGCGTTGTCCTTTAGCCGTAGTCCTGGAGGTCGTCCTAGAAGTCGTCCTTGAGGTCGTCTTAGACGTTGTCCTCAAGGTCGTCCTCAAGGTTGTCCTAGGTGTCGTCCTCGAGGTCGTCCTAGGCGTCGTCCTCGAGGTCGTCCTAGAAGTCATTCTTGAGGTTGTCCAAGACATCGTCCTCGAGGTCATCCTAGAAGTTGTCCTTGAGGTCGTCCTAGACGTCGTTTTCTAGGCGTCATCCTCGAGGTCGTCCTAGACGTCATCCTCTAAGCCTTGTCCTTGAGGTCATCCTAGAAGTCGTCCTTGAAGTTGTCCTAGACGTCGTCCTCTAGGCTGTGTCCTTGAGGTCGTCCTAGACATTGTCCTCTAGACATCATTCTCTAGGCATCGTCCTAGATGTCGTAAAAATAGCAGCTTCGCTGGTCCTCCATCTTCACGTGAAGTGGAAGGGCTCTACAGTTTTTCATCTTTTTTTTTTTACCGCATCCTAGGTTTATGTAGGCATGTGCGAATAGTTGATTTTCAGTTCAAAGTGAGTTCAAAATAATTAGTGGTTTTGGCCAAATATTTTCTAATTGAATATTGTATAGTTTCTCCAAGCCTTCCACTACTGTTGCACCATGCTTAAATGAAAACCCAGCTAAACTTATGAAGGTTGTTCACAAGCTTCCACTTGTCTGTTTCTAAGCTAAGTTAATTTTAATCTAATTATATTTATGGGCTAAATTCCAAAGCTTGCATCGGGATGGCAAGGAAACATTGGATTCGACAAACTTAAACATAGAGATGCCCGGCTATACGTAATCTAGAAAATTTATAAATCTTGCTATCTTCAAATATTCTTTCTTCAATCTATAATTTAAAAATAAATGGAAAAAAAATCTTGAATGATGAATGCAGGTTGTCAGGACATCTCTGCATAATATCTACTCTCGCACAAAAGCCAGGATTTTATTTTGAAAATTTTACTGCAACGCAGTTGTCAACATTCACAAAGTTTCCGTTTGTGTTTATAAATACACCAAACGCGTGCGTGCACCGTCCTGCTTTGAAAGTGTGCTTTTCTTCTATGCACGCAATTGCAAGTGTGTACTTGTTGAAATATTGATTGTGGCTGATTAGCCCCGTTGAGTGCGCTTCTTACCGAGCACGGGTGCACCGTGGAGAAGCAACACCCGCGGAGCTTGCTTTCGCTGGTGTTGCTTCTCTGCAGTGCACCTGTGTTCGGTAAGAAGCATGCTCAACAAGCCTGGCCCGCTGTGATCTACACTTCGAAAAATAAAAGTTCATCTCGAAGTGAATATGGAATAGCATTTTATTCAAAACTACTATTAGAATATTCACACTAGGCTTTGTGCTCAATGTGACTTACCCGAAACAAAAAGGGTGCAATCAACACGAAAAGATTTTCTGCTTGATTTCAACGCTCTTTCGTACCAATTGTGGCAGGCTTCACCAAAATTAAATTATTTAAATGAAGCGCCCAAAAGTTATGCAGAGTGAGTATAAGAATCAATAAACATAATCAGTGTAATCTGCGCTCACCCCCTGCCAGTTCCACCTCGTGGCATTACGTCTATATTGCAAACAAAGTCTGGAAGGCAGTCGATTTCTGTCTTGTGCTCCAGCCCCTGTGTCCACGGAACTATGTGGAGAAGCTTCAACTCCTGCTTCACCTCGAAGAGATCCAACTGAGCCGGGAACTGGAGGAGCGCGTGCTCAGTCCAGCAGAGCTAGAAGTGGACGGACCTTTGGTCCGACTGAACCTCGCTCCCTGGCTGGAGGAGGGGCGGCTACCCCCGCGTGTCGGCGACCGCGTCCTGCTCCGTCCATGCGGCATGGACTCTCGTATCCGATACGAGGGCTTCGTTCATCAGGTGAGCTTTTGGCGAGGTGCCTACGACAGTTCCCAGGCTGTAACCTGCGTACTATTCACATTTAAAAGTTTTTAAATTTTATGGTGTGCGGACTGTCTACAGGTGCTGACTACACATGTTTAAACGTTTTAATATGATGTGGTGCAGACTATAGGTGCTACAGTCTGCAGACTATTAAAGTTGAAATTATATGCAGTGCAGACTATCGGAGCTTAGGTTCTCAAACTGGGCTCCCCAAGATCCCATATTTTCAGAGTCTTTCCCACCTGAATTAGGCGTTATTCAAGGGAATAAATGTTACTTTTTTGTGTACTTCCGTTGACTTGCTTCTTCAGAAGACGCGAAGAGAACGCTTAGGTGCAACTGGAGTCTTGTTGACAGTTGGTCCATATAATTGTATAGCCGCTGCTGGAAGTACTAAACACAAGTCTTGCCGTTCTTCCCGAGCTTGTCTGAAGTCGTAATTTATGATGGCACTGCCGTTTTCGTCGCTTATCATTTTACGCTTCTTTTTTTTTTCTACACTTAAGTATAGCGCAGCAATGTGGCATGCATTCTGTGTCCAGCACCTCTGACATACCCCTTCGTTTGGGCGAACATTATTTTTACTAATATTAGCGAGTCGACACTAGCCCATGGCTAAGGTCACTCTTTGAAAGTACATACTCACAAATGCTGAAGATACATCTACTATGTAGTTTGCAGCCACACATAAACTCTGTTAACTTATAGGCCGTTATTAACCAAGCTATGGTTAAACATCACTCCTGACTGCAAGTGGAGCAAGCTACAGTAAACACTCTACAATTAAGTAACTTTATTTTTCGTGCAAAACCATTAACTGTTTCGTGGAGCGAGCCGACATCATCAGCTTTGAAGCTGCGCCAAACAGCACCTAAACTCCTTTTTCCAAATGAAGCCGTGATCTGATGTCTCCCAGCTTTGAAGCCGTACGAAAAGCCTAGCAAAACGACACCTAATTTCCCGGCTCCCACTGGAGCACTGTGAAGCCGAAACCTGTCGGATTTCGGCTTCAATCCTATTGGCTGCCACACGTCATAGTTTCATGGAACGAGGCTCCCATTGGCCGCTGCACTTCAGTTTCAAGGAGGGTCACCCTATGGCACTGCATGCCCACGCTGCCAGCACACAAGAAAGGAATCAGTCGTGCTTTTAGTATCTTCACTATGTTAGTATCTTCACTATATCACTATCTTCACTATCTCAGTATCTTCTCTATTTCAGTAGCTTCACTATCTTAGTAACTTTACCATGTTAGTATCTTCACTATGTCACTAACCTTTCTATTTCAGAACTTTCGCTGTCTCTTTTGCCACTCTTTCTGTGTCTTCTCTATTTCAGTACGTTCACCATGTCTGTATCTTCACTATGGTATCGTCTTCCGTGTGTTACAAGCACGCTTTAACTCTACCTCGCTACATAAGCATTTGAAATCTGTGGGTGCGCCACGATCTTGAGCGTTGCCGATCTCTTGCCGTCGCAAAAGACCGTCTTGGTCGCCGTCTTGCAGCTTATGTCGGAAGAGGCCCTCCTCAAGCTCAGCCCCGGCTTCAACGAAGAGCTCCAGCGAAACCCGAGCTGCGTCTGGGAGCTGCACTTTCAGCTGAACCGCACGCCGCTGAGACGCTGCCACATGGCGGTTAGGTTGGCGCGGCCTCTGCTTGACAGCGGTGAGTGGTGTTTTGTCTCCGCCTCTCCGGTCAGCTGGTTCACACATTGGTTCACACAAATTAGAGGCATACTGCAAGTGCCTGGCTGGTTCACACATTTGCGTTTACAGCAACCAACATCACAGCAACAATCGGGACAATCGTAACTGATGATTGCTTCACGAAGATACCCCTTGAAACTTTAACATGGTGTTTGCATGCGCCGTTCGGGCATAAAAAAATTCCTATAAATAAACCAATGAACGGAGTGCAACGAAAATTTCCATGAAGACATCTTCAGGTGGTGCATTTAGTATAGTACTTAAGTTTTATTAATGTAAGTTTCTGGGAAAGAGATATGCGAAAAGAAAATATTGTGTATCTTCTACGCGCGGGAGGAAAGTAAAAGCAAGCTGTCGGGTGGACGCTGCTACTCAAAAACGGTGCCACGTCTTTCAAAAACTTAAACGTTTCTTAGAGATGCACGCCGTAAGGCAGACACCGCAGATCCGAGCATGTGTGGTACGATATGCGAGGAGCAGTGTCAACCGGACAGTTTGTTTCCCCTTTTTTCTTATTGCATAGGAAATGTACCAAGTTTTCGCTTTTCATGTACTTTTTTTAACCTACACTAACAAACTTTGAGTCTGCACAGCCTAAAGACATGTCTGAGAAAAGTTTCATTGCACTCCGTTCATTGGCTTATTTACGTGTCTGTAGACTCGTCAAACACAAAGTTGAAGCCAAAAATGAGAGAGACGGAGGGAGTGGTAGTGCGTCTTGCCATAGACAATGTAGTTATGTAAGGAGCGACGGTGATGGCAAGAAAGTAATAGCGCGGCGACACTGTCACTCTCTCCTCGCACTCACTTAAAATTTTGCATATGAATGGTGCCGTGTTTTGTTAGAAAGGGGCACTAACAGCTACCGCTATAAAAACAGAAGTGGCATTCCACACAGTGCTTTTCCCGAAGGACTGGATGGCCGCCAAATCCCGAGCGCCGTCTGTGAAACTGGAGCTGGTGAACGGGGACCTGAACGAGCTTCAGCAGACTGCGGTGCGAGACATCTTCGGGGGCGTGAGCGGGCAGCTTCCTTACATCGTCTGGGGCCCGCCGGGAACGGGAAAGACGGTCACCCTGGTCGAGACCATCCTTCAGGTGATAGTGCTGTACCGTAAAGTCCTGTAATAATATGCCTGCTTAAAATGAAGAGATAACATGTGAAAAACATGGTTTGGACTATCTCTGGAGATGCAATGGCGAAACTTTATAAAACACTTTGTGATGTGCACCAGGGCACCCGCCGCAGACCACGTGACGAGGGAACTGATACCGCAGATGGCGGACACGGCAAATTCACACTTTACGACGCGGTAAACTCGTGGGAATTCACTACGAACTCCCTTGTTGCGGGAATGGAGGCCGCAGATTGCGGACACATCAGATTCGCGTTTCACGATGCAATACACACGCGGGAAAAACTTGTGCGTCGCGGGAAACGACACAGCGCGTGCAAATCGCGGGCAAAACTGCAGGAACCTGCTACGAGCTCGCTTGTCACACAAAGCGATATCACAGATCGCGCAGTCGAACGGGTACCGGTTTCGTCACTGACAGAACGAAAACAGCAGAGAGGAATTTCAGTCGTACTGCCTCCGACGCACGCTTGCTACTTTCGCCGGCACTTCTGTGTCTTGTCAGCCTCCAGCGTGCTTGACGGCAAAGCGGGGCGAAAGGCAGTGAGGGTGAGCTGGAGGCGGGGTGTTCATAAGAGACACCCTAACATTCTCACCTCTTTGGCAACCATACTGTCTACACCTAGCGTAGAGTCTGCACGCAAAAAAACATTTTTAGAAAGACAAAAGACAAGCGCACCGTGATAAATGTTTGCTAGACTAGCGTACAAACAAGCCTGTTTCATACAGAAATTATCATTGGTGTAATCTGTGCATTGTTCACAAAACCCGGTACGTCTCGTCATAATGAACGATTTAGAAAAAAAAAAAAAAGCTTGTATGATTTGCATTTGTGGATAGTCCACACCGCGTAAAATTTAAACTTCTTGACACACGTCGTTCGTGTACTGTAGTCCGGAAGACGTGGTATGTCTCGTCCAGCTGTCGCAGTACACCCAGTTCTTCTTTTTATGATCCTGTTCAAGCGGTACGATTGCCGTGCAAGTCTTTCGTAGTTGTACTCCCTTAGTGGATGCTTTGAGAAGACTACCCTTGACAAACTTTTTTGTTTTGTTAATGTAGTGTGGATTTTTCATACCTGATGATTGAAACCTGAGACTGTGTTTTGAGGGTTTTGAAAAACGGAAACTCGTGAAGGAGGAAGAAAAAGGGACAGACAACAGCGCTCTCAGCTAAACCACAGTGCAATGCCAAGAAGTTAATCATTGTCAGACCTTCCGGACATGCTATCGTCGTCGGTAGCTTCGTCGACATTCTCACAAATTCTCGACAATACCTCACTGACACCGTTGCAAATCGGTGACAACAAGAGACGAAAGAAGGTGGAGACGGGTGAAGCGACAAAAGACCAAATATAAAGATGCGAGCACCGCTGGGAGCTGCCGCTAGCCGTAGTGAACAACGGCAACGTCGCGAGCGGCCGTGAACCCGTGAGCGACAAGTGAAACCTCTGTATTTTCTTTTGCTGCACGTCTGCGATGGGGAAAGAGATAAAGGAGAGGGGAGAGGAGGCAGAGAGGGATGGTGATAGTGGGGGAGGGGAGGGGGCAAGATATGGGGCGGGGCCCCACATCTTGCCACTGCTCCGGAGAGGCAGTCCGATGGCTGCTGCTGTTTCAGTTGTTTTCGTTGACCAAAAGCTTTCTGAAACAAGAAGCAGCGCGGCACTATGGCAACACAAGCTCAATGACTCGTTTTCCAAAAAAAAAAAAAAGGGTAGACTAAAATTTGAGTAAAAAAGTACTTGTAAAATGTTTTTATTAATACTGTTTTTTTTTTTTTTCTTTGCATTAGCAGTGTGAAATGGTATCTGGAACCTACTGTGTGCTTGCGAAGGGACCCAAATATTTCTTCTCGAGAAAGTAGTTTTGAATATTTTTTTCTTTTTCTTCACAGATAGTGCTAAACCTGAAACACAGCCGAGTGCTTGCCTGCGCACCTTCCAACAGCGCTGCTGATTTGCTGGTGAGTGCCAGGACCCCACGGCTGTGGATTAGACTTGGCCAAGCAGCTAAGGTTCGAAAAGTAACAATGAGACAAGTCATGACTTGTGTCAGCTGAGCTGAACAGCGTTAAAGCAGGGTGTCCACGTTGAAAACTAGCGCCTAGATTTGTCGTATCAGCCTTCTGGTGAAATGATGCAACCAGCTTTTGAAGTTGTGGTGTTAATTGTCTCTGTCACTGTTTGTAATTCAAATAGACAGTGACTTTAGGGAAAGGTAGCTTATTGTAACTTTAATCTGTGACTTAAGGTACTAGGACCCACACCTTGATCATGGGATCATTGGGGTTTCAATTAAAGAAAAACAACAGTGCAGATTCTGAGAGGCAACTTGGATGCAGGTGGAGAAACTCTGGAACAGTGGCAAGCTGGCTCCGTCGGACATAGTTCGTCTGCTCGGTTTTCAGCGTGACCTTGAGGTGAGCTGCAGAACCAATTTTTGGACTTTCTCAGATTATTTTTCATTAGATTTAGGTTGTGTGGCCAAATTTCTTTAACCCTTTCATGGTCGCATTTTTTGTCTAAAGACGCGCCCCCGTGGTCGGATTTTTTTACTCGGTGCGATAGCAAAGAGTATACACTAGTTTATTGTCGCATAAAAAAATGTAAGACTTAAAATAAATAGTACACAGACTTCAACAGATCTGCGGCACACTCGCTGGAGGCTGAACAAAACAAGAAGGACTAAAACTTTGACGCGCCCGCTTCCAAGACGGTCTAGCAGACGGTGCGGCTGTGTGTCAGACTCCGGACTCCAAACTGAGCTGGTTTTCAGTTGTTCGTCGGATGTCGAGCTGTCATCCGACTCAGGGACCGAGAAGGGTTCAAAGTCTGACCCCGAAAAGCCATCGCTCCAATCTCCACTACGCTACCCCCGGAGCAGCCAGCACGCGCGGCCATCTCGAAAGTATCACTTGCACAGAGCGTCCAGTTTCGCAATTTCAAAAAGTCGCGCCAAAACAAACACGACCGGAGTTATACAGTCGTAGTTCCCTACAAACGCACCAGATGGCAGCACGTCCCCGCAAGCGCGCCCATTCAAGCAGAGGCGCGAATTTTTGAATGAGCTGTCGCGGACGTACCGGTACGTCAGCAACCATGCGGGACGCTCCCACGGTGACGTACAGGTACGTCAGTGACCATGAAAGGGTTAAAGGAGCTGTGCAACAATTTCAGGGCTTTGCTTAAATTATTGTGGAAGTTGATGCCTGGCACTTAATAAGTGAACTACAGAAAACAGATTTTGCCTGGATACCCTAGTTTTTTTTTTTTGAAAAATGAAAAAGATCCAGGTTTTCGCCGCCTCTCAACTTGTACGTCGCCTTCCAGGTCACGTGTGCAGTGACATTGATGGGGTAGGCGCGGGGTTCCGGAAAAGTTCTCTTTTTAGAGCCATGAGTGAGCAGCGAGAGAACTCATCCGCTTGCGAGCGCGTGACTGCGTGCTGGCGGGCGTTGCGCGAACAATATGGTGAAAGGAGGAAAGTCTCATCCGGGTCCGGCCATACCCGTCCGGCCCTGTCCCCCTTTCCTTTTGGCTTCTGGCGGCTGTTCGCAGTAGCAGAGAGAGCTGACAGTTTTGTGGACCTAGGATAGATGGCGCCACTAAAACTCCGTATAATAAAAGTTTTGTCGATGATACCCGGTTTTCGACGCATTTATATGTATGTTGGAACGAAAAGATACCTCTTATCGAGCAAGTATTCGCACAACTTGCTATCTTTCTACAAGATTCCTCATTGACGTCACGCCGCGTGTTTCTCATGGCCACCGCTCGCGGCTGCAGGTCGGGGAATATTCTAAGTTTTGCCTCCCCATTATGCGGCGGAATCATAACATTTTGATGAGATGAGGTGTGTTTTCTGTCATTTGTGACAAGGTGAACAATATCAAAAACAAAGGTGCCAATTCTTTCAACGTTGAAATCGTTGCACAGCTCCTTTAACAGTGGCCAGCCACCTTCGTTCTACTAGAAGTTTGGTTGTGCGGCAGTTTGCTTTGAAGCTATTCAAACTTGTGACAATTCAAACAAAATTTGTGGCTTCTTGGAGTTTGAGTCAATGAGAGTCCACTGTATAAGGGTGCTTGGCTCATAGTTATGGCATCAATACATGGTTCAAATCTGCCAAAAAAGGGCTTAAACTGGAAACACACATACTTAGGGTCAGGATCGGTCTATGAAATTCGGGGGCTTAGAAAACCTTTGAGGATGCCCTGGGGAACATACTATGAGGGTGCCCTGGGGAACCTATGAGGGTGCCCTGGGGAACCTATCCTGGGGAACCTATGAGAGTGCCCTGGGGAACCTAAAAGGGTGCCCTGGGGGACCTATGAGGGTGCCCTGGGGAACCTATGAGGGTGCCCTGGGGAACCTATGAGGGTGCCCTGGGGAACCTATGAGGGTGTCCTGGGGAACCTAGGAGGGTGCCCTGGAGAACCTATGGGGGTGCCTTGGGAACCTATGAGGGCTCCCTAAGAACATATGAGGGCGTCCTGGATAACCCATGTTCTTGAGAACCCAGTTTGTGAGCTCATGCATTAGAGATAACACTGATGTAGCATCGAAGATTTCTTCTTTCTTCCATGAATCAAATTGACAATCGGGAGGACACAGATGTGCAACAATCGTTGTTAATTCCGCTCTCTTATGTGTCGTGTGCAGTTGGTTCCAGCTGGCATCCGCCACCTGTGCCTGAGCACGGAATCCCTGGAGACGGCGTCACGGCGCCGCATTGTGGTCGCCACTGTGATCACCGCCGGATCTCTCTACTCCCTCGGACTGCCCCCGGACCACTTCACGCATGGATTCCTCGATGAGGTACTCGTCCGCTTCGGCCGTCAATTGAACCCTCGAAAGAACATCATTGCCCCAGAAGTTTTCGTTTTCCTTGCGAAGCACAGTAGTCGCTGACAGTATGATAATGGCAAAGCGTCTTATTTAGAAGTCCAGCCTCAAGCACATATGTCCATCAATAATGGCAATGTTCCTAATAGGTGACTGCAATCACTGCAGTTGTTTCATAATTGTAGGCATTCAAATACTTCTCTAAGAACAAAAACTACAAAGTTCTTTGTAGCCTCTGTTCTCGCAGGTGTGTGCGAAGTTATTGGTTACTATTTCATGTCCTACTGCCATGAAAGGCTATGTACTTTTCCCCTCAATCAGCTAATTAATTTTGAGCAGCAGTCTTTCTTTAATGAAGTTTTCGACCGGTGTGTACACACGTGTTGTTGGCCCCCTGTGAAATGCGCCTAGAAATCTTTCTCTTTGATATCCTTGGACTGCTCTCCCAGGCAGATGACTACTATGGTTGTGCACTTTGTAATGGGTGGTACATGTAGTGTCAAGCTGAGAGCAATTAGTATTGTGCGGAGCAATCGTATGTCAGAGGAGATTGCTTGGGTTGCGTCGACCTTTGTGATTAGGCATTCAGGGTTTCTTTAAGTCACAATGCGCGTCTGGTGTTTTTGGTGGTTATGAAAGCTCTGTTTAATTTATTATCTTTATATTTCGTCATTGGAGACATGCCTTGGATGACTCATTGTTCTTTGATGTCGTCACACATGACAGGAAAAAAAAAGCAGGGGGGGGGGGGCGCAGAATGGTTAGTCCTTAAGCGGCGGTTCCTTGCAGAAGAAATGGCTGGATTTTTGGTCACAGATGCTTCTTTCTCTATCAGCGCACCCTCACAGGTTGCATTTCCGTAATAATATGCATTACGTAGACACATGTACTGCACGTTTTTGCACACAAACACAGGCATGCGTAAATGCCTCATCTGAGGCCCTTTCAGTAGTCATGTCAAAAGGTTCATTTCGTCTTTGTTTCACCAGACTAGTGAGAGGATTTCTTTGATTCGAAATATTTGGCGGACACGTCCACAGAAGTCCGGCAGTTTGGAACTGCGACTGCAGCCGCCCCACATATTCCACGGGGTGTTTCAAACGAGCGTTCTGCCTGCGGCCACTTTTTCCTGTCAGGCGGGGCAGGCCACGGAGCCAGAGTCGCTAGTGGCACTGGGACTGGTGTCGCTCGGCGGTGGCTCTTTGGTGCTGGGGGGAGATCCACTCCAGCTCGGGCCGGTGATTCGCTCGCGTCTGGCAACCCGGGGCGGTCTCGGAACTTCTCTCTTGGAACGGCTCGTGCTGACGAACGAGAGATGCCCGGTTCCCGTCACGCAACTTCGAAACAGGTGCGTGCAGAAGCGTCTTCTATTTTTAATGCTGAATCGAGTTCTAACAAAAGGTAACTCGGATTTCGCGTTCGTCCGTGGCACTTCATGTCAGGTCACGTGACGTTGTGGGGTCATATGTGATGTGACGGTGTCAACAAGGTTATAGGATCTAACAACATTGAGTGTCAAGTCGCGCTGTAACGTGGCGTGAGGTCGCACGACATCGCAGCATCACGTGGCATTGAGTGGCACCTTTGACTTAGTGCCTTGACGTAACGGCGTTGCATGACACTGTGCCGCACAATGTGATGTCGCCCGGCACCTTGGCATCGCACAACCACGTCGCACGACGTTGGGCCGCATGTCATCACACGATTGATTGCAGCGAGCCAGCAAGAAAGGTCGCGAAAAGCCAAAGTTTCTCATACACTGCAACTCTGCACATTGCAGTTTGGTCAATAGATTGAACTACAGCTGCCAAATTTTTTTTTCCTCGCTTCACAGGGTCATTAAATTAAGGCCATTCGAAAAGTGACCAATATAATATTTACCTTCCTTCCCGCACACCGCATGCTTTTTGCAAAAACGATTTGTCCTGGATTCCGAGAAACGCCCCGAGTAGTGTGCCCATCTTCCTTCCTAAGTTGTTGGTCGAGTCACATTTGAATTACACCTTTATAATCACTGACAGAACTGACAGAATGAGAACGGCAGGGTGCTCCCTTCGAGCACCCGGCCTCCGGCGTCTGCTCCTTGCCTTCCTCCTACTTTGGCTGTGCGCGCACCCTCGGGGTGCACGAAACGCCAAAGCGTCTTTCGAAGGTAGGAAGCTGGCGTTAGAGGCGAGGCAACTGAAGCTCCACCCTGCTAGTTCCGCCTCGTCAGTGACTATAGTTTTTAACAGGCAATGACCGTGCTCCTTCTTTCGCCCCCTCCTCCCAGCTACCGCTGTCCCCAGGCCCTCCTGGACCCCTACTCGACGCTCTTCTACGGAGCGCTGCTCCGCAGCCAGGTCACCGACCAAGACCGGGGGCTGCTGCCAGAGTTCCCGGTGCTCTTCCACGCCGTGCGGGGCCGCGCCCAGCGGGAGGGCTCCTGCCCGTCGTGGTTCAATGCGGCGGAGGCGGTTCAGACGGTGCGCTACCTCCAGCGTGCCTACGGTCCTTGGTGCCTGAGAGCGTGCGAGGTTGGTCTGCTGACGCCGTACAGGTGGGCTCGCGCTTCTCCCTCTCGTTGCAGAGCCCGGATCGGGTCTTCGACGTGTGTGTTTCGTAGGGGTGCATGTGGTTAATGGTGTGAATCAAAACGCACGGTGTTGACCCTAGCTTGTACACTGTCGAGGAAAACGATTGTTGTGCTTCCTCTTGCGCTGCATAGGTTATGTACCGTATTTACTCGCACAATGAGCGCACTCGCGTAATGAACGCACCCCCCAAGTCGGCTCTCAAAATTTCGACTTTTTTTTCACTCGCGTAATAAACGCACCCCCAACTTTGCATCGATTTTTCGGGAAAAAAAGTGTGTTCATTCTGCTAGTAAATACGGTATGCTGCAGTGCTATTCGATTCAGACCACTCTTTGCACAGCCTTAGTGTTTAGCACCTTGTCCCGATACTTCAACGAAATTAGAAGTGTACCCGTCGTGTTCAGAGATAGGCTGATTATGACCCACAATATCTGTAAATGACAATCCTATGTTTGTATTTTGAGCCTGACGGCCGTATCTTTGGTTATAAACGGCCCACTCTGGCAAGCGCTCGGAGAGAAGCCAGCAGAAAGCACGTGACATCCGGCACAATCGTGACATAGCCTGTCTCGGGACGAGCAAAGCTGCGGCAAGGCTGATGTCACCAGGATGTCCTTGCCATTCCAGCCACCGAAGCGACCCAAGCATGCCAGCGATCGGGCCACCCCAACTAACCGCAAAACTGCTTTTGTACGAATTTTGAGTGACAGGTTAATCTTCTATAATCTCGTAGAGGGAGAATAGCGACATCTAAGCAAGTCTGGTACACACAAAAGAGAGTCACGTTGAGAAGAGTTCCTCCTTCCCCCCTTTTCTGGTGGTGACTGGGGAGCTGACAGGATGACGTCGGGTGCAAGATACGTATAGTTTTAGGCGAGACAGGCATCGTTGCTACCTGTCAATGTTTCTGGACGGACATTACGAACGAGACCTTAGCGACATCCACCAAGGTGTCATTTGCTAAACATTTTATTTGTTTTAAAATTCCTTTTCTTGTCCTTTTCAGCAAGAGATCTGTGTGTCCGATGTGATACTGCTCCCTTGAACAGGTATCGATCAAGAAAAAAAGCACAGAAATTTCGTTGTAGTTTCCCTTTAAATTCACCACTGCTCCGCCTCCAGGTGCGAATTTTTTTATTGATAAAAGGACATAGATTTTTTTGGATTTTTCGGCCTTGTTATTGGTGAAATGTCAATTACAGTTGAATCTCGATTTTACGAAACCCGATTTTACGAATTTCCCAATTTAACAAACAAATTTGGATATCCCGCACAGCCTACCTTGATTTTACGAAGTTCCCGGTTTAACGAAATAATTAGTGGGTCCCGGTGACTTCGTTAAATCGAGGTTAAACTGTACCTTGACGTCCCATCTGTCAGCAATGTTACATCACCTTCCAGAGCCCCCCACTACAAACCTGACCTATAAGTCCGCCCCTGATCTAGGCTAAAAGACCTTGTTGGAGGCCTTCTAAGGTGGTTGATTACTCATTCTGAAACATTTCAACCTTAAGATATTCGTGGAGGTTCTTCTTGGGGGCCAGTGTCCGAGAGTCTGCACTATCTTTTCTAGGCGGCAGGGACTCAAGCTGCGGCTTCTCATGGAATCTCTGGGCCTGGCCGCCCCCAAGGTGGGCTCAGCCGAAGAATTCCAGGGCCAAGAGCGGCGCCTGATCGTGGTGTCGACGGTGAGTCTTCATGCTGCGGAACCCTCGCTGCTTCGATGCGTCGTGGCACGTTCCCTTCTAGATGGAATGTGAATGTACCGGATGTTAGGGAGAAGAAAGGGCAGCATTTTTCTCACCGCAAGAATCAGCTATGCGTCGCCGATCGCCCAGTCTTTGCCCAAGCGTAGCGCCATACTGTAAGCGACTTTATTTTCGCAGGCTCAGTGTTTTGCGAATTGTGCAAAACATTGATTTCACGAGAGTGATATGCTATGTACCTATTCGTTGCCGTGGCATGATACTATAATCACGTGATAAATTTGTCGTGATATTTTTCAAGTTGCAAAATCCACGAAGATTTTGTCCTTGCAACAATCATGTCGTTTACAGCAGTTGGTTGCATGCTAAGTACAGCAGAATAAGCTCCTCCCACCAATTCCTCCACTCTTTCCACTTCAGCAGAGTGAATGCTGGAGAGGATGTGAGTGGAAAGGAGGAAAGCACCAATCGCAACGAGCAGAGGGTTTTGTGGGGGGAAGGGCTTGTTTTTCTCTCTTTAACCTTCAAAAGATTAGTATAGTGGTTAAGACCAGATGCCAGTTTCAAAATTATTTATTTTCCAAAATAAAAGCTAAAAGCAATTTTTTTTTTTTATTTAGAAAAGTAAATTTAACGGAGCCCAGGAATACAAGGAGGTCAATGGCAAAAATGTTAAATTTGGCCAATCAGTGGCTTCATAATATGAACAGAAGATTCCATTTGGGTCTAGTTTGTTGACATTTATTTTTTTTTTTTCATTCATCTAGGAAGAAATTATAGGCAATCTAATTTTGATGCAGGTGCGGGGAAGTGAATCCCTCGACGCCGAAAATCCGGAGGTCTTGGATTTCCTCTTCTGCAGCAGGCGATTCAACGTGGCCATCAGCCGAGCTAGTGCGATGCTGATCATCGTCGGCAACCCCGATGTCCTTGCACTGGTAAGATTGGCTGGACTGGCGGATCATGACGTTTATTGATTACGAATTGAGAATGTAATAGACCCTTTCCGAAATTCAGTCTGGCCACTTTGATCACTAACTCGGAGCCCTCGTTTACGCCGCTTCGCAGCGGCAGACAAGGCGCCGCATTACAAAAGAAAGCTAATCCGAGCTGTCTATGTAACTAGACCTATTCGCTAGTCATTCGATGAAACGTCGTGGTCTCGTTTTCATTCGCTAAAACTGTGTTCGTTCAAGTGAACGCCTCCCACTTATTTCGGCTCGGCAGAGCCGCGCTGCCGCAGAAAGGCAAGCAGATCACGAAAATCGGTCTCAAACGTGCCACGAATGTAATGTCATATACAAGAAGCCAACAATCAAGCATTTGAAAGCTACAAGAAAGCGGTAGCGAAATATTTACTACGCAATGAACCCGGACTGAAACGCGGATGTCAAGGGTCAGCAGACACCGAGAACATTTAAGACAAGAAAGGTTTTCTCTTGTTTTCTTGATCGAGATGGGTTCTCGAATGTTCACGACATCTTATCTGTTGAAGAACGGGTCGCGGAGGCTTCTGGTGAAGACATCGTTCACGATGTGCCGGTGCATTCGGACAGCCTGCCGCATCCAGCTCCCCAAAGCAACGCCGCCAACGCAGCCCCCCCTCCTGCCTGCCAGTTCTCTCCACGTGGTGGCGCGAGCGTAGATAAACATAACGGCGCCCTGGAATTGGTGCGGACACTGGTCTATAGGAACTGTGGTACGCCACGCTTGGATTTCGGAGAGACTTGTCTTGGCTGTGACTTCCTGTTAGCTCGCTGATGATGACATTACCTGGAATAATCATGCACTGATGATGATATTACCTGGAATAATAGCTCATGCATTGGCATTTCGATACTATCACAGTGAGATGGAACGCAGACACAGGTTGTGCACAGTCGCTGCATCAGCGTTTGGTGGGAGAAAATAATGCAATGTCCCCAAAGAAAAGGCGCATGGAGGAAAATGAAGAGAAGTTCATTGTACATTCACCATTTGTTTGCCATGTGCCGCCTGTGAAAACCCCCATAAAATGCTATCATACTATCATGCTATCATTGCTTTTAACAAATAATCTCAGCGATACAATTTTTTTTTTTTTTTTAAGTTGTGCTTTTGGTCTCTTTTCAGGACTCCAACTGGAAAGCATTAATGGAGTACTGTCGAGCACACGGAGCCTACGTTGGCTGCAACGTCTAGAAGTGGAAAAACAACCCGTCACATAGAAAGAGGACTTCTTAATTATGTCTTTGAGACTACTAACTAGTCTTCGATCAAAAATACCACTGTGCAAGTTGGGACAAGGCCGCTGTCAAGGCCAAATCTCGCATCACATAGTTCATATAAACATTGCTCATTGTCAACTGCTTCGATTGCTTCTTTTTTATTTCATTTTTCAGGGTACACATCAGAAACGGTCATCCAAGAAATGGTATTCTGTGTCATTTGATGGACCAAAAAAGTGCACAGTTTTATGCACAAGCTGAAATTATTTCATAATCTCGGAAACCAAAACTAACGCTATAACGAGTCGGAAACGATGCACCTTGCTCAACAGTGGCAATAAAATGTAAGTAATAAGTAATGTTTTATGGAATAAATGACAATGTGAAGAACGTAGCCATAATTCATATATAGTAATGTTCTAGCCCCCATAAAAACAATACCCTGTACAACGAATTGATTAAAAAAATAGTAATAATAAGAACGGTCGAATCGGTGATGCCGCACAAGCGGGGAAACGTTAAACACGACAAAAACGTCATACCCATTTAAAAAAAAAAAAAAACAAATCGCTAGCAGTTTCGGTTTCGGTTACCGTCATTCACACCACAGCAAAAGTAGCGTCCGCAGCGCCGCTTCACAGAAAGCGTGCGCGCAACGCCCAGTTTCTTTTTTTTTTTTTTTTCCTTCTCTATTTTGGCCAGCTGTTTCCGGGATCTAGAAAGCGTTGGCGTCTACAGGTGTGTTCTCTGTGTCCCGAACGGGTTCAGCTCCTCCGAAGAAGAAGCGAACGAGCAAGCAATCGGGGCCAAAGAGACGGACTCGACAACAAATCAACAGCGTTCATACGCCGGGATTTTCAACGTCCGTGCGTGCCGCTGCAGCCTCACCTACGCGATGCGGACTCACGCACGGCCACACGCATTCCTCGGAGTCGATGCACAGCTGATAAGGGTAGGAAAAAATAAACCGTTGACGGCGCCGCGTTGTGCAAACAGCAGCTCGTGATAACGCGAACAACGAACAATGTGGAAGTCGGTAAACGATCCCAACGGAGCGATGGGTGAGTCTAACCTTCTTTTCCTCCGCGTTCGTTTAAAACTTCTCGCTGCCCGTTGTCTGCCACCTCGAACCATCGATGTGTATGGTTTCTAATGTCGCTAATCGGGCTAATCCGACGAATCTTTTGCTTATGAGATGATTGTATCCGGATCCGCTACGTCATCGATCTCTGTTTCTCGCCGGGGCGTGAACGCGTTTTGCCGTGAAGCGAACTTGCAGAAACAAACTTGCGGTGCTTGAGTGGTTACGGCGGTAGTCAGTTGCCTGTGGTGTTTTGCGTTTGCGTCTCTAGCGAGAGTGTTTTGTTGCTCTCTATATTTTGAGGCCTGTGAAAGAACGATGACTTACAACAGGAAAAGTTACTCCTACTCTAGCATTTCAAAGGAGAAGCGATGTGTGTGCTGCTCGCCGAACGGTGAGCGAAAACCTGTTTCGTTGTGTCGTATTCTAGGCGTTCTAGGCTTACCTTGCTCGCCTAAAATCGGTCACGGCGGCGTTGTGGGATAGATATCTTCAGAAATTGGTACCGAGCGACGTGTTTCATTCTTTATGATGCTTTGCGTCGATAGTTCGACTTGCCTTACCTGTCGGGAGCAACATTGCGGGTTCAGAACTTGGTTGACTTGGTGGCGTCGGGTTGTTTTTCTTATTTCGTTTTTAAAGGGACGCGTCGTGGCGTCGTTTTTTTAGCGGCGTTGCGCCGACGATGATTTGTGTCGTTCGCATATCTTTCGGGAAAGTACTGTGGTACCCGATTAGAGAAAAGAAAAAGAGCATGTTAACTTTGGTGGCATCGTTTTGCAGTGTCGGTAACACGTGGTGCTGGCGATCGTGTTCTTGGCACTGAATTAAGAGCTCTACTCCTGAATTAATTTACATGCTCGTAGCGTTGCTGGCGTCTGTTACGTCACACCGGGTCACAAATAAAAGATCTCACAAATCAAGGCTTCAAGAAGCAGTCGTATCTCAGGTATCTCAGCACGAAGGCGTGTCTTATAACTAGTAAATGAAAAAAAAAAAAAAAAAAAGAAACTAAAATTAGCGTGGCTCCTACGTAAATTCTGCTATTTAAATGACGCTTTTATAATCAGTCGGGTCTAAAAACCAAGCAAATCGGGTTGGCCAGTTTAACACTCATCGTTGACACGCGACGTTGGTGGGCGGGACATGCTCTTCACATTGTGTTCTGTTTCAAGAGCGTTTCGACCGCGGAGTTCGAAAACCTCGTATGGGTTGGGCGGAGCCGATCAAGCTTGACGTGTAATTCCCTGACACTTTGCCAGGACGTTCAACTGAGGCTGAGCTATCGCGTCAATCGCGTCGGCCTTGAGAAACACTTCCTGTTTCCGGCCGCTTTGGCATTCTTTTGTTAACGTTTATTTATTTATTATTTTTTTCTTTTTGCTTACTATTTTTTTTTTTTTATGCGTCGCTTGGCAACCGTGTTTGTGGATATGTGTCACGCGGAACAAGCATTCTTTCACGTCACAGCCTGTTTACAAATGACAAAGGGAAATGTAAGGAGTTTAGTTCTGAATTACGAACACTGTTTGAGGCCTTGAGTTTAAAAAACACTGTAAATATGAAGAATCTGTGCTCCATCAATAATGGCAATGTTCCCAATAGGCGACTGCAATCAATATACAGAATGTAAACTAACGCTTCTAGGGCACTTTGAACGACCCACAAAAACCGGTTTCTCAGCGTATTGCCCTGCAATAAACTACAAAGGTGCAAACAGGTAATGGAGGTTTACAGTGGAAAAATCAAGGAATTAATTTTCCTCGTTCAGAAGGAACGCTGCAACTTCGCAGACGATGCACGTGTACATAGAAGTGCTTCCGACAGATGGCGTACGCTGCATCGGGGCAATATCACATGAGCGAATGACGTTTTAGCGAACAGCGACATTTGAGCAAATAACGTTTTAGAACGAATAATGGGGGCGCACTTTAATCCATCCCCCCGCACTGTGCTTACGCCGCTTCGCAGTGACAGTCTGCGGCGGCTCATTACAGTCTCAGCGGCTCATTACAAAAATGTGAACCGACTTGGCCCGCCTGAAAACACCACTTAGCGGCGTCAGACTATTCGCTAAAGCGTCATTCGGTGAAACGTGGGCATTTGCTAATACGTCATTCGATCAAGTGAGTGCCTCCCCGCTGCATCAAGGAAGCGTTGGCCGATGTGGTTTTTTTTTTGCGAGATTGTCTACTTTCTCGCGCTTCCTCGATGCGACATATGCCATCTTTCTGCCAACAGATGGTGTATGTTGTGTCGAGGTAGCACAGGCCGATTCAGGTTGATAGCAGACAGTCTTGTAAAAGAACCCGAATTGGTCGGCGCTCCCTTGACTGGACGTACGCCATCTGTCGGCAGCACCTCTATACGCGTGAAGTAGCGGCGTAAATTGCCCAGAACAGGTTTTTGTGTTTTTTTTTTTTTTTTGAACGAGGTAAGTTCATTTCTTGATTCTTTCATTGCAAACTTCCACCACCTGCTTGCAACTCTGTAGTAAATTGCTGCGTGGTATGTCGAGAAACTGATTTTTGGGGGCCGTCTAAAGTGTGTTAGTTTGCATGCTGTAGCGTTACTGCATGAATGTACTCATTTAAATAGTTATTTAAAAAAGAAAACACTGTTCTCTTCACACCTTTTTTTTCTTACGGACGTGGTAATTGTTTATATATATATATATATATATATATATATATATATATATATATATATATATATATATATATATATATATATATATATATATTCTGTTGCCACTAAAGGTTATATATCTATCTTCTCAATACAGCGGATCAGTTTTGAGCTGCAGTCACGCTTTATTGAAGGCTTTATCTGTCATCATCGGCTGCCACAACAAATGCCTATATCTTTCTTCTTGGTATCCTTGGACGTGCCCCACCAGGTGGATGACTATACATGGTCAAACACTTTGTAACGCGTGTCGTTTAGAGCCTTCTGTAGTCACTGACTGGATACGAGAAGTCCAGGGTGTCTCATTCCGATGCCGGGGCTGTAGCACGCACTTATGGCCTTCCGTAGTGCTTCGATATAATGCTCGCGCTGGAGGTGGGACAACTGAAGGACATTTTTGCCGTTTAATCCCGTCAATGACAACGAACCAACAGACTACAAACTCTAACCGTCATCTTATACACTGTTGCAGGTTGCAAACGGCCATGCGCACGATGCCTGTCGCGTGTGCCCTTTGCCACCCTGGTGGCAACAGTCATGTGCTGTGCTGGGGTGGCCATCTTCTTGGGTGCTGTGCTCAGAGCGGTGGCATCCACCATGCGCATGGTCGAGGTGGTTTTTAAGAGGCCCAACCCATATGGGTGAGCAGCACCGGGTGTGGTGGTCTTGGCCCCTCTTCCATTTTTATCTTCCAGAAGTTTTGCAATAATTCTTAAGTCCGTGGTTTGTTCTGGCAAGTTACTTCTGGCCAATTCGTCTGGGCCCGCATCGCACCGGTGCAGTGCAGTTCGTGCTGCAGGAAAGGCTATAAGGGAGAGAGGAGCTTCCTTTTCTCCCCATTAGCCTTCTGTGTACTAAATTGGAAAGAGTTTACAGCACTGCATGTGTGCAGTGTGCCCCAGACAAATAGGCTATTAGCTTCGTCACGTGCGCAGCTCGCCGTGCACTGGTGTGCTGCGGAGAAGCGACAACTGCAAGGTAGGCATTGCAATTTCGCATGTCATGCTTTGCCGTAGCGCACCCATATGCTAAGGGAAAAGCAGCATTCCTCAAGAGCACTGTGATATCCTGGCGGTACCTTTTTTCTAGTGTTGTGCGAATAGTGGATTTTGAGTTCGAAGCGAATACGAAGCGAATAGTGGTTTTGCCCGAATTTTTTCGATTCGAATATCGAAGTTTTTCCATGCCTTTCACTACCATTGCATAATACTTAGACGAAAACCCAGCTAAACTTGTGAAGGTTGTTCCACTTGTTTATTTATAAACTAAGTTTGATCTATCTATATTTATGAACTGTGACCTCAGAAGGTCTGGTGTCTTGGGATGGCAAGTAAACGACAGATTTGACATAAAATGAATCCTGTAGAGATGGCCAACTATACCCAAAGAAGTGAATTTACAAATCTTGTTATATAAAATATACTTTCTTTAATCTCGAGTTAAAAAAGAATGAATCGTGCATGATGAACGCAGGTTGTAAGGGCATCTCTGCCTAACATAGTAACTTGCGTAACAGTTTAATTTTGAAACTTTTACTACAATGTAGATATCACACAGTCGGCACAGGTGCTCCATCCCGCTTTGAATTTATGCTTTACTTCCAAGCACGCAATTACGATATTCATACTTTTCCAAGTGTTTATTGCGGCAGGTTACCTCTTGAGTGCGCTTCTTACCAAGCACCGGTGCGCTGCCGAGAAGCAACACCCGCGGAGCTCGGTTTCGCGGGTACTGCTTCTCCGCAGCGCACCGGTGCTTGGTGAGAAGCGCACTCAACGGGGCTAACCCGCAATCAGCACTTCGAAAAACGCGAATAGTGCAGTTCTTCTCGAAGCGAATATCGAATAGTGTATTCTTCGGAACTACTATTCGAAATTTCGAATATTCGCACAACCCTACTTTTTTCTGATTCAAGATTGTTGTCAAGAAGGCTTTAATTGTTTTTCGTGCCATTCTTTGTTACGAAGTTATACATAAAAAATGTAATTGACATACTTAATCAAACGACAAGTGTTTTGTTTCTTATCGGAATAAAAATTGCTGTTTTTTTACAACCTCCAAAACTTGAAGGAAACATTAATTTAGGTGCTCAAAATTATTGTATTCAAGCATTATTTCAGTGGGATTCTGTGCCTACAAAAACCATTCACTACAGTTCCTGCTGTCCTTCATCAGTCATCTTCTTGTTACCATGTCTGGTGCTTCTCCACGCAACAAAACACCATTTTTTGTTTTTGAGCAAATCGCTTTTGCTGTGCAATTGATGTCAGCAAAGGGTTGCAAGTGAGTGAGAAGGCAAAGTAGACCATTGCCATTTGGTTGAAGAGGCCGACAGATTAATCTTAGCATAATATTTGCAGTGGTATGAATTGAAATGAAATGTGTACTCATGCACCAAAAGTTCTTTTGCTCCTCTAAAATGTACTTTTGGCTGCTTCAAGAGCTGCTCTAAAATGACTCAGACCAATCACATTGTTGATTTCCTTCCATGGCATCGCTGAATATGACTTTCTTTTTTATGTAAGCGAGGAATTAAAATGCTAGCAGCACAAGATTCATTCAAAGTCAAACTTGTGCTTTCTTTTTGCGCTTGAAAGCACAACCATCTATAAAGTTGCACGCGGCAACTCTTCCTTAAGTTTATCAGCCAATAATTTTTATTGACAGCTTTTACCCTTAGTAGCCACGAATTGATACATGTGGCAGCTGCTCAATTCACTGAGAAAAATTTCAGTTTTATCCAAGAGGTGCCACAATGCTAAGTCCACCACGGAATCACCGGACTGAGGTAGAAGGTGGTCGTAGCCGGACAACTCGCAGAAGTCTCTCCAAAGACTTCCACATAGTCTGTTGCACATTCAGAAAAGCGGGACAAGCCTTTCCCCCAAAGCTCTTTGCCTCCCACGATTGGTTGTTTCCTCCTCTCCATCGTTCACTCTATTAAAGTGGGAAGAGCCTCTGCTGCTTTTCTTAACCTGCAACAGACCATAGTGTTCCAATTAACTGCTTTAACCTGCTGGGCTTCGTCAAATCGGCAGGTCTCACCTTCTTTATCTAAACCACCCCATCCCATTATACCCCTACTCGGACGACTCGAGAGTTTTTGGTGTAACTTTTTCTAGTAAACGTTCATTCATTAACCTGCAACAGACTGTAGTGTTTCAGTCACGAACCTGCTTTCCTGTAATCAAGGACAAGTTAACACAGTACACGCTCTGCCTCGAGCACGAGTTTTCTACCTTCGATAGCTTCGCGTTGCATGCACAGCCAGTAGGCAGCGAGCACATACTGGAGGCATAGCTTCTACCGAGCTTTAAACCTGTCACCGACTGTATTTTTTTATAGACCTCGAACGCACTAATCCAATCCGTTCTAATCCGACTCCTCACCAAACTCGGCAGGCCCGCAGAACTGCAAGCGGCGGCGATCGGCACGGCAGTTGCCATGGGCCTCCTGGAGTTGTGCCTGGTGGCGGTGGGCTTTCTCACTACGGGACCGACGCGGGAGCGGCTGGGGGCTCGAGCCCGCGTCGGAGGCCGGCTCTCGTGCGGCCTGCTCATTGTGCTCTCATACCTGGTGCTCCTAGTCTGGCTGGCGCTCGCCCTGCTCCTGGTGACGGCCGCCCTCTCGGTCACCCTCGTCGGAGGCATGTGCAACCAGCTCAAGCAAGAGTACCAGTGCCTGGACTTTAGGCAGCTAGGTAACCACGGCTTTTTTGCTTTCTTTGCGCCACGCACGTTTGCAGGTAGCAGTGTACCTTCCCGGAGAATCCTGAGAGGCGTCGCAGCGAGGGGAATCGTGGAGTGGTTCAGGCATGCTTTTGTGCCGACCCAAATTCTTCGTATGTTTAATTGGGACGACACAATTCATTCTCTATTATCGTTAGAAGCTTGGAACACACAAAAAAATGATGCATATGCAGAAGGGGGTTGTTGCATACTTGGTTTTGCTCTTCTTCTGACGTCTCCACGTTGTGAATTGGCAAAGTATTAAAGGGGGAAGCTGGTAGTGAGCCTAAACTTCTTTTTATTTTTAGAGCTATTTGTATAAAATTTTCAGGGTACATTCGTAGCACGTGTGTAAGAGTAACTCATAAGTTTCTAAAGCTTTGCCTATGGATTTGTAGCGGCAGCTATCAGCGGCGATCCAGCGCTTGAACGGCGCCAAGCTCACGGGACAGGCACGAGTTAAGGACACGAGGTGCCTGGACCACGAGCTGCACGGAATCTGGGGATTCGGCGAAGGGCCCCTCGATGAGCTAGTCAGAAGGACAGTGTAAAATATTGTAAATAAATATGTAGAGTGTGATTTGCCGAGCCTCCACTCCTACATACTTATTTACAATATTTTACACTGTCCTACTGCCCTGACCACTCCTACATACTGGTGACCTTGGACCGAGCCGCCCCCGACCACGCCCAGCTACGCTGCCCTGGAGCCCTGGTTCTTTGAGTGAGTCCAGCTTCGTGCCCCCGTCATGAGCCTCGGAGACGATGGCACCTCTCCCGAAGCCCCGACCACACTGGGGGCGACGACTCTCAACATCAAGTTCCCAGAGTTCTGGTCGTCCGACTCCGAGCTGTGGTTCCTGACCGCGGAATCAATTTTTTGAAAGAGCAGGATCACCTCATCTTTGACCAAATTTGACTACGTCGTCGCGGCCCTCCCGCAGTCAACCGCATCTGTGGTTCGCGACATTCTGCGTTCTCCACCCGCAGATCAGCCCTACGAGACTCTACGGAAAGAGTTGATTCGTCGCACCACAGAGTCTGAGCAACGGCGCCTTCAGCAGCTGTTTGTTGACTGCGGAGGAGCTGGGAGACCGCAAACCTACAGAATTATTGCGACGCATGGAGCACCTCCTTGGAGACAAAGCCACGACTATGGATACATCCATATTTAAAGAACTTTTTCTCCAACGTCTACCAAGCCAAGTCCGGATGATTTTGAGTACATCTGCCACCGACTCAATCTCCACGCTTGCTCGTATGGCCGACCAAATCATGGACGTAGGCTCCCCTACCATCTCAGCGGTGCGTCAAGAAACCCCCTCAACGTCGTGCACTACTGTGACCGACATCGGATCCCAGCTCGCTCGACTCCTCAGCTTCAACGATCACATAGAGGCCAAGGTGAGCGAGCTCAGTCGTGAGATTCGTAACCTCCAATCACGACCTTCCCGATCCTTGACCGTCAATCCACGAACTAACGCTGGCCGGCACCACAGTGAATCAAGAGCTGGGTCCCCCCTTCCAAGAGTATGCTGGTACCACCAGAGATACGGATCCCAAGCCAGAGCATGCCGCCCACCATGTAACTACTCGGGAAACGACATGGGCACCCGCTGAAGGCCGCCAGCGTCGAAAACCCAACTTCAGGCCGGCTTTTCTACGTCACGGAACGCAACACGAAGGTCCGCTTCCTCGTGGATACTGGGGCTGAGGTGAGCGTGGTACCTCCTACGCTGGAGGACCGCCGGTGCCGCCAAGAGTCCCCACCGCTCCAGGCTGTTAACGGATCCCCGATCAAAGCGTACGGCGAAAGGTCCCTGACGTTGGACATCGGACTCCGCCGGACATTCCGTTGGATTTTTATCATCGCGGATGTTCGGCAGGCGATCATAGGAGCAGACTTTCTGCGGCGATTCGCACTGACCGTGGACCTGAGGAGAAATCGACTTCTTGACACCGAGACGCAATTGAGCGTCCAAGTAATTGTGTCGAAGTCCCCCCCTCTTAAACTTGCTCTTCCACGAACAGAAACGAATTCTCCATGGCAAACCATCGCCGACGAATTTCCTGCCGTGTTTCGCCCACCTGCTCCCGATCAAGCCATCCGACACTCCGTCACCCATCACATCGTGACGAAAGGGGCCCCGGTTTTCGCCAGACCACGTCGACTCGCCCCCGACCGCCTCAAGATAGCCAAGAACGAATTCCAACACATGCATGAACTTGGTTTCATCAGGCCATCTTCGAGTCCCTGGTTTTCGGCACTTCACATGGCCCCGAAGAAAACCGGGGACTGGCGCCCCTGTGGCGACTACCGGTCATTAAACAAGTGTACTCTGCCCGACTGTTACCCCATCCCTCATATTCAGGACTTCGGTGGCATCCTGCAGGGCGCGAAGGTTTTCAGCAAGGTGGACCTCGTGAAGGCATTCTACCAGATCTCTATAGAACCGGCAGACATCCCCAAGACGGCTGTCATCACGCCGTTTGGATTGTACGAATTCTTGCGAATGCCCTTTGGACTGCGCAACGCTGCGCAAACTTTTCAACGATTCATCGACACAGTCCTCCGAGGGTTGTCATTCACCTTCGCGTATATCGACGATATCCTTGTATTCAGCAACACTCCGGAAGAGCACGCCGACCATCTACGACAACTCTTCTCGCGCTTCCAAGAATACGGACTTGTCGTCAATCCGACCAAGTGTGAATTTGGCGTCAACGAACTTGAATTTCTTGGCCACCATGTTGATAGCCGTGGAATTCAACCATTACCCGAGAAAGTCGAAGTCATCCGAAGCTTTCCACAACCCCCGACGGCGAAGAAACTTCGGGAATTTCTCGGACTCGTGAATTTCTATCGACGGTTTATACCACAGTGCGCCCAAGTTTGCGAGCCCCTCTACGACCTACTGCCGGCCACCAAAGTAAAGGCAACGCCACTCCGTTGGACGCCAACCGCCAACCAAGCTTTCGAGAGAGTAAAAAATATCATTGCCAACGTCACCCTTCTCAGCCACCCCAAAACCGACGCACCCCTCTCCATCATGGTCGACGCCTCGGATGGAGCTGTTGGAGCGGTTTTACAACAACACGACGGAAACAACTGGCAACCACTTTCCTTCTTTTCGAAGAAGCTGACCCCGACAGAACGGCGATACAGCACCTTTGGACGAGAGCTGCTGGCAATATACCTTGCCATCAAGCACTTTCGCCACTGCGTGGAAGGTCGAAGCTTCTTCGTCTTGACAGACCATAAGCCGTTGACCTACGCGCTGGCCTCCAACAGCACGGCACACACTCCGCGTGAGATACGGCAGATGGCATATATTTCGGAATTCACCACCGACATCCGCTTCGTTAAGGGCACGGATAACGCCGCAGCTGACGCACTCTCCAGAGTTGGGGTCAACCTCTGCTCCACGGACCGACCTGTAGTTCCTTAAGCACAGCTGGCGGAAGCACAACGAGGCAACCTCGAACTACAACGCCTACGGACAACGTCAACGACACTAGTCTTTGAAGACATACGCATGCCCGACTGTGACGGCACAGTTGCGTGCGAAGTTTCGACAGGTCGTCCCCGCCCCTTCGTACCAGCAGACTTGCGGCGAACAGTTTTTGACTGCTTGCACTCCTTGTCCCATCCGGGGATACGAGCAACCCAGAGACTGATAGTTTCGCGGTTTATATGGCCTCGTATCAACGTTGACGTGAGGTCCTGGGCCAAAACCTGCATCCAGTGCCAACGCTCGAAAGTTCCCCGGCACACCAAGGCGCACTTGGGAGCTTTTAGCACACCGGACACTCGCTTCACCCACATTCACGTTGATATCGTGGGACCACTTCCTCCATCACAAGAAAACCGTTATCTTCTAACCTGCGTCGATCGCTTCACGCGGTGGCCGGAAGCGGCACCAATGAAAGACATCACCGCAACAACCGTAGCTCGCACACTGATTGAAATGCGGATTAGTCGCTTCGGTGTCCCACAGACCATCACAACGGACAAAGGACGTCAGTTCGAAGCGACTTTATTTCGAACTCTCTCCCACTTCCTTGGAGTTCAACACATCCATACGACGTCCTACCATCCGATCTCCAACGGCAGGGTAGAGCGTTTTCATCGTCAGTTGAAAGCCTCCATCAAAGCGCAAACCAACAGCTCGGCATGGACAGATGCTCTTCCACTTGTCTTGTTGGGAATCAGAACGGCCTTCAAATCGGACATCAATTGCAGTGCAGCTGAACTCGTTTACGGCACGTCACTCCGCTTGCCTGGCGAATTTTTTTCTTCCTCAGCCAACATTTCACAGGAAACAGCAGAAAACTACGTCCAGTGGCTGCGACTACTAATGAAAGACCTCCAGCCCACCTGCCCAAGGACGCCCTCCACAAGACACACTTTTGTTAGCCGCGACCTCGACACAAGTAAGCACGTGTTCGTTCGACACGATGGCGTAAAGAAGCCCTTGCAGCCCCCATATGACGGCCCTTATCTTATACTGCGTCGAGACAAGAAGAACATGACGCTTGACGTCAACGGTCGAGAAGAAGTAGTGTCTCTAGACAGAGTCAAGCCTGCTCACTTGGCACCCGATTTTTACTCATCCGTGACCACACGCCTTCCAAAGCCACGTCACGTAAGGCTCCACATGAACACCAGCCTGCACACAGACCCTCTCGAAGCCAGGAACGCTCGCCAGACCGCTTCCTCGCTAGGGAGGGAGTACCTGTAGCGGCAGCTATCAGCAGCGATCCAGCGCTTGAACGGCGCCAAGCTCACGGGACAGGCACGAGCTAAGGACACGAGGTGCCTGGACCACGAGCTGCACGGAATCTGGGGATTCGGCGAAGGGCCCCTCGATGAGCTAGTCAGAAGGACAGTGTAAAATATTGTAAATAAATATGTAGAGTGTGATTTGCCGAGCCTCCACTCCTACAGATTCATAAGTTAGGGAGTTTTTTCAGTGTGGTTCACTAGCTTCTTTTATCCCAGACCTGGAGGAATAAAAAACATTGTGGGAATGTGAAATTGATTATAAGCATTCCTGGATAGGCACCCCTGGACATGGCAGAGCCCTTTTTATTCATTTGTTTTCAGAAAACATTTGACTCTACATTGAATTTTATGTTGCTGGTTGCCTCATTCATCAAATTTATTTTGAGTGTTTTAAAAGTTTAATAGAATTTTCTAAAAAAGGAAGCTTGTCATGCCACCGCAAAGTTATTTAGGAAAAGAATTAAAAAATTACTGCATGCAAATTTGTTAAACTGCTCCCGAGATATCGCTGTGATAAGTGTCAATGCCAGCGCAAAAATTCATTTTGTGGAAATGGCGGTTCAAAGTTGCACACACATTTTCAGCAATGAGCCCATTACATGTGGCACGAATCTGCTTGCGCTTTTCATTCTCGTGCGTCAAAGAGGTTGTGAACACAGTATGCATGCACATAAGTCGCCATGCACAGCTTTTATTCATTTGTTTTTTCTCGAGCGAGCAACGTCGCAACCGAAAATCACGAAAATAGCAAGCAGGATTTTCCTGCTTGCGATTTTCGCTGATAAAGCCAGGTGAAACGGCTTTACCAGCGGAGTAGCTGGAAGTGTCCTTGCGTATATTATTTTTGTTTCACTTTTGTCTTTACTTAGTTCGGGTGGCCGATGGCATAGATAAAAGAATCCCAATCTGAAGCGGCAACACAGTGAGCATCGGTATCCCATTGCGCAGAGGCGGGTCACCGATGCTGCCTCTGATGGTCGCCATGCCGTCAAATGTGTGCACCATCTCCTAATTCATTCCCCGCATATTTTGAGGCAATGAAACACGTGTGGAAAGTATGCGAAACTACTAAAACAAAGGGCAGCAAACGATCGTACAGATGGCAAAAAGCAAAATGTAGTTGACACAGTGCAGGAACAAGCGGACGACGCAAGGCAGTGAGACTGGTGAAATGCGCCTTGGCTGCATGGTAGCCATAGCTACGGAAGGAGATAAAAAGAAATGTCGGGGGCCAATAGTAGTCGTGCGCTCCCTTGTGCGGGCTCTGTGGCTAATCACTGCTTTGCAATCGTGAGGCGGGAAAACGCTGATCACACCAAAACTATGCTGCGGACTCTATATTGAAGGACGGCAAAAAAAATACAAAAAGCTCCGTTTCAAAACGAGACTGAAGTTGAGCAAAATCGTTTCAAAACAAGACCGTCTGCCGAGTTGAAAGCGAGCACGAATTGCTCAAAGTCCAGCTCAGTTTTGCATTTCTAGCGCGAATTGAAAGCCGCCGAGACCTTGTAAATATTTCTTTTTACCATATTTTTTCAGTGAATTAGATGCTGATAATTAAAAGAGGTAGCTTATAGAATATACATCCCAAAAAAGTAATTTTCCAAAAACGACTTTTTCGCGATTTTTTGGTTTTCAATCTTTGCGTCCCCCCTTAAACCGAAGTCAACGTCTCCTCCGCTTCCTGGGCTTACTGTAGATGCACTGCAGATTGGAACATTGCAATGCGTCAAGCAGGGCGGTGCCACATATTTCTGGAGAGATTTATTAGAAAGGGCGTCCAACCAAACCTAGAGTCGGTGACAGAGAATTCAGCCAGATGCCAGAGCCTGGCAAAAGGCAATAAGCGCATTCTGGAGGCAGAGCTTCTACTGAATTCTTAGCTTATCATCGACTGTAGGTAGGGACCCGACGTGTGAAGGCCTACTTGGCTCGTTACCGTTAGCGCCGAAAGATCCTGTCTACTTTTGGAACTGCTTACAGGGTTGCAATAGACCTCAGGTAGTGTGCATAGGCATGTAATACTAGTGTGACTGTAATCCTCAAGAATGGAAAATAGGACAGTTGTGGGTTGGGGGAGGACAAAGGCAGACAGAGAAGTTGTGTTAAGATTCAGCTCAACGTAAGAACTTACATTTTTTTTTCCTTGTTGGAAATTTGGGTTTCCTTTTTCCGCATTTTAAGATGGAGGAAATGTTGCCAATGTTGCCCCCCCCCCCCCCCTCAGTTATCAGAGCGGGGGGGCAAGGCATGTGTTTTGCCCCCCCCCCCCCCCCCCCCCCCTCAAAAAGCCGCCACTGGGCAGGTTGAACACTGGCCGGCGCCGCCCAAGAGATACCAAGGGCACTGCCCCCCGGCCCTTGGGGGGGGGGGGGGGGGTCTGGTTTGCCCCCCCCCCCCCCCCCCCCACTCATAAACAAGTTGGTACGCCACTGTTGTGCATTTATTTTTATGAATATATGCTTAAGTCGTAAATATTCTTTTGGTTTTCTTTTTGCTCGCTTCATGCTGGTTTTGCGATTGTGTGCCACCCCATAAATGGGGACACGAAGATTCATTGAAACAGAATGAGAGAACAGCCAAAATGGGCCTTTCATACGAGGACCCAAACGGGACGTCGGGTCACCCTATCTACACCCGTGTGCATAGCGCGATAAGTGTTGGCATCCCACAGTGCGCTAATGTTCACCCACCATACTTCTTCGTCACGTCCTCCTAAACAAGGGGTTCTCAAACCTTTCTATCTCGAGGAACGCCCGTCTTTCTTGAATGGCAGCCGAGGAACTCCTCCTGGTCTCGGCATTAATGCAATAGAACGGTGAAGGAGCCTGCAGATCTTGTAAAGATAAATGCACATACTGAACGTTTGCCACATAGTTACGCATCAATGAATGGCTCAAACCTCCTAAAGAACTGCTTAAACTGGGAAAATGCTTTCTTTAGGTGCAGGGACGGAGAAAAAAATTTGGGAGCTCTAGGAAGCCATACGAACCCAAGCCCTAAAGCACCGTACCTTCCCGCTTTCGCAGAGTTCCTGCTGCCGCGAGACTTTCCCGTCTACGAAGCCAACGGCAAGCCCGCGATGCAGCTGTGCGACGTGCGCCGCAAGGAGTTTTGCAAGGACTGGGTGGAACAATGCGGGCTGCTCCTCTGGCTGGCCGGAGGTGCCGCCCTCCTGGCCCTCCTTGGGCTGGTGAAGCACCTGATGTGTCTGGCCGCCAACTACGCCCACCTGAGGGACCAGCAGAAGCTCCTCGACCTCCAACTGCTCCAGGACCTGCAGGACACGGAACTGACGACCCTGGGATCGAAAGACCGCTTCTGAAGCGGCCTTGATTTCTACTCATTGGCGTCGTAGACCTGTCGCACTGTCGCCCGTCGCTATCCTGGCAGCTTGTCGTAAAAGTACCGGCGAAAAAGGTGGAGGTCGCCGTCGTCGCGGCGTCCCAGCTTCTGCCTGTCGAAGCTTTCACGAGCTCTCTGGCGGTGGAGCGACCCACGATAAAACAACTGTCGGCCGCATCCATGCCTGCCGTTCGACGGCCAGCATCGCGACGGGCAGCAGTGTAACGGTGTAATCGGAAGCGGACGAAAGACCACATTGGAACATGTGGTAAGCACATAGGTCGGAGACACATTCCAGGCACCATACCGACACAAAACCATCGACGTCTGAATTTCTACGCCGCTCCTGGTGGTTCCGTTCGTTGCATTTTGAGGGCGTGTGTGTCGTTTTCTGGTGTCGTCACGTTGTCTGATGAACATTCCTGACCGACTTGCTTTGGAGCGTAAGGCTGCGGGAGTGCAAAGGCAGTATTCGAGTGCAAGTGCACTCTGGGATGTCTCCCAATTTGTTCGAAGTCTGTTGTGAAGGCCTGTATTTCTACATTTGTAGAAGTTTGTGAAGTGTGGCAGCTAGCAAAGTTTTTGAGGGGAAAAGAAAATGGATCTGGAGATTCGGTGTGAAATTTGTGGTTGTGACGGCAGATACAGCCAACCTGTCTGCACTAACCCACATTAGTTTAAGTGAGAGTGTTTCTTTAATTGCCTCAAATAAAAATAAGAAATTCTGGAAGAGCACCAAAAAATCCACTGATCTAGATTCGTGGAAATATTTATGCCACGGTAACTAAACGAGCTTTGCACCACACTTGTTTAGAGAAGACGTTCAAGTCTTTAAAGGAGCTGTGCAACAATTTCAGGGCTTTGCTTAAATAATTGTGGAAGTTGATGCCTGACACTTCTGCAGTGAACTACAGAAAACAGATTTTGCCTGGATACCCTAGTTTTTACTTAAAAAAATGAAAAAGATCCAGGTTTTCGCCGCCTCTCAACTCGTGCATCGTCTTCCGGGTCACGTGCACAGTGACGTCACTAGAGTAGGCGCGGAGTTCCGGAAAAGTTCTCTCTTTAGACCATCAGCGAGCAGCGAGAACTCATCCGCTGCCGACCGCGTGACCACCCGTCCTTGCCCGTCCGGCGCTGTCCCCCTCCCCCTCCGGCTTCTGGCGGCTGTTCGCGGTTTTGTGGACCTAGGATAGATGGCGCCACTAAAACTCCGTATAATAAAAGTTTTGTGGATGATACCAGGGTGTTGACGCATTTATATATATGTTGGAACGACAAGATTTGTAAAAAGAGTTACCTTTTATCGAGCAGGTATTCGCACAACTTGCTATCTTTCTTACAACGACCCAAGTGACGTCACGCCGCTTGTTTCTCATGGCCGCCGCTCGTGGCTGCAGGTCGGGAAATATTCCAAGTTTTGCCTCGCTATTACGCGGCGGAATCGCAACATTGCGATGAAAGGAGGTGTGTTTTCTGCCATTTGTGACACAGTGAACAATATCAAAAGCAGAAAATGCCAATTCTTTCAACGTTAAAATCGTTGCACAGCTCCTTTAAACTCATCCCACTATGACACTGACCTCGCTTCATTTGTGAACTCTGTTGAGACAATAGTTTAATACCATGTTTTCAAAATCGGCATATTTTCCACTGTCCTATGCTAATTAAAGGGCTGATGTGTTGTCGGCCAAATTCAGTGCAATTGTGAAGAACTGGTAAGGACATTTTGCCCGATTAAAGCAGTGATATACTGGTATACTTGTGCGTTTGCTGATTGTCCGATGCGATAATTGTTGAAAAGAGTGTAACCTTCAGTTCTTTTTGTGGAAAGTTCCTTTTGCATTGTTTCTTACTTTGGTCGGCGTATCTGATGTCATGTTTGCTGTACAAGACCATGTGAGCCAAGTCTTCACTCTAAATGAACAGCATACTGTCTAATGTAAACCATATGCTACACATTGGCCACACTGTCTGAAAAGCAATTGGGGCCACATATGTAGTACACATGAGTCATGTATGCTACATGATCTACAGGATAATACTGTATTGGCCATGGCTCTCCTGAGCTCAAATAAATATCAATATCGTGCATGAAACCAGATGGCATAAATACCAGGCATGAACCATTCAAGAATGTACTGCATGTAAACCATGTGACACCTTAAATATTCAATATCTTGCTTCTAGGTCTCAAAAAGGAATGACACACTTCTGTCACTGGCTTTTGTTGGCCCATGGTACTTACATAATACTGAAGTGTTTTGCCATTGATCATATGAGAGTTGCCACAATACTGCATTATTATGCGGGATAATATTGGCCACAGCAGCATTGTTTGTAGTAGCTTGCAATCCTGCTAATAAACCGATGACATTTCGAGTTAGTCAATGGCATGACCAGTTCATGCCAGTTGTTCATTTTCATTAACTTTTTTTTTGTGTTTGATGCATTTTCATTTGGGCAGCTTTGGACTCTCTACAAGCCCGTGACGTGAAATCTGTTTTATTTTTAAAATCAGGCCATCTGTGCTGCTCGCTGATGGCTGGCTTTTATCTGTTTTGAACTTGCAGAAGGTGTGAATTGCTTTATAATTTTCCAAGGACTCCGGCTAGTAAACTGCCGTTTTTTTTTTTATATGTATAGATATTGTAGCGTCTTCAGCTTTCTTATTACAAATGTTGCTAAAGGACATTGCCAAGCAGTGTTTGTGTCACCTTTTTGGTAACAAAAATCTGTCTCGGAGTTGTTGATGTGCCGGGAATGGCAAACTTGGCTAATAAATGAATGGCCATTCTCTCATGTTTCTGCGTCTCATTGGTGTTCGTTGTCCTGTTTTTGCTGTGGAACAATGCTTCACTTGCAGAGCAGGATACCGCAACGGTCTCCCATTTTGTCCCATTTTATTGTGGGAGTGACTCCGTGTTTCTGCATTACAAAGGTTTGTAAAAGTATTTTAGTTTTTTTTTATAAACAGTTTAAAAAGATTACTAATATTACAAAACAAATTTGAATAAAAAGTATATACACTGCAAAAACTATGCGTCGCAACAAAAAAGGCTTGCGTCGTCTAGGTCCTGGGCCAAGCGCCCATTTAGGAAAATTATTAAAGCTTGAGATAATTGGGTTTTTAATTGTTTTTTTTTATATTGTGTTTCCAGGCTTTGTTTCAATTAGGAACTTACTGAGTTTAGCATTATCGAAAAACACTAAATCAATAAACCGCAGAACGATAGGAGCACGCGCAGCATTTTACAGTTTTCTGAAAAACCACACAACTTCAACGAGTTTTTAAGTTTCGTTTTGCAATCGGAGCGCTACCCCGTGAACCCTCTGCTGCGTTACCCGAGAAAAGCGCAGCAGAGGTTGGTTGCATTATTTCTCCACGGGGTGCGGAGTCGTCGGGGCCGAGAAGTACCGAGAAGTCCACCAAGAAGCGCTCCGATTTCAAACCAAAACTTAAAAACCCGCCGAAATTGTGCGTTTTTTTCAGAAAGCCGTAAAATACCGCGCGTGCCATCTATTTTTCTGACTGACATTTGTTGATGTAGTGTTTTTCGATTAATCTCAGCAAGATTCTAACCGAAACCATGCCCTTAAACTCAATATTTAAAATGTTGAGCGTAAATGTACTCATATAATGACAATAGCTATTTAATAAAGGTGCATTGATTGATTACTTTATTGGAATAATCATCTAGCGGTCTAATATAGGGCGGTTTGACTTGTGCTGGTTGCGTGAAAGCACGCCCCCAAATAGGCCTCTTCAAAGCGAAAAAAAAAGCCCCTCCAGGAAAATCTTTGCCCCCTATCAGCGCTGATAAGGCCAAAACTTTTTTCGGCCAACTTTACCCGACAGGCCTACCAGGCGTCTGACACTCCACTAACGTCGTGCTTGCAGCGGTCCCCCGGTGTCGTTTGAAGGCACTAGTCGCGGGCGATAAATTTAATATAATGACAATAGCTATTTAATAAAGGCGCATTAATTGATTACTTTATTAGAACAATCATCTAGCGGTCTAATATGGGGCAGTTTGACGTGCGCTGGTCGCGTGAAAGCACATCCCCAAATAGGCCACTTTTGAGCGAAAAAGACGCCTTCTTATCAGGAAAATCTTTGCCTCCTATCAGCGTTGATAAGGCCAAAACATTTTTCGGCCAACTTTACCCGACAGGCCTACCAGGCGTCTGACACTCCCCTAACGTCGTGCTTGCAGCGGTCCCCTGGTGTTGTTTGAAGGCACTAGTCGCGGGCGTTAAATCTATTCATATAATGACAGTAGCTATTTAATAAAGGCGCATTAATTGATTACTTTATTAGAACAATCATCTAGCGGTCTAATATGGGGTAGTTTGACGTGCGCTGGTCGCGTGAAAGCACATCCCCAAATAGGCTACTTTTGAGCGAAAAAGACGCCTTCTTATCAGGAAAATCTTTGCCTCCTATCAGCGCTGATAAGGCCAAAACTTTTTTCGGCCAACTTTACCCGACAGGCCTACCAGGCGTCTGACACTCCCCTAACGTCGTGCTTGCAGCGGTCCCCTGGTGTCGTTTGAAGGCACTAGTCGCGGGCGTTAAATGTATTCATATAATGACAGTAGCTATTTAATAAAGGCGCATTAATTGATTACTTTATTAGAACAATCATCTAGCGGTCTAATATGGGGTAGTTTGACGTACGCTGGTCGCGTGAAAGCACATCCCCAAATAGGCCACTTTTGAGCGAAAAAGACGCCTTCTTATCAGGAAAATCTTTGCCTCCTATCAGCGCTGATAAGGCCAAAACTTTTTTCGGCCAACTTTACCCGACAGGCCTACCAGGCGTCTGACACTCCCCTAACGTCGTGCTTGCAGCGGTACCCTGGTGTCGTTTGAAGGCACTAGTCGCGGGCGTTAAATGTATTCATATAATGACAGTAGCTATTTAATAAAGGCGCATTAATTGATTACTTTATTAGAACAATCATCCAGCGGTCTAATGTGGGGCGGTTTGACGTGTGCCGGTCGCGTGAAAGCACGCCCCCAAATAGGCCGCTTCTGAGCGAAAAAAAAACGCCTCTTTATCAAGAAAATCTTTGCCTCCTATCAGCGCTGATAAGGCCGAAACTTTTTTCGGCCAACTTTACCCGACAGGCCTACCAGGCGTCTGACACTCCCCTAACGTCGTGCTTGCAGCGGTCCCCCGTTGTCATTTGAAGGCACTAGTCGCGGGCGTTAAATGTATTCATATAATGACAATAGCTATTTAATGAACGCGCATTAATTGATTACTTTATTAGAACAATCATCCAGCAGTCTAATGTGGGGCGGTTTGACGTGTGCCGGTTGCGTGAAAGCACGCCCCCAAATAGGCCGCTTCTGAGGGAAAAAAAACGCCTCCTTATCAAGAAAATCTTTGCCTCCTATCAGCGCTGATAAGGCCAAATCTTTTTTCGGCCAACTTCACTGTTTAACCCTGGCAGGCCTACCAGGCGTCTGACACTCCACTAACGTCGTGCTTGCAGCGGTCCCCTGGTGTCGTTTGAAAGCACTAGTCGCGGGCGTTAAATGTATTCATATAATGACAATAGCTATTTAATGAACGCGCATTAATTGATTACTTTATTAGAACAATCATTCAGCAGTCTAATGTGGGGCGGTTTGACGTGTGCCGGTTGCGTGAAAGCACGCCCCCAAATAGGCCGCTTCTGAGGGAAAAAAAACGCCTCCTTATCAAGAAAATCTTTGCCTCCTATCAGCGCTGATAAGGCCAAATCTTTTTTCGGCCAACTTCACTGTTTAACCCTGGCAGGCCTACCAGGCGTCTGACACTCCACTAACGTCGTGCT